ACAAGGGCCGGAGCTGCTGAAGCAGAGGAGAGGCCTCGCCCGGCTGCCCCCTGAAACTGGGTAGCACCCCGCGGCAGTGCTCCTGGGGGGCCTGCCTCTCTTTTCTCAGGACGGCTGAAGTGCTCCACAGGTCATGGAGCGGGAAGAGCATGGGCCAGAGTACGCTGTCGGGGCTCAGCGCCAAGTACCGCACCCAATTCATTCAGCCCCCTGCATCTCAAAAAACCAGCCGACAGCCACGAGTGTTTGCCATGAACCTGTTGTCAGAGCTCCACTTCGGCCTCTTCATGATCTTGCTAGCACATACGTGTGTGCGTGCTGAATCATTTGGGGCACAGATGCTGGGATGCCTCTGTTCGGGAAAGCCTCTGCGGGGGACTCTGGAGGCCGAGAACCCACTGCCCCAGCCTTGGGGATGCTGTGAATGGATGCTCCCCCCTTTCCCGCTCTGAGGCGTCTCAGTCCATCTTAACTTTGTTTTTCTTTATTTTCCTTTTGGTTTGGGTTTTGGGGCTATACCCAGACTGGCATTTGGGGAAGATAGTGCTTTGGGTGGACGCTGTAGACCGACGAGTTTCATCACCTCTGCCTGGGACGTGGTGAGGACTGTGATGGTGGATTCACTGTGTTACTGCCCGCTGTGGTGCAGCCAGGTGCCCCTTCCTGTGAAGTTCTTGGACCCTGTGATTAGACATTGGTCACCAGAACTGTTCCTTGGGAGTCCCTCAGCCCTCTGGGGGGCCGCACATTGAGACCTTGTGTGTGTGTGCATTTAAACATTTTTTTTTGTTTTTTTTGTTTTTGAGTCATACCTGGCGATGCTCAGGGGCTACTCCTGGCACTGCACTCAGGAATTACTCCTGGCAGTGCTCAGGGGGAACATATGGGCTGCTGGGGATCTAACCCAGGGCAGCCTGCAAGGCAAATGCGCTATCCGCTGTACTATCACTCCGGCCCAACGTTTTTGTTTTGTTTTGGAAGGTTTTTTGGCCATACTTGGCATTGGTTGGGGGTTTTTCCAACAGTTCAGGGCGCTACACAGCTAGGCTGGAACCCGGGCTCCGGCATGTGAAGCCTATCCCCCCCTGCCTTTGTGTCTCCCCTGTAGATGTTTTTTGGGTGGGGGTGCCTTATCCCTGAGGCTGACCCTTGTCACCGGCTGCACCCCACTGGCTGCTGCTGGCCCCTGCTTGCCTTCTCTGTCGTTTCTTCTTTTTATTTTTGTTGTTGTTTTGTTTGGGGGCCGCACCCTACGGTGCTCAGGGCTTACTCCTGGCTCTGTGTTCAAGGATCACTCCTAGCAGGGCTCTGGGGACCATAGGGGTCCCAGGGATCAAACGCGGGTCTCTTGCATGCAGGCCAAGCACCCCATCTGCTGTCCTGTCACTTTGGCCCCCGTTTCTTCTGCCTTCGTTCCTGGGTCAAAGAAGCTGCTTGTTTGTTTGTTTGTTGTTGTGAGCCACACCTGGCAGTGCTCAGGGCTTACTCCCAGCTCTGCCCTCAGGAATTACTCCTGGCAGTACTCGGGAGACTACCTGTAGAGCAAACCCAGGTTGGCTGCGTTCAGGCAAGTGCTGCGCTATTGCTCTGGCCCCAGAAAGCTGCTTTTCTACCCCGTCTTTTTCCTCTCTGCCCTTCTCTGTGGGCTAATGGGTCGTTTTTTAATTTGATGGCTTTGGAATCCATTACTTCACTATGCTCTCTGGTGCTCAGATTGGCCCAGGTTTGGACACTGAACAGGGCCTGTGTCCTTTTGACCCGACCCCATTAATCTCTCCATCCTAATGGTGCCCGTAGACTCCCTCCCCACCCCCGCCCTGCGGCCTTGGCGCTTCTAAGGGAAAGTCGCGTGTAGGAAGTGAGGGGTGCTGCTCGCAGTGCCTCCCCAGTGTGGTAAAAGGGAAAGGGAAAGGCCCTCCCGTTGATCGTCGATTTGCTCGAGCGGGCTCAGTAACGCCTCCATCCATTGGAGACTTTGTGGTTACTGTGTCTGGCATATCGAATACGTCGTGGGGAGCTTGCCAGGCTCTGCCGTGCGGGCGAGATACTCTCGGTAGCTTGCCGGGCTCTCCGAGAGGGGCGGAGGAATCGAACTCGGGTCGGCCATGTTGGCTGCGTGCAAGGCAAATGCCCTACCGCTGTGCTATCGCTCCAGCCGCTATGCTATCGCTCCCCCAGCGTGATGTTGCATTAATGACCTTGATCCAGGGCACCTGGAATGCTCATCTGCTTTATAAGGGAAAGTGGAATACAAGATCGCAAAGTGGGTGGGTATGCTCCTGGACCAGTCCAGTGGGTCCCAGTGAGATCCACGGGGAGAAAGCGGCTTGCACTGTTTCCAAGGCCATGGTGGAGCAAGCACAGAACCTCTGGGTACTTGCTGACAACCAGCGTGCCTTTCGGTGGCCTCTTCATTCCTGTGACTGCACGGGATGAGGCCCACCACAGGCCGTGCTCCATTGGAGACTGCTTTGGGCTAGGACGAGGCTCCGAGGGCAGGTGCGGATACCCCCAGGGTTGAGGCCTGGGTTTGGTCTTCCCCACCCCAGCTCTGCTGGCCTTCTCTGTGCAGTCTTCACACCAAGAAATAACCCACAGAAATGCATGAATGAAAACAAGCTGTGTTAACAAAGTGAACAATCAAAAACCCCTGCCCTGGGGTTGGAGCAATAGCACAGCAGGTTGGGCATTTGCCTTGCATGCGGCTGGACCCAAGTTCAATTCCCAGCATCCCGTATGGTTGCCCAAGTACCACCAGGAGTAAATCCTGAGAGCAGACCAGGAGCAACCCCTGAGCATCACTGGGTGTGCCCAAAAAGCAAACAACACAAAACAAAAAACAATTCCTGCCCTGAGTAAGCAACCTTTGTGGGTTGAGATGTTCAGAGCACTGAGGGAAACCCTGACTGGGCCCGTAGAGATAGGACGTAGCCTTCGCACGCAGCTGACCTGGGTTCAATCCCTGACATCCCAAATGATCCTCCAGATCCTCCCAGGAGTGATCCCTGAGCATCACTGGATATGGCCCCCACACAGAGGAAAATTCCTAATAGAAAAAACCCTGACAGTTAAGCCAGTGATATATATTAGAAGGTGCTGAGAACTTTAGAAAGAGTATTTCAGGGTAAGGGAGAGGTTGGGTGTGAAGTTTGGATGCTTCAGGGGGTGGGAGAGGGTAGGAGAGAGCACAGCAGGGAAGGGCTTGCACGCAGCAGACCCTCTTTCCATGCCGACACCCCATATGGTCCCCCAGCATCAACAGGAGTAATTCTTGTGTGCACAGCCAGGAATAACCCCTGAGAGTCACCAGGTGTGGCAAACAAAACAAAACAAAAACCAAAACAAACAAAAGTTGGACAGTGGAAGAATAGCCCCAGGGGTAAGGCTTGCCTGTGGCCAGCCTGATTGGTTCCACCCCCACCACCAGCAGCGCTCACGGTCCCCTGGACTCTGCCAGGGTCAGTGGTAAGCACAGCCGGGAAGAGGACGGGCAGCACCTAGGGAGGTCTGACTGTGATGCTCAGGAGATAGGAGCACTGGGGTCTGACTTTACTTCTGCTGAGTGTAGGTTGGGGAGTGCCCTGCAGTAGCCAGGAGGAAGCGGTCCCCTTGGGACCCACCAAGGGGCAAGTTTAAGTGGTCGGACAGGTGATTTGGATATGTGGCTGAGAGGGGAATGAGTGCAACTGAACTGAAATTGGCACTTGGTGACAGGAACGCCCCCACCCCTGTTGGTCGCACGCATTTGGGCAGAAATGGGAAGTCAGGAGCTCAGTTTGGGACATGCTGGATTTGAGGTGCCTGTCGGGCAAGAGCGAGTTGCGATGCTGAGGCCCTTGGAAGCCAACACAGAGGTCCAGGGTGCCTGGGTGGCATCTGTTCATGGTGGCCCAGTACACTGACAGTGTCAAGTGTGTGTCCCAGCCGGGGCAGTGCCCACTCCCAGCTTGGTGCTGGCATTTCCCCATGAAGTTACTCGTGTGTGCAGGAGAGGAGGCTGACCCTTTTATGGGCGCTGCTACCCTGCCCAGAGCCCGGAGGGACAGATGCTGGGGGCGGGGGTGGGGGGGTCCCGACCTTGATGGGATGCCCAGAGAGCGATGAGTTCCCCTCAGCAGTCTCCAGGGAGAGGCGGGGCAAGGGGACCCTCCGGAGGGTGGGGAGACCTTACCCGGATCGCAGCTCCTTCTTGGAGAAGCTGGAACTGCCCCTCCTGCCCACCCGAGTCTGGGAGGAGTTGGGGTGTCTTGGGTTGCCTGTGAGAAGAGCCACATTTGTCCTACCTCTGGTACATCCTGACCACAAAGTTCCCGTCAGCCTCGGCCCCTCTGGTGGCAGCGTCAGGGCATCCTATTTGTTTTCTTGGTGTGGTCAGGGCCTGCCTGGGGTTTTCACGGCTCACTGAAGGGACCCCCTGTTCTTGGGGGGTTGGTGGGTTGGGGGTAGGTTGGCCTTGCCTTTCTAAGTGGGCGCCTCTGAGGTTTCTGGGGACTTAGCCATCTTTCCCTGCAGGGCAGACCTTGGCGGTTCATTGAATCCTGTCGTCACCCATCAGAAGTGGGACACCCCCCCAGAAGTGAGTACCCCCCCAACCCATGTTGGAGTGACCCGGCCAGAAACGAGGCAGCAAGCAGCAGACCCTGGCGTCAGCGCAGTGTTTTAGGTCATGCATGAGTGGGTGCAGGAGCACTGGGGGAGGGGGTGGGGAGAGGGGGCGGCCCGGCCGCCGACCCCCTGGAGGCGCGCAGGGCAGGGACGCAGGAGGGACCGGAAGGGGCGGGGCAGCGGTGGGAGGGTCCAGTTAGGTGCCCCCCGCGGGGAGGGGGACAGGGGCGGGGCGGGGCGCGGGCCGCCCACTTCCTCCCACCCGCGCCCCCCGCCTCCCGGCGCGGAGCCACGTGACCGGTCTGTCCCGACCCCCAGGTCCAGCTCCGAGGCGCCCTCCAGGGCGGGCGCCGCCAGTGCCCAGTGCCCGGACCGCCGGAGCCGCCGAGGCCGCGATGGGCCGGGGGAGCCTGCGGGGCGCCCCGGTGCCGGCCGTGCTGCTGCTGCTGCTGCTGGCCGCCCCCGCGCGCGCGCTCGGACCCCGGGTGCTCCTGCCGCTGGGTGAGTGGGGGCCGGGCTGGGGGCGCCTGTTGCGGACAAAGGAGCGGGGGAGGGGCCGCCGCAGCCGAGGGCGAGGGGCGAGGGTCGGGCGCCTCCGTGCCCTTTCTTGGCCACGCCGCGCCCCCACGAGCCCAGGCGCATCTGGGGTGGGGGGCCCCGCCGCCCCTAAACACGGGTTCTGGTATTCCTGCAAGTCGCAGCAGGACCTGCGGGCGCCCCCGCCCCCTGCCCGCCCCTCCCGGCCGGCCCTGCTGGGTGCGAGCCGCTGGCCCCGGGCCCAGCCCCCCGGGCTGCCCCTCCAGCCTGGCCCATCCTGCGTCCCTCGGCAAAAGGCCCTCAGGGGCTCGGTTTCTGGGCACAGGGGTGGGGGGTGCAGGTGCCGGTGTGGGCGCTCTGAGTTGGAGACCCACCTGCCCCGCTGGGCCTGTCCACAGGAGGAAAGGGGGACAGCCCTGGCTCCCTTCGGCCACTTTCTGCACCGGCCAGGTGCTGCCCGGGTGGAGGCGCAGACCCTGCGTTCTGGGCAGATCAGCAGGCCAAGGGTGGCCAGGCCCCTGCTGTCTTCTGCTCCTCTCCTCACAGTCACCACCCTTGTCTGTGCCCTTTGACCCTCTGGGCTCTGGGAGAAGCAGCCCGCACAGGGCCGAGGGGGACGGGGCTCCTTTGGAGTTCACAGAGCAGGGCCCCCCCCCAGGGGGCTGCTTGGATGCAAGCCCCTCGGCCTGGCCTTTCAACCACAACACTGTCCCTGTCCCCTCCCGCGCTGCCAGGCAGTGGCGTGAGGTCCTGCCGTCGTGTGTGTAAACTCGTCCTCCAAGGACTGAGACTTGGGGTCGCTGTAGAACCACCCCTCGTGGAGGAAAGGGACGCAGCCTAGCGGGCACATTCTCAGGCTGTGTCTGTCTTGGGCACCGAGGGGCTGAGTCTGTCCTGGGCTCTGAGGGGCTGCATCCTGGGCATTGAGAGGCCAGGTCTGTCTGGGACCTTGAGGGGACACAAGCGAAGGACACCACTGAGCTGAGAGCACGGGGCCCTCTGTGTCCTCTTGAGCTGCAGTGGGCACCCTGGGTCTCAGCTGCCTGGGATGTGTCCCTGAAGGCCCCGTCTGACCTGCTGCTCCCTTGCTCCTGCCGTGGCCTGGGCTCTGCCACCAGAGCTGGCAAGATCCCCAGCCACGCCTTGGTACCAGCCTGGCACTGAACGCCAGAACTGGAGTGGGGCCTCTTCTCAAGGTGCCACATGGGGGGTGGGAACAGTGCAGGGGCGGCCGCTTATCCCCGGCACAGGTCATGACTGCAGGTTTCCAGTGCTTACTGCTCATCTCTTGCCTCTTATAGTCTGAGCACTTGCTGTATGTCCTCATGCAGGGTCTGAGCACCTGCTGTATTCTTTATGCTTGGTCTGAGCGTCTGCTCCGTGTCCTCACGCTTGATCTGAGCACCTGCTGTATACTCTCAGGCACAGTCTGAGCATCTGCTGTATGACCTCATGTAGGGTCAGAGCACCTGTTCTGTGCGGTCATGCACAACCTGAGCACCTGCTTTATGCCCTCATGCAGGTGCTGAGCACCTGCTGTATGCCCTCAGGCAGCCTGATCACTTGCTGTATGCCCTCATGCAGGGTCTCAGCACCTGCTGTATGCCCTCCTGCTCAGTCTGAGCACCTACTGTATGTCCTCACGCAGGATCTGGGTGCCTGCAGTAGGGCCTCACGCAGGGTCTGAGCACCTGCTCTCTGCTCTCATGCATGGTCTGAGCACTTGCTGTATACCCTCATACAGGGCCTGAGCACCTGTTGTATGCCCTCACTCAGGGTCTGAGCCTCTGCTGTAGGGCCTCATGCTCTGAGCACCCGCTGTATGCAGGCCTCTGCCTAGGTCCCTCTCCTGGGAGAAGACAAGGCGCGGTGCTCAGAGGCAGGTGGAAAGTCAGCCCCCCCCACCCCTCCCCCCCACACTGCCTCCCCTCCTTCCCCCTCTGCTCGGCCCTCTTCTGCCTGGAGCTCGTCCTCCCCCCGACCCCTCCATAAGCCCCAAGTCTACAGTGCCAGGCCCACGAGGGTCCCCTGCGCTGCCCTCTGGCCAGAGAGGGGGACATTGGGAGGGTTGGAGGAGGCTGTGGGCAGTTGCTCCATGGTGCAGAGGCGCGTGGTGGCTCTGACAGGGCTCCTGCCCTCCTGCCTTCTGCCCCGTCTCACCTGGTGCACAGCCTATTGGAGTGGATATTGGGGCTCTGGGGGCCATGGCTGCTCTGTTACCCTGCACTCTGCTGCCCCTCTGCCTTGGCCTGTCCCAGGAATGAGGATGAGCTTTGCGGGGCTGAGTTGGGCGGGACATCCAGACATCCCTGGGACTGGCCTCGGGACTGTCCAGTCATCCCCTTTGAGTCTGGGGGCCAGCCTGGGGACCTAGTGCTCTGCTGGTCACTAGTTGCACAGAAGGCTTTGGAGCCGCTCCTCAGGCACCTGGCCAGAAGGCACATGGAGCTGGGCGGCTGCTTCATGTCACCATGTGAGGTGATCAGGAAGTGACGGGTTGCCCGGAGTTGCCTTCGCCCAGCTGGGCATCTGGGAAGTCCTCCCAGAGGAGGAGGAAGTGAGCTGAGTCTAATGTGAGTCGGAGTTAGTCAGAGGGAGGGCTTGGGGCCGGCCTGGTGAGGACGAGGTGAGAAGTAGGCTCTGAGAGGGGACAGGAAGAGGGCCCAGGCCAGGGTGCCAGGCCGTGGCAGCTGAGGGCTGCCAGGGAAGACATGGAAGGAATCAGGGTCTGGCTCCCAGGGGAGGGTTGGGGTAGGGTGACGGGGCATAGAACAGCCCAGAGAGCTGTCAGAGCCCTGGCTGCCCAGGGCCGCCGTACCCCTTCCTCACAGCCCAAGTGACACCCCCATGCTTCTGAGGGTTGGGGGGTCAAGCAGGCCCAAGAGACTGTGATGAGCCCAGTAGGGGGACCAGGGCATCCCTGCAAGCAGGGGCGGGACAGATGGGGAGCAGTGGGCCAGGCTGGCTTGTCCCCAGCAGGGAGCGGACCTTTGGAGCCGGAAGCTCCTCCCTGGCCTCTCCCCAGCAGGCTCAGGTCTGTGGCCTCCCAGGGGTACAGTTGGTCAGGGGCGTCTGCCCCACCCCCACCCCCACCCCCATGGGAGGTCAGAGGTGTGTCAGCAGAGCCGAGGGGCTGCCAGCCTCTCCCTTCCTCTCCAAGGGTGCCCGCCTGTCTGCCGCCCCGCCCCCCACAAAACGAGGGCTTTCTGTCCTGCTGGGGCCTGCGGAGGCCAGGCCAGCGCCGGCTGGGCTGCCCGGAGCCAGTGAGAGCAGGCAAGGTGTGGGGTGCGGCCTCTGAGTCACAGTCCCGCCGTAACTCTCCGGCTGGCCGGGTGGAGATGGGGCTGAGCCCTCTTCCCGCTCACCCCCAGAACTGCCAGCTTCCGGCTGAGTCACCGACCTGAGACGAGGTGAGGCCAGAGGTGAGGCTGGGGGACGAGTGCCTCCCCACCGTTTCCTGCCGGAAGGGGGGTGCAGCAGGTGGTTTCCACCCCTCCCGCCCTGGGGCTCCCCAGGAACCGGTCGGGATGGACAGGAAGTTCCCTATCGTCCCGAACTTACTTTCTCTTCCACAAAGTCACTGGTCAGAGGTGTGGGGGACTCAGTGAGCCCCACAGTGCAGCCGAGTAATCCGGGGTGTGTGTCTCTCCTGGGGCCGAATGCATAGCAGCCCCTCACAGCACCCCTCCATCACAGCACCCCTCCCCACACAGCACCCCTCCTAGGCAGTCCTGCAGAGCACACCTGGGACAGGGTGTAAGGTCGAGCACGCAGGCACACACCACACATAGGACTCACACGGTGCACACATCTCGGCCCCCACCCATGACGCATACACCACGCACACACATCACGCACAGCACTAGTGTTGTCACACCACACGTGGCACCCGCACGTAGGGAAGTATGGTTAGTGCCGTAGCAGGCAGGCGCTCACACACACACACACACACACACACACACACACGCCTCCCGCGTCTATCCCTGCATTCACACCCTCGCACGCGCCACCAGCAGGGTCCTCAGAGAGGCCTGCTCTCAGACAGGGCCGGCAGCTCCGTCTGGTGGGGGTGCTCTGGAGGGTGTCCCCAGGCTCACAGCCACGTGCCCCGCCAGCCCTGTCTGTGCTCCAGTACGTGCCCCCGTGGCGGCAGGGCCCCCACCCCAGGGTAGAGACGCGGGTGCTCCTGGCTGGCACTCGCAGGGCTGGAATTTCCCGCAGGGCGCTGGGGTTTTGTTTTCGACGACGTGCGCCAGACACCGTGCCAGCGCCGGGCTGGCGTGTGTGCTGTTGGGGCCCCGCTCCCCGTAAACGTGGGCCATTATGGACACGGTGATTTACATTCGTAACTACCCATCTCGCAGATAAGGAGCGAGAGCTTCCCGGAGGCGGGGGCAGGTGTGCGGCCCAGGCCCTTGTTTCCAGATGCCCCAACCGGCCTGTGGAGTCCTGGGGCGAGGGGGGGATGGGACCGGGGTGCCCAGGGGCGGGGGCCTGGGGACACTGGCACGGGGGTGGGGGGGCGGAGCGGGGGTGCACAGGGGCAGGGAGCATGGGGCTTGTTCCCAGACATGGAGGAGGAGGTGTGGGGGCACGAGGGGGGTCCCAGGGGTGGAGTGGAGCTCTGGGGAAAGGAACTCGGCCCTGTGCCCACTTCCCGAGGCCTCCCCCCAGACTCCCATCCACCTGCCTGCATTAGCACCCCACCTGCAGCTAATCTCTGACCTTTGGCCTCTGTCCCGGAAGAGTCCAGGGGGAGGGAACCACCCTGGAACAAGCCCAGTGCCCCTCCCGCAGGCGCTGGCAGCCAGAGGCCCCTGACCTGCACTCTCACACCCCGACACACCCCAGAGCAGGCAGTTTAGCTTGTCATTGTCCCTTGTCTACGCTGCCCCTTGAACCTGCTGCATGGCTCTTCTGGGGCTCCACCTGACCCCGAGTTCGTGGATTTGGGAGGGAGACCCCTGCGTCCCGCCTCGCACCCACCTCCTTTGCTGGCACCTTCTCTGTCACTGTGCCTCTCTGCTGCTGGTTGGTTTGGAAGCAGGGTGGCCTGTGAGGGTCTCTGCCGGGTGCCGTCGGCTCCCCCAGGGGGAGCAGCTGTGGCACAGAGAAGAGGGCGTTTGAGCTGGACCCCTCCCGGCCGCCCAGGGTGTGTGTGGGTGTGCTGGGCAGTGGGGCCAGTCTGCTCTCTCTCCCCCACTGCCCGTTCTGCATCCTCACCCAGCTCCTTCCCCTGGCCCCTTTGTCATCTTCCCTCCTGCCCCCCAACCCCCGCAAGAGTGGGTGCTATCCGGGCGGTAGGGAAGGAGCCAGGTCCCCCCTTAGTGGGCGTGGGCGCCTCTGGGATCCGCAGTCACGATGCCGCAAACCTGGTCCTGTACTGAGTCTCCTTATCTTTAGGGGAGCCAGGCTAGGGCCCGTGGGCACACCTGCAGGAAGTTGGGGTGTGATTGCCGCTCGCTTTGCTCTTGGCTGCCTGAAGGCTTGGTGTGGTCGGGGCCCTCTGGCCCTTGAGGACACACCTGGGCAGATGGCCGCTCCATCTTTGCTTCCTTCCCTTGCCAGTGCCATTTCTTTTGGAAGGCGCCCGTCACTGAGGCATAGAGCCTGGTGCTTCTTGTCAGCTCCGCAGAGGGAAGACGGTTTCCAGTGCTCCGGGCGCACCACCCAGCAGCGTTCTAATCCATCCCTTTGGGCTTCCTTTCTGTTCTCATTCTTCCCCGGAAAGGCAGACCCTAACTCTGTATGCCGTGTACAGCCTTGAGTCCTGCTGGCCTAGGGGCTGCTCTCACTGGTCATTGTCGCTGTTCGGCAGTGACAGACACTTGCCCTTTCTCCTCACCACACGTGAAGGCTCTGGGCTTTCGGGTTTCACTGTGCCAGGCAGTGAGCCCGTATCTGAGATGCACTCACCCAGGGCTGAGGGCCGGGAGGGTCCTTTGCACCAGCTGCGGGGCCCAGGCAGATGGGGGTCCCCACAAGTCTCTTCCCTCTACAGAGACCTGAGTTCTCTGGGTGTGCTCCAAACCCTTTGCTCTGCAGTGGACCTCACAAAGAGCTACTCATGTTTGTTTTGTTTTTGTCTGGGGGGGTCACACATGGTGATGCTCAGGGATCCCTCCTGATGGGCTCTGGGGACCGTATGGGATGGCGGGCATTGGACCCAAGCACCCTCCCCACTGTACTCCTGCCCCATATAGTTCTCAGCAAACTTTCTTGCCCTTCTGAGGTCTTCCAGAGTGCCCCATGTGGCGGTCCCTCTGCTGGGGAGGTCCTGGTGTGGGGGTCCTGGCGCTGGCCCAGCAGCACTGACTGCCCTGAAGCTGGGAGATGTGCATTTCTAGCTTCTCTGCAGTGAAGGGAGGACGCTTTCGTGCCTGAACTTCCCAGCCCCTGTGGGTGCTCCTCATGGGGTGCTCCTGACCCCGGCCTGGATGGCTGCCGCCTCTGACTCCCCTTCTTTGGCGCAGACTCGGAGGAGAGGCCGTTCCTCAGGTTCTCTGCGCCCGACACCTCCAACTACACGGCCCTGCTGCTGGGCGCCGACGGCCGGAGCCTGTACGTGGGTGCCCGCGAGGCCCTCTTTGCCCTGGACAGCAGTGTCAGTTTCCAGCCGGGTGGGGATTACCAGGAGGTGAGCGGGGGGCTGGCAGAGGGGTGGAGGCGGGGTGAGGCCCGGGCTGTGCGAAGCCTTACCCGCGTCTGTCTGCAGCTGCGCTGGAGCGCGGACGCTGAGAGGAAGCAGCAGTGCAGCTTCAAGGGCAAGGACCCGCAGGTAGGCGCCCGGGAGCTGTGGTGCACTGGGGTCCCCTGGGGGCCCCTCCTAGAGCAGGCTGGGGGACACGGTCAGGGCTGCCGAGGCAGGTGAGCCCCGGGGCGGGGTGCAGCAGTAGCCCGTGTTTGCTCGCTCTCCGGCCTCCCTGGGCAAGGACAGAGTAGGGACGGGGGTGGGGTGGGGGTGCTGACCGCTTGGCTTCAGCGACATGAGATGCCTGGGGAGATGTGGGCAGTCGGGCATGGCTGATGGGAATGGAGTGACCAGATTTCCTGATGGAAGTTTCCAGATGGAAAAGTTTCCTGGAGGCAGAGTTCCCGTGGAAAAGTTCCCAATGGCCCAGATCCATTATGGGACTTGCGGAGGTGGGAGGGGTCCCCAGCCGAGCAGGGGGGATTCATGCTGGTGAAAGGAGGGTGTCAGGAGCGAACCGAAAGGGTGGCAGGATGGACCCCATTTGAAGTACTGGCTCAGGGCCCACACCGTGTCTACCCCTGCTCCTGGGGAGACCGGGAAGTCTCCCTCGAGGCTGAGAGGCCAGAGGCGGCCCAGCCAGGTGGTGGGTTGGGTGGAGGAGACCGCTCGGAGCCAGAAGCCCGCTGCTGCCCCCTGGTGGCCGGCTGGGCCTGACCTGGTCCTCATTGTCGCAGCGCGACTGTCAGAACTATATCAAGATCCTGCTGGGCCTGAACAGCACCCACCTGCTCACCTGCGGCACGGCCGCCTTCAGCCCGCTGTGTGCCTACATCGTGAGTCCCCCGAGTCTCCCTGCTGCTGCCCCGGCCATGTGTGCCTGCGTTTTGAGGTGGGACTGGTTCATGCTTATGCCCGTTCCAGGCTCGGGCCTCATTGTGCCTCCACAGAGGGCACTGCCTTTGGGGGGCAAGGTGGGGGAGATCTTGCGTCTGGCACCCTGCAAGTTGGGCTCCCCTTCGAGCTTGCTCTGTGTTGACCCACCTCCTCCCCTACAGGACCTGGACAGCTTTAGTCTGGCTCGCGATGGAGCGGGGAACATCCTTCTGGAGGATGGCAAGGGCCGTTGTCCGTTTGACCCCAACTTCAAGTCCACAGCCCTGGTGGTTGGTGAGTTGTGGGGGGCAGCTGGGCGCACCAGGGTTGCGGCTCCGCAGCTGCTTGATTCCCGGGGCCCTGTGTTGCCCTGGGCTGCCTGGCGCCCCCCATGCCCACAGGAATATTTTCCCAACAGAAGGGGAGCTGTACACGGGTACCGTCAGCAGCTTTCAGGGCAACGACCCGGCCATCTCCCGCAGCCACAGCACGCGCCCCACCAAGACCGAGAGCTCGCTCAACTGGCTCCAAGGTGAGGCCCTGGCCTGCCCCAGGCGGCCCCTGCCCCGACGGCTTGGGGCTGCTGCTCACCTGCCCCCATGGCCCTGCAGACCCTGCATTCGTGGCCTCGGCCTACATCCCTGAGAGCCTGGGCAGCGCATTGGGCGACGACGACAAGATCTACTTCTTCTTCAGTGAGATTGGCCGCGAGTTCGAGTTCTTTGAGGACACAGTGGTGTCACGCGTAGCTCGGATCTGCAAGGTGACCGGCGGCTCCAGGGTCCCAGACAAGCCCGCTCCCTCCCCCTGCTCCTCAATTCAGTATTACTTTGGGTCTTTTCTCCCTTTTTTTTTTTTTGGTGAGGGGTAGTGGGCGGGATGGTCCTAGACCCTCGTCCTGGACCAGGTCGCCTGGCTTGAGCCCCACGTCTGTTGCCTTGGCTGCCATACTCCCTGGCCCAGCACCCCTATGGTGGTGGTTATTCCGCAAACGCTGCTCCCAGATCTTCCTGGATTCACAGCTGTGTTCGGGGCCGGGACCACACTGGGCAGATCTGCTGGTCTGCTTTAGGTCTGGAGTGGTGTGTCCTGGGAGTCAAGCAGGGTTTGCGGCAGGGCCTGTCCTGCCATTCGCCTGAGCGTCACTTCCTCCCCCCAGGGTGACGAGGGCGGCGAGCGGGTGTTACAGCAGCGCTGGACATCCTTCCTCAAGGCCCAGCTGGTGTGCTCACGGCCCGGCGATGGCTTCCCCTTCAACGTGCTGCAGGACGTGTTCACGCTGAGCCCCAGTCCGCACGACTGGCGGGACACCCTCTTCTATGGGGTCTTCACCTCCCAGTGGTAAGCCGGGAGCTGCTTGCGCTGGGGTTCGCCCAGCCTCGGCCCGTGCAGACCCCAGGCCCACGCACCCTTCCCCACAGGCACGGAGGCACAGCTGAGGGCTCCGCTGTCTGCGTCTTCTCCATGCGGGACGTCCAGCAGGTCTTCGAGGGGCTCTACAAGAAGGTGAACCGCGAGACGCAGCAGTGGTACACTTTCACGAGCCCCGTGCCCTGGCCCCGGCCTGGCCAGGTGGGTCTGCGCTACATGGGTCCATTCCTGAGTCTGTTGGCTAGTGTTGGGCCTGTTTGTCTCACGATGTGACCCTGCTGGAGTGGGCATTGGCCCCCTGGTGGGCACTGAACCCCTCTACACTCTGCCACAAGCCCTGTTCTTGCTGGGGGCTGGATGGACTGGCCTGAAAAGGAGGCTCCTGCCGGCCTGGTGACTGCCCCCTAAGCAGAGCATGCTGGGTTTACGTGGGGGTGGCCCTGGAAGCAGCCTAGCTGGGAAATGGGGCGAGGGAGCCTCAGGGGACCCAGGACCGTCCTGCTGAACGTGTGTCACCCCAACCCCAAGGCACACTAGTGTAGTAGCTCATGCGGTTGTGTGGGGACTCTTGGGCAGAGGCACCCGCTGGCACCTCTCCAGGGAGGGAGCTGAAGGACCACAATGGGGCTGGGGTGGGGGCATGGGCTCAGGGACAAAAATGGGGGCTCGAGGGCAGCCCCTCACTCTGCACCCACTCGCAGTGCATCACCAACGCCACGCGGGAGCGGAAGATCAACTCCTCCCTGCAGCTGCCTGACCGTGTGCTCAACTTCCTCAAGGACCACTTCCTCATGGACGGCCACGTCCGCAGCCATCTGTTGCTCCAGCAGCCACACGCCCGCTACCAGCGTGTGGCCGTGCACCGCGTGCCCGGCCTGCACCGCACCTACAATGTCCTCTTCCTGGGCACGGGTGAGTGCCAGGGCACAGGCAGATGGGAGCCAGGAGGGATGGGGAGCAGGGGCGGGGCCTGGAGGGAGGGTGGCGCCGCTGGGGCCTGAACGCCGGTCACCACAGGCGATGGCTGGCTGCACAAGGCAGTGGACGTGGGCTCCCGCCTGCATCTCATCGAGGGTGTCCAGCTCTTCCCCCCAGGCCAACCTGTGCAGAACCTGCTCTTGGACACCCAGCAGGTGAGTGGGTGGGACCAGCCCCCGCTGCGGGACAGGGAGCCCAGGCTCTAGTGTGAGCCCTCAGAACGTCGGGTGGAAGTCCTGGGTTGTGTGCCCTCTGACTGAGTCTGCCCACGCAGGGGCTGCTGTATGCTGCCTCCTACTCGGGCGTCGTCCAGGTGCCCGTGGCCAACTGCAGCCTCTACCAGAGCTGCGGGGACTGCCTCCTGGCCCGGGACCCCTACTGTGCATGGAATGGCTCTGCCTGTCGCCCCACCAGCCTCTACCAGCACGGCGAGGCCTCCAGGTAAGTGCCCCTGGATTCCAGTCCCTTCCCAGCTTTCCTCGGTATGGGGTCTGGGGTTGGCATTGAGCTGAGAGGCTGTGTAGATGGGCGGTTAGAACCTTCCTGGGTAGGGAGCAGGTATGGAGATCCACGTCTGATGAACCCTGCATGGCCTCGGTCCCTATGCTGAGGGCCGCTCATTGACCGTTGTTTTTCAGGCCGTGGGTCCAGGACGTTGAGGGAGCAAATGCCAGGGGTCTCTGCAATGCCTCCTTGGCCAAACGCCACTCCTCTGAGGGGACAGGTGAGTAGCAGCAGAGAGGGGGGCGGAGAGACCCCGTAGTCCCCAGTCGCCTGGTCCCAGCTCCAGCTCCTGTGCCGTGCCTGCAGGTGAGAAGCCGTGCCAGGAAGTCTCCTTCCAGCTGCACACCATGAACAGCCTTCCGTGCCCACTGCTCTCCAGGTGGGCCGCCCGGCGCTGGCTGCACGATGGACAGCCCATCAACACCTCCGCCTCCTGCCATGTGCTGCCGTCTGGGGACCTGCTCCTGGCGGGCAGCCCGCAGGCACCAGGCCTCTTCCAGTGCTGGGCTTTGGAGAAGGGCTTTGAGCAGCTCGTGGCCAGCTACTGCCCCCAGGTGTTGGCTGGTGACGAGCAGGTGGTCCCAAGTGGCGGTGGGCCTGACATCAGCACATCTCGGGTGAGCGCGCCAGCGGCGGCGGGGAGCCCGGCCAGCTGGGGCTCCTCCAAGTCCTACTGGACCGAGTTCATGGTCATGTGCACCCTGTTTGTCCTCGCCATTGTGCTCCTGATCCTCTTCCTGCTCTACCGGCACCGTGGCGACATGAAGCTCTTCCTCAAGCAGGGCGAGTGTGCCAGCATGCACCCCAAGGGCCGCCCTGCGGTGCTGCCGCCCGAGACCCGGCCGCTCAATGGCGTGGGCCCCCCGAGTATTCCTCTGGACCACCGGGGCTACCAGGCCCTGTCTGACAGCTCCCCAGGACCCCGTATCTTCACCGAGTCGGAGAAACGTCCACTCAGCATCCACGAGAGCTTCGTGGAGGTGTCGCCTGTGTGCCCTCGGCCCCGGGTGCGCCTGGGCTCCGAGATCCGGGACTCAGTGGTGTGAGCACTGACTCCAGAGGCCACCCCGGCCCGGGGACTGAGAATATTCAGGGACGGCCGGGCGCTGCCCTCAGCACGACGGAGCTGGCCGCCAAGTGGCAGGGCTACTCCGTGCCGGACAGCTGGGTCCAGAGGTTCCAGTCAGAGAGAGGTCTGTGCAAGGGCATGCTGTGCCCGGATATAAACTGAGCCTATTGTCCAGAAACAGCAGAAATGTGAAGCGCGTGAGGAGAGGTGAAACTGTGGACAACACTGAGGACTGCCTGAGAAGGGGCACCGGGCCCCACCACCAGCCTCCCCACCGCCTGCCTTACCACACTGCCTGGCCCGCGGCCTGCATGTTGCCGCCTCAGCATTGCCTCAGGGACTAGCAGGCGGGCGGGCAGTACCTCCCAGGCCCTGCGCCTGGCTACCTCCTGGGCCTCCCACGCCTGCCATTAGACTGTGGGCGCCAGAAAGCGAGTGAGCAGGCAAGAGGCCCAGAGCACGGCAGAGGGAAGGACATTACGCCCCTCATCCTCGAAGTTCAAGGAAACCCCCCCTTCCTGCATCCCGACCCCCAACTTCCCACGTCTCCCCAACAGGATACCGACACGCCCAGGCTGGGGTGCAGAGTCTGTGGATTTTATACATTTTTTTTTAAGAAGATGCACTTTACTTTTTTTTTTTTAAATAAACTGTGGGAACAGAAGTGTGGTCATAGCCTTTCCTCTCCAAGGAGTGTAGCACTCTGAGGCTGCTCCATATGCGGGGATCTGGTCCTCCCTACCCAGGGGCTGGTGGGCTGACTCCCCATTCCTGGAGTGGAATCCGGCCATACCGGCCCTGCTCTGAGGCTCCTCCTGGCTCTGTGGGCAGGAGTGACCCTCAGTGATAATTCATGGCACCTTATCACCTGCCCGGGATGTGGACTTGGGTTGCTGTGTGCAAGACAAAGGCCCCCCGCTTCGGGCTTGGGAGCAGGCCTGTCCATCTCATGAAATCTTCATGTGAGCAGCCATGGTGGGCAGGCTGCATGGAGCACAGCTCAACTTCCTGCGGGTGCCCTCTGTCCCCACTTAACTCCCAGTGATCCCCAAAGCCTGGTCCACACACAGGCACCAAACTCTAAACCTTTATTGGTGACCAGTGTAGAGACAGAGTGATTGAGGTGGGGACGGGCAGTCACGGACCCCTGCCCGCGGAAAGACTGCACAGTGCTAGCTCCGGGCAGGGCCAGCTCAGCCGGCTCTGGCAACAGGCAGAACCTCGGCCACAGCTGCGCAGCAGGAAGTCTCCAACAGGCCCTGGGATACACTGTGGTCCAGTCACAGGACGATCTTAAAGGAGCTGCAGGAGATAGTGGGCAGGGGTTAGTGTAGGGCCCAGACTGCAAACTGCACTGCCCTCCAGGAGATTGGTGTAGGCTCTGTCCTTTTTCTCAGTGCCCTTGAAGGAAGTGGGGGGCTCTCTCATGCTGAAGGTCAGCCCCCTGCCCCCAGAGCAGCAGCTGGTGGGCAGCCTGGGTGAGCACGCTGCCGAGGAGTGCCATCCTACCTGGCGAAGTCTGGTGAACGGGCAATGACATGCTGGAACTCCGAGAGGTTGATGGTTCCGTCCCGATCGATATCAGATTCTTCTAGGATCTGGAAATAAGGGAGCTTCAGATGGGCCCCCGCTCCCTACGCGCTACCACCCCGCACCCCATGTTTGCCCCTTCCCCACTCACATTGTCGATGAGCTGCTTCATCTCTGAGTCATTGAGTTGCGTGTCGGCCCCCTGCCCTGTGAGGCAATTGACCAGCTGGCTCAGGTCTTCCCGGTTCAAGGTTCCATCATCATCAAAGTCTGGTGGGGCAGACAGGGAGGGGGAAGTGGCGGTGGTGGGGAGGGGCTCCAAGGCACCCCCGCATCAGCCCAGAAACCCGAGTGGGCCAGGGCAGCGGCACTTACCGAAGATGCGGAAAGCATAGTGGGACTTGATGTCCGGCGTGGCTGTGTCACTGAACACACTGAGGAGGTCCAGGAAGTCCTCGAAGCTCAGGGTGTCCCTGCTTGGGGACGTCGAGAACACTCTGCAGATCCGCTCCTTGAAGGGGTTGGCCTGGGCACAATAACATCAGTGCTTCTGAGAATGGCCTGGCCTCACTCCAACCCAATGGGTGGGGAGTGCTAGGTCCCAGTGCCCACCCTTGCAAGGGGCGTGGGCAGGAGTCTGGCACGCAGGGCAAAGTTCCACAACACTTGTGTTCCAAGCATTAGGTCAGCCCCTTGCCTAGAAATTTCCAGAGCTATCTTGGGGCAGGAAACTGGGTTTCAGGAACTTGGTGATAACAACAGTAGCTCAATTAAGGGTGCTCTGCCTCAACAGAAAACTATCTTTGAATCCCAGCCTGGGAAATGTGAGATAAGGGCCAGAGGCCACTCAAGGGGACCAGAGTACATGCAAGGAGGCTGTGTCCCATCCCTGGCATGGGATGTTCACCACTACCCTCACCCCGCCCCCCACAAAAAAGAAACAGAAAAATGCTAGTTCAGCCCAGTGGTTTAGGGGAAATCCTCTGTCCTCAGGAACACGGAGAGGGGCCAAGAGGGCTGGCTCCTGGAGCACCCCGAAACTTCCAACTGGGAGCAGTCTTCCCCCAACCACACCAGAAGCGCCTGGAGGCGCAGGCAGCTGGGGTGGGGAAGGGGTCCCGCACCTTGAGCTCCGGAAGGCCCAGGATCCCTTCTGCCGAGACGCGGGCCTGCAGCGACTCGTCCACTCCTCGTTGCTGCGGTGGCAGCAGCTCGCAGAAGCGCCGGTGGGCTCTGGGGGACAGAAGGTGGCAGCAGTTGGCACGGGGAGGGTGAGCTCGGGCGCTTCAGGACACCACACCCTCGCCCCAAGGGAAGCCACGGGCGCGGACAGCCAGGCCCAGCGTCCGGAGGGGGGAGGTGACAGGTGGACAGGTGGGGCGCGGGCGGTTGGCTGAGCGTGAATACTGGCGAGGGTAGCGACCACCGCCCCGTCGATCCCGGCGCAATGGGCGTTAACGGTTCCGGCCCGGCCCGGGTGGGGTCGGGGGAAGCCGGGCACCCCGGGACGTCTCCGGTCCCGGCGGCGGCCAGAACCACGGCGGCTCCTGCAGGGGGAGTCCGGTTCTGCACAGGCCGCCGGGCGCCCAGGGTTGCCCGGAGGTGGCTGCGCGGGGGCGCTGCTCTCTCGGGGCCGGGGCACGGCCCGGCTCGGGGCTCGGGGCGGGGAGCCAGCAGGGGCGCCCTGGGGTCGCGCGAGGGGCTCGACGGGCCGGGGTGGGCACTCACAGCAGAATCTCCTGCTTGGTGAGGAATGTCAGGTCCTGCGGGGCGGAACGGGACAGGGGGCGTGAATGAGCGGCCGCCCGGGAAGCCCCGAGCGCGGCCCCGCGCGCAGCCGCCCGGACCCCGGGCCCCGCGCACCTGGTATTCGGCCAGAAGCTCCTTGGACAGGCGACTGCCCGAGCCCCCCATGGCCGCGTAGCGCGCGCAGCTCGGCCGGCGACTCCCTCGCTTCCGCCCTGGCTCGTGTCCCCGCCCAGAGCCCGACGACAACTGCCGCCGTCCCTCCTGCGCCGCGCCCCGGGGCCGTCGCTCGGCCGAGCCCCCCTGCGCAGGTCGCTGTCCCCGGCGGGCGGGAGGCGGGGCCCGGGGCGGGACCAGACGGACGGGGCGGGGCAGGCCGCTCGGGCCCCGCCCCCAAGGGCGGGGCGTGTCGCGCGCCTGCGTGCTTGCGGCTGCGCGGGCTGGCTGCGCATGCGCCAGAAGGCTGGCGCGGCCCGGCCATTGGCTCCGGGAGGCGCTCGGGAGCGGTCGCGCGAGCCTGCCGTCTCCGCCGTCAGCGCTGACAGGGCGGTCCCTGAGGGTCGCGCTCGCGGTCGGGAAGCCTCGGGACGGGCGGTCTGGCCCGAGGCGCACGACGGCGGCGCGGGTGCCCGGCCTCTCGGACGTTCCCCCGGGCGCCCCCCGCCCTGAGGCCAGCCCGTCAGGTAGGCGGAAGCGCGGCTGCTCTGGCTGCGCGGCCTGGGCGACTTGTCGGGCGAAATCGCAAGCCGCGGCTCCAGCCCGGGGGTCCCGGCCCGAGAGCCCCGCCGACCCCTCAGCGTGCGGCGCGCTGCGGCTCCCCCCGGCCCGCCGGACGCAGCGTTCTCGCCTTGTCGCGCGCGCGGACGAGCCCCACCTTGACGGACGAGTCGACAGAGAACGTCAGGGATGGTTCTTGTTTACGCCCGTTCGTTCCGTGGTGGAGTGTTCTTCTTTCGGGGGGCCGCACCCGGCGATGCGCAGGGGTCCCTCCCGGCTCTGCGCTCAGGAATCGCTCCTGGCGGTGCTCGGGGGACCCCACGGGATGCCGGGGATCGAACCCGGGTCGGCCGCGTGCAAGGCCAGCGCCTCCCCGCTGTGCCATCGCTCGAGCCCCTTTTCTGAATATCAGACCATTAAGCGGGGGCGCCAGAGAACAGCACAGCAGGGAGGGCGCTGGGGGGACGCGGCGACCCTGCTTCCATCCGTGGCGTCCGGCCACGCCGGGAGTGATCCCCGGGTGCAGAGGCGGGAGGAAGGCCTGAGCACTGCCGGGCGTCGCCCAGAACAATCCCCTGCTAAACGGTAGATATATTTTCAGTTCAGCTAAGCTGCTGGCAGTGCTCTCGCCAGAAACCTGCTGGCGCTTTATCAATAATGCTACTGTTTTGGTTTTGGGATCACACCTGGCCGTGCTCGAGGGACCGTGAGGTGCTGGGGATTGAACTCTAGCCTGTTGCGCTGTCTCTCCAGCCTCGCTTTCAGAATATTTACTGAAGGCATGCGTTTCTTTTTTGTAACCAGAACAAACAGGCTATTTGATCTGGTGTGCCTGACAGGAATGGGTGGGGGTCCCATATAAAGTGGGAGGGCATCAAAACTGGAGCAAGGCAGGTGCCTCACCCACTGCACCATCCGCCCTTCCCCAACAGGTTATTTGGAAATAAAAACACATGAGCCGTTCTGTGTATTATTTTTATTATTATGGTTGTTTCAGGTAATCCCATGGCCCTTCTGCCAGATTCTGGGGAACCTTCATATTTGCTGCCGGCAGACCGAGATACCTGGGAAAGACACGAGACTCCTGACTTTGTCTATGGGCAGCAGGAACTTGCGTTGGAGGGGGTTCAATGGCGCGGCGTTCCCTGCACCCTCCCAGGCCAACTAGCCCAGTCTCGCTTCGACTCAGCTCTCTGCTCAGCCTGGAGGCAGCGGATGGAGCTAGGCTTGTTCCGCTACTATCTTGAGGAGTTGCAGACCCGGACCCTGCCTGGTACTGTGGGCTTCGTTGCTCAGTTGAATGTGGAACGAGGTGTGCGTAGGAGACACCCGCAGGACATCCAGAGTGTGAGGCAGGCGTTTGACCCCACACAGTTCAACTTCACTCACATTCGGCCAGGAGAAGTCCTTTTCCGTCTGAGCCGGGTGCCTGGTCAACAAGAAGACATCTTTGTGGTGATCAACGTCAGCCCCTTGGAATGGGGCCACGTGCTACTGGTGCCCGAGCCCACCCGGGGACTCCCCCAACGCCTGTTGCCCACGGTGCTGCAGGCTGGGCTAGAGGCTGTGCTCCTCAGCTCACACCCCGGTTTCCGGGTGGGTTTCAACAGTCTGGGGGGACTGGCCTCTGTGAACCATCTGCATCTGCATGGCTACTACTTGGCGCACAGACTACCCGTGGAGTGGGCCCCAAGCGATCCCCTGGACTCTAAGGGCCATTTTCATCTGCTCCGGACTCTCCCAGCCCCTGGCTTCCTCTTCTACACCAGCAGGCCTGGCGCTGACCTGGAGGCCTTGATCCGAAGAGTTTGTTTGGCCACTGACTACCTGTATGAACATGAGATCGCACATAACCTGTTTGTGACCAGGGGAGCTCCCCCTGGAAAGCCTTCACCTTCCTCTGCCCTTACTGGGCTCCGGGTCATCCTATGGGCTCGGAAGTCCAGCTTCGGAGTAAAGGAGAGCGAGGCTTTCAATGTTGCCCTCTGTGAGCTGGCTGGGCACCTCCCAGTGAAACAGCCTGAAGATTTCAACAGCCTGACTGAGGCCACCGCTCTGGCCCTCATCCAGGACAGTCTGCTGCCCCCAACCATGGCCCAGGAGGTCCAGGCAGCTTTGGTAGCCTTGATGGACCAGGAGGAGCAGTAGGGCAGTGGCCGTATTTCCCTTCTGCCTGGGAGCGATCCATCACAGTCACCGGAATTTTTTGCTTGTATGTTTGGGCAGTGCCCAGGAATGAGCGGGAGACTTAGCAACAGCTAGCCATTACACAGGGCACATGTATGATGCCCACTCCCCTCCCGCAAAGGGAACTGGAAAGAGTGATGGAAGAGGAGCCCCCTTGGAGTGAATGGACCGGATGTACCTCCCTCATGAATGTATCTGAACACCCAGGGGGTGTCAGGAATACAGGCCCTGGGCTTTTACCTCATGGACTTGCCCTTCATCCCAGCCTGAGGCTCAGTGCCCTTCTCCTCTGCCCCTGCCCTCTGTCTAGCTCCATCCTTAGCCACCTTCACCACGCCATCTTTCTCCCTCCAGAACTCTGAACTGCACATGCTTCCCCCCACCATCATCAACACCATACATACCATACATGCACCATTCATTATCATACATGGAATTGGGCGTCCTTTCAGCCTTCCTGAGGGCTAGGCAGAGACTCAAGAATCACTGCCTAGATGGACAACTCCAAGGTAAGGGAGTTGAGAGTGGCATAAGCAGATGGCTGGGCCTATGTGAGGTTTTCACGTAGGATCCTGGCTGGAGGCTGCCACGATAAGGCAGTGTATCACATTTCAGTGTGTAATGTTGGGGCTAGAGCCATAGTACAGCACAAGGCAGACCCAGATTCAATCTCTGGCATCCCATATGGTTTCCTAAGCACTACCAGGAGTGATTTCTGAGTTCAGAGCCAGGAGTATACCCTAAGCACCACCAGGTGTAACCCCAAAATAAAAAAGGTCAGAGCTAGCACCTGGTTTGATTTCTAGCACCCCATAGTGTTCCCCCAAGCCCTGGCAGAAGTGATCCCTGAGTATAGTCAGGGGTAAGCTCTGAGTATAGCCCTGTGTGGCCCTAAAAAAAAACATGTGTAAACCTTTTTTTGTTTGTTTGTTTGTTTTTTGCTTTTTGGGTCACACCTGGCGATGCACAGGGATTACTCCTGGCTCTGCACTCAGGAGTCACTCCTGGCGGTGCTCAGGGGACCATCTGGGATGCTGGGAATCGAACCTGGGTCGGCCACGTGCAAGGCAGACGCCCTACCCGCTGTGCTATCTCTCCAGCCCCAAATGTGTAAACCTTTAACATACACATTTCTGTCAGAAGACTGGTCAATCTCCTGCTTTGGCATTTTGCTTTTCCCTTCCTGTCTCCATGCTTGCTCTCTCTCGCTCTGTCTCTCTGTCTCTCTCTGTCTCTCTCTCTCTCTGTGTCTCCCCCCCCCCTTCTGTCCCTCTTCCCTTCCTCTCCCCCTCTCCCTTCTTGCTCAGTCTCCCAGGGCAATGCTGGCCATAGTAAAACTGTGACCCCCAACTCTCAGCATTTCCCTGTGCTTCTGTTCAGAGGAGAGCCATCTCAGGAGCAAATAAAATTTTCCATAAGAAGGAAGGCCTTTGAATTACAAACTGGGTTCTTTAACTGTGTGTGTGTGTGTGTGAGAGAGAGAGAGAGAGAGGGAGGGTGGGGGGGATCAGTGTGAATGAAGAGGTGACTTATGGGCAGGGGTGGAGGTACCTGGGCAGTTGGATGGGAAGTACAGTAATCGTACATCAGATCCATCACGGTTAACACTAACCATTTCTTTTAGGGACTGGAGTGAAAGTCTGGTAGGAAGGGCACTTGCCTTGGATGTGACTGACCCTGAGTTGCCCAAAGCTGCCAGAAATAAGCCCTGAGCACCAAATGGGTTTGTCCTTCACACTATAAAAAGTAATAATTTGGTTTTGGACCATACCTGGCAGTGCTCAGAGCTGACTCCTGGCTCTGCACTCAGAAATTACTCCTGGTGGTTGGGGCACCATATGGGATGCCAGGTATGGAACCTGGGTTGGCCGCACACAGACTTGCTACCCACTGTATCCATCTCTCCAGCCTCCCCAAAATAATTTTTTTATTTTAATCTTTGGCTTTTTGGGTCAGACCCAACAATGCTCAAAGGTTGCTCCTGGCTCTGTACTCAGGAACTACTCCTGGCCTTGCTCTGGGGACTGTGTGGGATGCTGGGGATAGAATCCGGTTTGGCTTCATGCAAGACAAATGCCCAGCCAGCTGTACTATCTCCTGGGCCCCAAATAAAGGGGTGGAGAGCGGAGAGGGTGGCCCAGAGGGTCAGCCTAGGAAAGACAGAAGACAGTTGCAAGTGGCAAGGCATGTGTGTAATGCCGTTTGAAGCCCAGCACCACAAGACCCCCGAATCACACCCTGGGGTGGCGCAATCTAAGGGAAAACGAGCAATAAGACAGCAGGCGAGTGCGTCGGTGGCACCCAGAGAGTCCCCCGAGCCCTGCGGGAATAAGACCTGAGCACCATCGGGTATGGCCCCAGACCAAAGAAGCTGCAGAAACAGGCCGACGTTTGTACGCCATCGCATCGCAGGCGGATGGCTCCGGGATGCAAGTCCCTCGGAGGCTGTGGGCAGCAGAGGCCAGCGAACCGTCCCACCCGAGCTCGCCCGGGCCGAGGGCGGGTGGGCGTGGCTTGGGCGGCCCCGCCCCAGAATGCTCCTCCGAGGCGAGGCCGCCCTGTGTCCATGGCTACGGCGGCGGCGGCCGCGGACTTAGGAAGGCGCCGCCGCCGCCGGCTCGCCGAGCTGGGCGTGAACTCGAGCGGGAGCGGCGCAGACGACCGGTCCCCGGGAGCCCCCGCAGAGTCCTGAACGAGTGGGAGTCCGCAGAAGGGTGGACATGAGCCGCCGGCTGAGCTCCCGCCCAGGCGGCTAGGGGTGGACCCTGCAGTCACCGGCACAATTTGGGTGGGCAGAAACCGCCGGGGCTTCTCCCTCTGCCACCGACCAGAGCCCAGCTTAGTTCGCAGGAGCCTCGCCTCAGTGGGAAAACCTGAGTCTCCAGGCTAGGGGGCGTTCAGCTTTCACCTCTACTTACTGATTCATTTTGCTTTCAGGGGCCACACCCCGGCGATGCTCTGGGATCTCTCCTGGTCCTGCACTCGGGGGTCACTCCTGGCGGGGCTCCGGGGACCATATGAGGTGCCCGGGGATCGCGCCCGCATTGGCCGCTTGCAAGCAGGAGCTCACCAGCCGTACAATCTTTCTGGCCCCCTCTCTGTTTTTAACAAGCCAAGATTCCCTGCTGCACTTCCCATTCAGGGACTAGAAGTGCTTCTCCTGGTCTCTACCCCTTGCCCAGTTCCCACACACCACCGGGTGGGACTGTAGGGTGTGGAGTCATCCTAACATGGTTTGGGCTTGGTAGTGAGTCTAACACCTGTCTGCCCCATTACCTGCTTGAAGCATGCTGCTGGGGATGGTTTTGTGGCCACTATACCCTCTAACACCAGGGGGCCCGGCATGTTAAGGAGACCACCTTGAGGGCAGGCCTGGAAGGGGGGGGGACTCAGGGTTCACCGGCACTCCTTTCCCCCCAGAGTCTAAGAGGATGGAGCCAAGTGCCTCTCAGAACAATGAGTCGGAGGGAGGGTATGCTGACAAGGCGCCTGATGCCAGGTGTGTTCAGGGCAAGGCTGCCCACCCTTCTAGCCCTTCTCAGCAGACCACCTCAAAGGCTGCCTCTAAGGCCATTCGGAGTGGAGTTACCTTAGCCATCGTGGCCAAGAAAATCCCCAAGAAAACCTCAGTCCAAGCTGACTCAGATTACCCGGAAAATGGGAAGAGAAAGAGAAAGAGCAAACGCAGGTAAATGGTCTCCTGGCCTGCTTTTAGCTGGTATATGTGTGTGTTTGATGAGGGAGGGGACTGGGGTCCAGTCCATGTAGGTTGGTTTAGTTTGGAATTTTAGCACATTTTTCTTTTTGCATCACACTTAGCAATGCTTAGGGGTTACTCCTGGCCCTGCACTCAGGAATCACTCCTAACGGTGCTCAGGGGACCATATGGGATGCTGAGAACCAAACCTGGGTTGGCCGCATGCAAGGCAAATGCCCTACCCACTGGGCTATCGCTCCAACCCTTCTTTTTTTTTTTTTGGGAGGGGTCACACCCAGCAATGCTCAGGGGTTATTCCTGGCTCTGCATTCAGGAATTACTCCTGGCGGTGCTGGGGGGACCATATGGGATGCCGGGGATCGAACTCGCATCGGCCGCATGCCAGGCAAACACCCTACCCACTATACTATCGCTCTGGCCCCTCCATTTTTATAAAATGTTTTTATTTTACTGTTTATGCTTTTAAAAAATTAGCATTTATAGCATCCCTGGTTGGTTTTTGCTGTTTTTTTTTTTCTTTTTGGGTCACACCCGGCGATGCTCAGGGGTTACTCCTGGCTCATGCACTCAGGAATTGCTCCTGGCGGTGCTCAGGGGACCATATGGGGTGCTGGGAATCGAACCTGTGTCGGCAAACGCCCTACCCGCTGTGCTATCGCTCCAGCCCCGCTTTTTTTTTTTCCTTTTTGAGGGGGTTATTGAACCACACTTGGCAATTTCAGGGGCTGTTTCTGGTTCTGTGCTCAATGAAACTGTATGTGGTGCTGGGGACCAGGGATCTCATTAGGCCTGACCACATGCAAGGCAAGTAAGTGCCTTAACCCTTGTTCTGTCTGCCCAGTCACTTTTTTGTGTGTGGCAGGAGCAAGAAATAACTCAGAGCTTATTCCTGGCCCTGTGAGCCCTGTGCTCACTCCTGGTGGGGGTTGAGGGACCTTATGGAGCCCTGGGGATTGAACCAAGCCAGCTATGATCTGATCTGCTATCCTATCTCTCTGGCCTGGTCTTTTAAGGGGCCACTAGATAAAGTGGTTCACATGATGAATTTGGGTGGGGGGTGTCTCTTCACTAGGAGAGGTCTCTTCACTTGGGGGCTGTTGCTTTTCACTGGATATTGTCCTCTGACTCTGCTGATCTCGAATCTTCCTCCTTTCCAGACCCCTGGCCATCAACCTGACCAACTGCAAGTATGAGAGTGGTAAGTGCCTCTGGCACTTAGCTTTGAGCAAGACTCACCATTGCCCTCCTGCCTCCCTGACCTTTGATCATAGAGGAGAGGGAGCAGGTGCAAATGCTCCCTTTCCTTTCCCTTCATGGCTGCTGTAAACCAGGCTCCCATGCTGGGAGTCAGGTACTGGGGGCCAGGGGTCCCCGACATGATTTCTATTGATCGAGGTCCTCACTGGCTTGGGTGCAGCCATGATGTGGGCAATGCCAGGGACATAACCTACAGCCTCACACACAGGGCAAGTGCTGTGTCGCAGAGCCAATTGCCAGGGGCCTGCACAATCCAAACTTCCAAGGAGGCTTTAGCAATTGAAAAACATGTTGGGCCAGAGAGATGACGCTCACCTAGCGGAGCGCAGGCTTTTCTTGTGAGGGCACCGGGGTTTGATCCTTGGTACTACAAGTGCCCCTGACACCTGATGAAAGTTACTCCTGAGCACTGTTGGGCATGGCTCCTGGAAGGAGGAACAGCAGGGGCAGAAACCCCCGGTCAGCTCTGCGCTCTGTCTTCTCCTGGCCTATCGCCAAGCTGCATGTCCTGTGAGCCCTCCTGAGGTCACCTTTACAGCCCGGCAGGAATGGACAGCCCAGTCTCTGGGTCCACTGATCACTTTTGGGAGGCTTTTCCCGAGAACTTGGAGTGACACCGGGTGGTGACTGAGGTCCCCCTCTCCCCGGGCCCTCTCTGGCAGCTTTGTTCTCCCTGTCCTGTTCACAGTGCGCCGGGCTGCCCAGATGTGTGGCCTGAAGGAAGTGGGGGAGGACGAAGAGTGGACTGTCTACTGGACAGACAGCTCTGTTTCTCTGGAGCGTGTTATGGACATGAAGCGGTTTCAGGTGACACCTGCTTCCCAAGAGCCATGAGCTGTGGCCTCCCAGTGTCCCTCAGCCTCCTGTCCAGGTCTCAAGCTGTCATCCAAAGCTGGAAGGCCTGGCCTGGGGGCGTGTGTGTCTGACTGTGTGCATGGGTGCATGTGTGTGTGTGTGTGTGTGTGTGTGTGTGTGTGTGCGCGAATGTTCATGTGTGTGCGTATGTATGTGTGTGCATGAGTGTGCACGAGTGTGAGTGCCCATTAGAGTGTATGAGTACGTGTGTGTAAAAGTGCATGTGCACATGAGTGTGCGTATGTGTGAGTGCGTTTGAGTGCGTGTGAGTGTGCGTGAGTGCACGTGCTTCCTCAGTTTTACGTCCATGGTGACATGGGCCTTGACCTCAGTGCTTCCTTGGGGTGCTCTTGGGTGGGGCTGGGGATGTCAAAATCCACTGGTTTTGTTGCTACAGAGAATCAACCACTTTCCCGGCATGTCGGAGATCTGCCGCAAAGACCTCCTGGCCAGGAACCTGAACCGAATGCAAAAGCTCTTCCCCACCCACTACAATATTTTCCCCCGTACCTGGTGCCTCCCCGCGGAGTGAGTATGCGTGTATGTGTGTGTGATGGTGGGTTGGGGGGAGTTTCAGAGTCCCAGAGAGAAGTGGGCCTGGGCAGGAAGAATCCCTACAAACCCGGAGAGCAACCTCCCATGACCCAGAACCCTGAGCGGCCTCCCTGCACAGTTACGGGGAATTCCAGTCGTATGGCCGCCAGCGGAAAAACTGCACATACATCTGCAAGCCCGACAGTGGCTGCCAGGGCCGCGGCATCTTCATCACCCGCAACCCCAAGGAGATCAAGCCCGGGGAGCACATGATCTGCCAGCAGTACATCGCCAAGGTCAGGGGCCCAGAGCCCGCCTGCCTGCCGCTTCCAACCTCACCTTCCCCATTCCTTGGCAGCAATATGCCCGTTGGTATCTGAGCACCACCGGGTGCCTCAAAAGCTCCCTTTCCCCCAGCCCTTCCTCATCAATGGCTTCAAGTTCGACATGAGGATCTACGTCCTCATCACATCCTGCGACCCGCTGAGGCTATTCATGTACGAGGAAGGCCTGGCCCGCTTTGCCACCACGCCCTATGTGGAGCCCAGCCATAGCAACCTGGTGAGGCCGGAGGAGCCATACCAGCCCTGCTCCATGGGCACTGCCCCCCTGGCTGGCAGGAGGGCCTGAAGGAGCAGTGCGCTGATCCCCCATGGGTTGACAGGGACAGTGGACTGGGAGGGAAGGGCCAGAGGCCTGGGAACCAGGGTGTCTCTCTATCCCAGGAGGACGTGTGCATGCACCTGACCAACTATGCGATCAACAAACACAGCGAGAATTTTGTCCGGGATGAAGCTGTGGGCAGTAAGAGGTACCTCTCTCTTCCTCGCTCCTCCCCCCTGCCCTGAGAACTGGCCTTTCTGGATCCCTCTTCCATGCCTGGCCGCCATACAAAGCCCCCAGCCCCACTGCTACCTGGGCCCTGCTGCTGGCCGGCCTGTCCCATGCAGGGATGCAGGCAGGCACTGAAGGGTTGGTTTGGGGAGCTTCCGCCTGCGGCAATGGGGCGTCTTCTGAGCACTGGGCCTTGCAGAAAGCTGTCAACGCTCAACGCCTGGCTGCGGGAGCATAGCTACAACCCCCGGGAGCTGTGGGGAGACATCGAAGACATCATCATCAAAACTGTCATCTCGGCCCACTCTGTCCTCCGCCACAACTACCGGACATGTTTCCCCCAGTACCTGAGCGGGGCCCTGTGCGCCTGTTTCGAGATCCTTGGCTTTGACATCTTGCTGGACCACAAGCTGAAACCCTGGCTGCTGGAGGTGCGGACTGGGCCCTGGGCCACACTGGGGAAGGGGTGCCCCAGTAGAGGAGCAGGGATGGGGCGGGCCCATGGTAGCTCTGGGAAGGCATGAGACCTGCGGAGGCAAATAGTACTGGTTTGTAAGCTCCAGTGTGGGGATCTGGGGTCAGGGGATCAAGGCTGCTCTCAGCCATGCCCCTGTGGCCTGGAAATAGGGACCCCCCCGGCCCTCCCATCAGAGGTTTGGACAGGGCCGGATGATGGCCCCTCCCGCAGGTGAACCACTCTCCCAGCTTCACCACGGACTCCTGCCTTGACCGCGAAGTGAAGGACACACTTCTCTGTGACACCATCAGCCTCCTCCGCCTCAGAGGCTGCGACAGGCGGAAGGTGCTGGAAGAGGACAAGCGGAGAATCAAGGAGCGGCTTCTGCTGGGCCACCAGCATCCGCGAGAGCCCAGGTCTAGTGGGGCCTGAGGCTGTCATTGTCTCTGCTCTGTGGGTCTTCTGGGTCCTTTCCCAAGGGCTAGTGCAGGAGGCAACCTGGGGCTGCCTTGCTGTTCACACAGATATGCATCAGCCCAAATCCAGTGCTGCAGTCAATCTCCCTTCTTTTCTGTTTCCTCTTGGGATTTTTTTTGGGGGGGGGAATTGTTTATTGTTTTTGTTTTTTTGTCACACCTGGCAGTGCTTGGGGCACCATATGGTCTGCCAGGGATCGAACCCATGCTGGGCAAGTGCCCTCCTCACCGACCTCTCCAGATTGTTTCCTCATTGGAGTTCATCAGTGAGCGGGAGCAGTTTCAGGACTGTTTTCTGCAGAGACCTAAGACTCATGCATGTTGGTTTCTCCTCTTCATGACCCTGGTAGCAGAACTTTCACATGCCTTGGATCTGTAATATTTTAGGGCAACTTTCTATCAGCATGTAAGGAGCTCTTCTTAACAAACAAGCAAACAAACAAAGAAAACTTCTAGAAAGCATTACCTGAGAAAGTTTGCAGTAATGAAATTCAGGGCTAGAGTACAGGAGTGCTTGCCTTATATGAAGCTGGCTCCTGGTTCTATCCCTGGCACCATATGTATGGCTTCCAGAGCACTGCTAGGGGTCACTCCTGAGAGCAAAGCCAGGAATAGCCCCTGAGCACCTCTGGGTATGAACCAAACCCCACCCTCTTCCCCCAACTCCCCCCAAATGAAACACAGTGTACATCTTGATTATCTAGTAACAAGGGACTGTTTTCAATCTGTCACTGTTTTGGGGCCATACCAGGCAGTGCTCAGGGGTTATTCCTGGCTGTGCTTAGAGGGCCATATGGGGTATCAGAAATTGAACCCCTGGTGGCTGTATGCAAGTGCCCTCCTCACCGTGCTGCGTCTCCAGCCCCTGATCTAAGTCCGCGTTGTTTGCATTGAAAGAAGGGTCAAGGACATGATGCTCTGTTGTGCTTCTGAGTCCTGGTCAAGTGGCACATGGAAGTGAACCCAAGCAGTTTGCTCCTCCCACACGATCGCGTGGCACCACTAGCACTCAACCACTTGCGAGTGGAAGCAAGGCTCAACTCCAATACCCAGGGCCCCCACGGGCCACTGCCGGGACTCGTGACTGTGATGAGTCATGTCTGCCAACAGGGAACAAAGTGAACACTGTAGGTTGGAGAGCAAGTATGACCCCCACTGAAACCCAAGGCAGCTCCTTTCCGTGTGGAAGGGAAAGGTGGAATGCCTGTTGGCCACACAGCATACTGGGCAGCAAGCCAGGACTTGCACTCAGGCCTCTGGGGGACTCACCAACACATGTTCAGTCTTCTCCACTCACCAGAGGTCCATTTCCACAGGCGAGAACAAATGGGGTTCGCATCCCAGGCCGCCATGCTAGATCAAGAATGCTATGAGGACTCACACCTGGGGGGCTACCGGCGGATCTACCCCAGGTCCAACAGCGAGAAGTATGCGCCCTTCTTCAAGCATGATGGCTCGCTCTTCCAGGAGACAGCAGCGTCCAAGGCCAGAGACGAGTGTGCCAGGTATGGTTCTGCCTTCCATGGCCTCTCCCCGTAGGGTGGGTGGGAGGGTGGAGTAAGAACTGCTGGGCCCCTTGGGAATCCCTCTTTGGTAAATGCCACTGCCGTTCCCCCCGCACACAACAAACCTGGGTGTTTCTTGTTCTTTGCATTGCTTTTGGGTCCCGTTCAGTGGTACTCAAGGCGGACTCTTGGCTCTGTGCTCAGGGTCACACCTTGACAGGACTCGGGTCCCTATGGGGTCCCTGAGCCTGGGTCAGCTGCACGCAAAAGGCAGATGCTGGCCCCACTGTCCAGTCTCTTCAGCTCCACTTCCTGCTCTTGCAGGAAGTTCTCCTCACGCACCGTCTCTCCGGTGTCTGAAGCTGCTCTGTCTCCATTAGGCAGCAGCTCGAGGTGCTCCGCCTCAAGCAGGTGCAGCGGAGCTCGGGCAGTCAGAGGCGGAAGGACCGCCGAGAGCAAAATCAGGGGGAGTCAGCAGGCGAGAAGAACCGGCCCAGGACCGCGCGGTGCAGCATCCAGCCTCCCCAGGCCCGGGCTCCTGTGGGTTATCGGACCCGTGCCTGCACTCACAGCCACACTCGGGAGAGAAGAAAGGCAGAGCAGGTGTGGCCTGGCCAGGGCCAAGCCGCTGCTGCCCCAGTGAGGCCGGGGGAGGGAGGGCGAGTGGGGAGAGGGCTGGGAGGCGGCTCTTGACTCACCCGCCATCCACAGCCCTCTCCCGTGTGCCTCGTAGCCTTTGCCAGCACGCCTGGATACCATGCAGCCACAGAGGATCGTGGAGGAGGAGGAGCAGGAGCGGATGAAGGGTTTGCTTCAGAGGGGCAACCTCATCCGCAGCCTGGGGATCGTGGAGCAGATCACCCGCATGCTGCACTCCAAACAGCAGGGCCAGAAGCTTCATGAGTATCGGGTGAGGGTCCCTGCACGGCTTCTCAGAACCTGGGGAGCAGGGGTTGTGGTGAGAGCAGCAGTGTGCCGGGGGTAGGGGAGTGGGGAGGGGGTGGCTGGGCATCGGGAAAGAGACTTGGTCCTTGGATGTCTCTTCCCAGGCTCCCAAGTGCAGCTCCCAGCCTCCTTTCTTACAGGGATTCAATCTCTGTGTTATTTTGTCTCAGGACATGACAGCATGGCCAACAAATGATGAGACCCTGGTGTCATTCTCTCTCTAGCAGGGGCAGAGCTCAGCATGCCTCAGGCCTAGGAAAGCCATTTTCCCTGGGCTATGGTGACCTGACCCTTTAATCTCTCAAGTTCTTGCTCACCCCTCCCATGCCCCTCCCCCATCCCCCATCCTTAGGGCATGACCAGGTACCGTTCTATAGTGGTGGTTGCCTGGAGGGACTTCTTTCTCAGCAATTGTCCCTTCCACACTTAAGGGAGGCCTGGCTTCACAGAAAATGTAAGAGGCCACTTCTCTCTAGCCTAGACCCCACCAGGACAGGCAGGGCGGTGGAGAAATGCCATCAGCAAGGCTGCTGTTCTTCGAGGCCCTCCGAGAACTGGGCCCTGCCCACTTCCTGAATCCGGTGCTGCCCAATGCGCTGGTCCCCAGGACCTCGGGGCATCTGTCCAGCACGGAGGCAGCACTGCTCCAGCCTGCTGGCTACCATATACAGCCCAGGACCTTCCAGTGGACGGATCCCGTGGCTCTGGGCCCCTCCTTATCGCCACTGAAGAAGTATGAAAGACGTTGTCTGTCTAGCACCAGAATCCGGCTCCCCGGCAGTGAGTATACAAGCCCAGCCTGGGTCACTGTCCACTGAACTCCCAGCTGTTGCAGTTCTATAATGGTGACTGCCTAGAGGGACTTCTTTCTCAGCAACTGTCCCTCCCACACTTAAGGGAGGCCATTTTCACAGAAAATGTAAGAGGCCACTCCTCTCTAGCCTAGACTCCACCAGGACGGGTAGGGAGGCGGAGAAGTGCCATCAGCAAAGCTGCTGTTCTTCGAGGCCCTCCAAGAACTGGGCCCTGCCCGCTTCTGAATCCAATTGGCGTTTCTGACCGTGCAGGAATGGGGGAAGCTGGGATCCCCTTTATCTGTCTATCTTCTATGTGCCAGGGAAGGGGTAGGGTAGATAGTTCTAGCACTCCGGGACTTGGCAGGGAAGTGAACCCATGACCAGGCCCATGAGTGTGATGCAGCAGCGGGTGGTGGGCACCGGACATTGGTCAGCAGTGGCAGGGGAGGTGCAGTGGGTTCAGTGGACTCAGTGCTCGTGTGTCCACTACAGAGACCCACGCCACCAGGAGGTTAGAAGCCATGAACCAGGCCACAACAGCATCAGCGACATCTTCCCTATACCCTAAGCAGGGCTATGTCCTGCGGCCGGACAGGCGGACAAATGGCAGCTGGAGCGAGTGTGCCGATCCCCGGGCACGCTGACTGGCCAGCTGCGGGCCTCGGGCAGAGGCGGGTGGCATCTGCCCTGAAAGACTCCCCTGAGCCTTCCGAAGGGCAGAAGGGCTTGCCATCGTGCCTCAGCCGGAAGGCCACCGTGCTTCGGGGTGAAGAGGCGCAGCAGAGTGGGGGTCGGGCCTGCGAATGGGAGCCAGGGCCCCGAGGCATGTGACACCAACAGCCGGGGCCATGAGGCTCGTGGACACCAGGAGCCTAGGCCCGAGGCATCTGGACACCAGGCAGCGTCCACAGCATCTGGACACCAGCGGGCAGGGCCCGAGGCATGTGGACACCAGGAACCAGGGCCTGAGGCATGGTCACGAGCAGCCAGGGCCCGAGGCACGTGGACACCGGGAGTCCTCGACTGTTGCCCAGTCAGCCACGACCAAAAGATGCTGAGCAGCCGGGGCCGGCCGCGTCCCCAGCGGGCCTGAGCGAGCGTGGCCAGCGAACCGACGAGCCCGAAGCCTGGGGGCGGGCGCGGGCAGCCGTGGGAGCAAACTGAACCCGAGTCTCTATTAAAGTTCGCGGCGATTTTGCAGGAGCGTCTAAAAGCCTCAACCCCCCTTCGCCACCCGGGGACCTCGGCGCCCCCAGCCTTCAGCGTCTGCTTCTGGGCCCCGCCGGAAGCCCCGCCCCGGAAGCCCCGCTCCGGAGGCCCCGCCCCGCTTCCGGTGAGGGCGGGACCGCGCCAGTCCTGGGCGTCATGGCGGCCGCGCGGAGGCTGTGGCCGGCCGGGTGGGTGCGGGCCGCCGCCGCCCGCCGCGGGCTCGCGAGCCGGGGAGTCGCGGGTCCGGGCCCCGACGGCCGCGAGCCCGACCCCGACTCCGACTGGGAGCCCGAGGAGCGCGAGCTGCAGGAGGTGGCGAGGTACCGGTCCCCTCCGGGAGCGAGGGCCTGAAGCCGCCGCCGCGCCCCGCGCCCCCTCGGCTCCGCGGCGGCCCCTGCGGCCCCCGGGGCGGCGGGACTGCGGAGTCGGGCGCTCGGGGCCCCGGAGAGCCCCGCCCCCCCCCGCACGCATGGCCTCAGCTCCCGGTTCTCTCCCCCAGCGCCCTGCGACGGCAGCGGGCGGCCATCAGGTTCCAGAAGATTCGCAGGCAGATGGAGCCCCGCGGGGCCCCGCCCAGAACCCTGTCGCGGGAAGCCATGGAGCAGATCCGGTGAGACGCCCCCCGAGGGGCGCGGCCCTGGGGGACCGGCCGCCGTCTTGTCCTCGAAGGGGACGGCTCCGGTGGTGCTCGAGGTCGGGGGCAGCCCCCTGCGTTGTCCAGCGCCGGCCTCCAGGGCCGTCGTGCCGTGCTGGGGATGGACTCGGGGGCTTCGCGGGCCAGGCACGTGCGCGCGCACCCGAGCTGCCACGCCTGCCCCTGAATTACTGTCAACCGAGATCCTTGCGTTTCTTGTTTTCGGTCCACATCCCGCCCTCCCCACTCCCCACCCCCCGCACGGTGCTCAGGGCCACCCCTGCTCTCGAGGATCGCCCTTGCCAGGGTTCGGGGGGCCACGTGGGGTGCCTGGGACCGATGGTGGCTTGGCCACGGGCAACGCAGGCGCCCCATCCATGATGCTCTTTTCCCACAGATTTAGGATTTTTTATTTTTGGTTGGGGATGGGGGTGCCACAGCCAGCCATGCTCAGGGCTTACTCTTGCCTCAGTGCTCAGGGATCACGCTTGCCAGAGCTCCGGGGACCTGAGGCAGTGCTGGGGATTAAACCCCGGTTTGCCGGGAGCAAGAAGTTAGCAAGAGCAGCTGTGCGGTCTTTCCAGCCCCAGTATGCTTAGGAATGGAACAGCAGGAGGGCACTTGTCAAGTGTGCATGCTCTCCCCCTCCCCCCCAGTCCCTCCCACCCTCAGTACTGCCAGGAGTGATTCCTGAGTGCAGAGCCAGGAGTAACCCCAGAGCATCTCCAGGTGTGGCCCACAAAAAGGAATGGAACGGTGGATTTGGGTAGGGTCCGAATCTAGATTTAGTTTTTGTTAATTTTTTTTGTTGTTTTTGTTGCCGTTTTTCACTTTTTAAAACAGGACCTAGTTTATTGCTGAGCTGTTAAAATTGTGAACTGCTCATATGTCAATATTTAATCCCCAATCGCTAAGCAGGACTGCAGCCCATGCCTGTCATACACAGGGCCCCGAAGTTGATCCTTAGCCCCTTCTGGCCGCCCTAGCCCTGTCGGGCATTGCCCTGGTTGTCGCAGCACTGCTGGCGAGGTTCCAAAACAAAGATATCTGGACCTGTGAGATGCTGGGGATTGATCGAACCCAGGTTGGCCGTGTACAAGGCAAGTGCCCTACCTGCTGAACGGTGCTTTTTTTTCCTCTGACAGTGCTTAGGGTTTTATTTCTGGCAGGTCATAGGGAACCTTATGTGGTGCTGGGGATCAAATTCGGGTTGGCTTTGTGTAAGGCTGTTTTACTCTCTCTCCAGCCCTCTTCTCCTCTGACCCAGGTGCCACTCATTTCTCTTGTTTTATTCCTGGGCCCTCTCTTAACTCCCAGGTTCTTGGTGCCTAGGAATCACTCCTGTCATGCTCAGGGAACCAGTTAACTCTTGATTGGAGACTCATTCACAACCTGAAAACTTGCTCCTTTTCCCCTGTAGATATTTACATAAGGAATTTGCAGAGACCTGGCCAGTTCCTAGATTGGCCGAAGGCTTTGATGTCAGCATTGATGTGATCAAAAGGGTTTTAAAAAGCAAATTTGTTCCCACATCGGACCAGAAACCCAAGGATCAGAAGGATCAAAAGGCCGTTAATAAACAGCTGGGCCAGCAGCCCCGGATTTCTGGTGATAACTTGAAGCCACGTTCTGTGAGCCACCTTGGTTCTTGGTTGATGCCAGGGGGTGAAGCTCCATCTAGAGACCAGGATCATAGCGTGGCTTTGAAAGTGATGAAATGGAGTGTGCAGGGAGCAGGCACTCCTAAGAGCCAGAAGGGCAGGAATAAAGGGGGCTGGAAGACCAGTGTGCCTGCTGATGCCGCCCCCAGAGGTCCACGCAGAAGCACTCCGCTTGTCTTCAAGGCCCCCAGACATGCTGATGGTGATGGATCTCCAAAATGACAGGAAACTGGAAGACGAGAGAGCCTGGTGACCAGAACTTCAGCAGCAAAGCAGAGCAGAGAGGGCGAGAATTCCTTGGTGACATTGGAAGCCCCCTGGCAGAGTTTGAGCCGGACGAATGGAGCTGCCCAGTGGTGTGGGGAGAAAGCCGTTGTACCTGGTCTGACACAGGGCAGCAGACATCATTCGTGGAGGGGAGAGGGCCGGCAGCATTCCCTGCCCCCTTCGCACCTGGATTTTAGCCCGCTCATGTTGCATGTGTCCTCGAGTTCCTGCCATGATTGCTATGAGGGGAGAAAGGGAAGTTGGCTCACTGCCCACGTTTCCTTATTGAGCAGTTCTGGAACTGCTTAGCCGATTGGTTCTTCATGTTCAAAATAAAGTAAAATCTAGCCGCGCGCGCGTGTGTGTGTGGGGGGTGCTTTCCTGGTGGTGGGGGAGAGTCTACCAGTGAACTTGGGAAGTGGGGGTCCAGGGGGAGCAAAGACTCCTTCATTCAACATTTTAAAAATTAAAACCTGGATGTCCTTTAGGTTTCAGAAGAAAAGGCTGGGAGAGGGGCTAAGATGCTTTATTTGTTCCTTATTTGATTCCTAGCATCCCGTAAGGACTCAAGTCCCCCATCCTGTAAAATAATGATTGAGAGATGTAAACTGGGTGACTATCATTTGTTAGATTTCAGAAACATAATGGGGATGGGCCCAGTCAGATGATACAGGGATAAAGTGCTTGTCTTGCATGCAGCAAACCTGAATTTTGCTCCTGGCACTATGTATGGTCCCTTGAGCCAGTAGTGATCCCTGAGCATCTTTGGGTGTGGGCCCTCACCGAAAAAGGTTGGGAGAATGTACCTGGGGGAAGGAGCGGAGGTGTGAATCTTTAGAACTCAACCTCTTGAACTCTCGGGTAGCAGTAAAGTGAGGCCTTGCATGCGTGAGTCCTGGTTTCTGGAGCGACCTGGTTCTCGTGGTGAGGTTTTCTAAGCTGCTTCCTAACCCTAACCCCCCAGTGACAGTTGGGCAGGGGGCTGTGTATGTGTGTGTGTGCGTGGGGGGGTTCAGCGCAAGGGTATGTGTGCCTTACTGCTTCCTGCTGAGCTGCAGTTTCAAAAGTAGGTTTCAGTGTTTTGAAAGGCAGTTGGAACTAAACACCACACCATGGAATGCCTTTGGCCATGCCAACCTGCCCAATGGGAGGAGGCCAATGACAACTCCTAGGCGTCTTCCACATCCACCTGTCTCCAGGCTCACCTACCCTTGCTCAAGGGAACTGGAAGCCTGCCGTTGAAGATCAATTTAGTTTCTCCAGACATGGCAGCTAAAACATCTGTTAGAAGCTAGTTACATCCTGAACAGCTGGTTGTGCTTTGGTGGCTGTGCTCTGGTGGCTCTCAGAACTATAGTATATTAAGATCATCCAGTCCCCTCCACACTGAACCCATGAGCCTGATCCTGGTGGCCACATACTGCTGGCCACCTATCTTGAGCACTTCTTGGGAGTTGTGTTCCCCAATCCTTCCTCCCTTCCAACACCCATTGAAAGAGCCTCAGATCAGTTTAGTTTCTAACCCTTTAGGGTTGTATTTTTTTTGTTTTTGTTTTTCTGGTGAGGGGGCGACACCTGGTGATGCTTGAGGTTTGACTCCTGGTTCAGGGTTCACTGGGGGTTCACTCTGGTATACCATGGAATCAGGTCACCTGAGTGCAAGACTATTTTTCTTTTTTTTTTTTTTTGATTTTTGGGTTACACCTGGCTCTGCACTCAGGAGTTACTCCTGGCAGTGCTTGGGAACTTAATTGGGATGCCAAGGATGGAGCCCGGGTGGGCCACCTGCAAGGCAAATACAGTCTCCACTGTGCTGTTCTAGCCCCGAGATTAGGTCTTGACTGTTGCTCGGGCTCCATCTTTCTGAACCACCAAGAAATCCCTGAATCCAGAGCCAAGCATAAGCCAGGTGTGGCCCCCAAACCAATTTTTTTTCTTTTTGGGTCACACCTTTGATACACAGGGGTTCCTCTTGGCTCTTGTACTCAGGAATTACCCCTGGTGGTGCTCAGGGGACCATATGGGATGCTGGGAATTGAACCCGGTCCGCTGCGTGCAAGACAAACGCCCTACCCGCTGTGCTATTGCTTCAACCCCCCCCCCCCCCCCCAAACAATTCTTGAATCTCCAGGACAGTGCTTTCTGGGGCTGGACAGACAGTACACTGGATAGGGCGTTGGCCTTGCATGCGGCTGACGGGGGTTCAATCACCCGCACGCCCTGTGGTCCCCTGAACTCTCCAGGAGTAATTCCTGAGCCAGGAGTAACCCCTGTGCATCAGTAGGTATGGCTTCAAATCTTAAAAAAAAAAAAAATTAAAAGGGTAGGAGCGATAATACAGTGGGGAGGGTATTTGCCTTGCATGTGGCCCACCCGGGTTAGATCGCCGGCATCCCATATGGTGCCCCGAGCACCGCCAGAAATGCAGAGCCATGAGTAGCCTCCGAGCATCTCCGGCGTGACCCCAAATCGAAAAGAAAAACCCGAACAACGGCCCCCGCCCCGCCCCCTGCTTGCCAGCCGGAAAGGGGACTAGCGCTTCGCGGTTTCCAATGGTCCCTCTCGGGCGCCGTCGTCTTCCCGGCAGGCTCAGCGCCGTCGTGGCTCCGGCACTTCCGGCGGCGGCGGCTGCTCTGCGCGAGCGGGCTCGGGTGCGGCCCGGCCGTGTCCTGCGGCGCGGGTCACCGCGGCCGCGGCTGTCGTCCGCGCCGGGCCCTGCGGGGCGCCGCCATGGCCTTCCCGCACCGGGTGGACGCCCCCGAGCTGCCGGACTTCTCCATGCTCAAGCGGCTGGCGCGGGACCAGCTCATCTACCTGCTGGAGCAGGTGGGCGGCGCGGGCAGCCGGGCTCGGGGGCAGGAGAGGCGGGCGGGGCTTGCGCTCTCGTCGCCCGAGAAGGGCAGTTCGGAGGCCGTCAGGCCGGTCGCCAAAGTCGGCCGAATTCTCGGCCCGGGGACAGAGTCCCCCGTCCGGAAGGGCGGCGGGGGGCTGCACCGGCGATGCCCACGGCCGACTCCGGCTCTACTAAGCGACTCGGGGCGGGCACGGGGACCGTGTGGGGGGCCGGGGCTGGAACTCGGGTCGGAGGCTGCGATGCAAATGCCCTGCCCGCCGAGCCACGCCCCCAGTAGCCCCCACCCCGCCCCGGGCCGCTGTGGCTTTCAGTGGCAAATTCTGGGGCCGGGGGTGTGGCTCGTGGCCGAGCGCTTGCCTTGCACTTGCCAGGGTCTGGCTGGCGGAAGGACTGGCGCCAGCAAAAGCTGCCCGTGAAAGCCGAGAGCTTCCTGGCGGCTCGGTGAGAGTCGCAGCTTGCAGGCAGGCGACCGGTTTTGGGGTGCGACTCAGAGGGGATGCACGGCCTCTGAAAACGGGAGAGCCGAGGTCGCCCGTCCTGGGACTCGGTGAGGTGCGGGGTGCCTGCAGAGCGTCGGTGGCTGTGGGCCCGCCGCTGAAAGAGCTCGGCGGACTGTGCCTGGGCCCTGCTGAGCTCCGTATGACCTGGGTGGCTGTGCTTTCAGCTGCCCGGGAAGAAGGACTTGTTCATCGAGGCTGATCTCATGAGCCCTTTGGATCGGATCGCCAACGTCTCCATCCTCAAGGTACTGCCCCTTCCCACCAGGGCCCACGCCCCTCTTTTCTTGGGCCGGGCTTTGCTGCTCGGTGCCAGTGCCCGAAGAGCCACACTTGGCGGCTAAAGAGAGCGCAGCTGGATCGGCGGGCTGAACGGCCCTTTTTGACTCATTTCCTTCATGGCTGATCCGGAGGCAGTCCGTGGGGTGGTTGTGGAGCACGATCCATTCCGGAGTCAGCCCTGTTACGGCCCTTCCCGAAGGACCCGTGTTCTGTGGTTGCCGAGCACTCACGCCTGGTGTCTTGTTGGATTCTCTTGGTAGCAACATGAAGTGGACAAGCTGTACAAGGTGGACAACAAGCCAGTCGTCAGCTCCAGTGAACAGTTGAGTGTCCGGAACAGCCTGAGCGGGTTGCAGGTGGCCCCCGCTCACTGCCCTGGGCCTGTCCTGAGTTCTGACCTTCAGGCCTGTTCCCGCAGTGGCCTCCAGTTTGTCTCCCTTTCCGCAGGTCTCTCCTGCTTGTGCGCTTCCCGCCCTCGTCCTGGGAGAAAAGGCTTTGGTTGTGCTTAGGAGTGTTCAGGTCTCCCCCCCAAGTCCCCAAATCCTTTCCAGTTCAGGGCGATTCCAAGAGAGGCTGCCCCTGAAGTTCCAGCCGGCAGCCTCTTTCAGTCCCCCGCTTCCCTGGTTCCCAGTTCCACGCACGCCCAGTTCCAGTGGATTGGTTGGCCTCCTCCGTTCAACCCGCACTGCCCCAGGGCCTAGTCCGCATTTCCTGGGGCTGGCCTGTCGTTATGGGTTATGGCTAGCCTCCCTGCTGGCTGGGTTCATCTTTCACCAGAAGTAGCATTTCAGACTCAACTAACATGCACCCTCCCTTAGGAGCAGGGACTCTAACTCCCTGGGGCAGCGGCCATGAGCCCTGGGCCAGAACCCTTCTGAGGCTTCTCTTTCTTGGGTTTTAACACTCAGTCTCTGTTGCCCACTAGGTTGCAATTCCTTGAGAACAGTAACTTTTGGGCCCCCCAGAGGGCCAGTCATCACCTCCGCTCACCACAGAGTCCCTCTTTGTTGGGGAGCCTGAGCCCACTTTGGTGTGGGGGGACGTGGCTGAGGCTGGGCACCACTGCCCTTGTTGGTGGGCTGCTGGCCGCTTTCCTGCGGTCTGCCTTCACCTGTCTCTGCTCTTTCTTCTTTCCTGAAGGCTCTGCTTCCTGATAAGGCCCCGCATCCGGAACCTGCGCTACATTGCCAGTGAGTGTGCCTGGGAGGGCCTTATGCACCACGGGTGGAGATCAGGTGTGGGGTCACACCATGCGTGGGTATGTCTGCCTGATACCTGCCCTGAGCACCGTCCTCCTCTTTGTCCGTAGACCTCGTCAATGCTGACAAGCAGGCAGGCCGAGCTCGGAGATACAAAGTGATCTTCAGCCCTCAGAAGGTAGCTCAGAACTGGGTGCTCTCCCCCGACCCCCCCCATCAACAGGGCATGTGTTTACAGGAGCTATGGCTGGGGAGAGGCCTTGCCTTGCCCAGAGGCTCTCTGAACACTTGTTTATTTTTCTTCTGGGGTCCACACCCAGCAGGACTTGAGCAGTTAACTCCTGGTGGGCTGCTCAGGGGCTGCTGTGGGGGGATCCGAACCAGGGCACCCTCGGGGAAAGCACGTGCTTGGCCCTTGGTGCCCCTTGTTGCTACTGCAGCGGCTGTTTGTGTGGCGGGGCCCAGTCCTGCACTTTTGAGGTAGACTCAGGGTCTCAGTGGCACAGCTAGGCCTGGGTATTGCCTCTTGCCTGTCCCCTTGTCCTCAGCTTGTAGTAACCCCAAGGGGTTGAGAACCCGGGGTGCCTGGGGATGAGACCCCAGCATCCGGTGAGCTGTCTCAGCTGGGACACGTGTGGAAGTGCTGGGCTGGCTGTGTTGTGCCCCTTTCTAGGTCTGAGAGTCAGGGTTCCTGTCTCCTTTCCCGGGTTCTGGGAGTGTCGCCCTTCCCAGGGCTGCTGCAGGGAGTGGGGGCGTTCCTAGAGAGTCTCTGACTTCCGCCTTTGCTCCTGCAGTTCTATGCCTGTGAGATGGTGCTGGAAGAAGAGGGTATCTATGGAGGTGAGAGCGGTGGGAATGGGCTTGTTCCTGGGGCTGTGGGGGCCCTGCTGATGCCCTGCTGCCCACAGATGTCAGCTGTGACGAGTGGGCCTTCTCCTTGCTGCCCCTGGATGTGGATCTGCTGAGCATGGAGCTGCCGGAATTTTTCAGGGACTACTTCCTGGTATACCCAGCAAGCTCTCGGGCACTCAGCGGCAAAGGGGCCTGGTCTGAGTGGGCGGGATCTGGAGATTGGGTGCTGAAGGATGACCATGGGACTAACGTGGGAACACCTGATACAGACTCTGGTGCCAGCCCCCCATTCCCCCTCCTGCCCCTGGCCAGACAGGCCTGTGGGCCGGAGCTGAGTCAGCTGGGCATGTCTGCAGGAAGGAGACCAGCGCTGGATCAACACTGTGGCCCAAGCCTTGCACCTTCTCAGCACGCTCTATGGGCCCTTCCCCCACTGCTACGGCATGGGCAGGTGTGCCAAGGTGACAGCCCCGCCAGGTGCCCGGAGCAGAGGAGGGTGGTGGTGGGCACAAGGGCCAGCCCCTGCTGTGTCTCGTGTGGGCGAGGGCTGACCTCTGCCAGGGCCTGTGGCTCATGGGGGCTGCCTTGGGCCCTGCAGATGGTGCATGAAATGTGGAGGACCCTGGAGGAGGAGGAGGAAGGGGAGACCAAGGGCCGCAGGCCAGAAATTGGCCACGTCTTCCTCCTGGATCGAGGTAAGTGGTGCTCCCTGGAAAGCATGGCACATGAGGACACGGGGGGCAGCACACGTGGGCAGCAGATGCCTCAGGAGATGCCTCAGGGTTGGACTCTGGTTTTAGACGTGGACTTCGTGACGGCGCTGTGCTCCCAGGTGGTTTACGAGGGCTTGGTGGACGACACCTTCCGCATCAAGTGTGGTGAGTAATGTTGTGGGCTCCTGCCCGGCCCGGCGCTGGCGGAACCACCAGCTGCCTCTGAGTTGGGGGCAGGGGGTCCTAGGGATGGGCGACCCTCCTGCATGTCCTCCTCTTAAAGGGAGTGTGGACTTCGGCCCTGACGTCACGTCCTCTGACAAGAGTCTGAAGGTGCTGCTTAATGCTGAGGACAAGGTGAGAGGGTGCCTGACTCCATCCTGGGGTTACTGCTGTGTCCACTGTACAGACCCTGGGCCGGGTCTCCTTGCATCTCTCCTTGACCTCGTGTGGGCCTGGCCTCCCCGCAGGTCTTCAGTGAGATTCGCAACGAGCATTTCTCCAATGTCTTTGGCTTCCTGAGCCAGAAGGCCCGAAACCTGCAGGCCCAGTATGATGTGAGGCACCAGCCCCCCTCCCCACGGTTTCCCTCTGGAGTCAGAATTGGGAAGCAGGGGGAAGATGTGGTGGGGTGACAGCATACCCTCCCCGCAGCGCCGGAGAGGCATGGACATCAAACAGATGAAGAACTTTGTGTCCCAAGAGCTCAAGGGGCTGAAGCAGGAGCACCGTCTGCTGAGTCTCCGTAGGTGTCACCCACCCAACTGTCCTGTTTGTCAGAGGTGGGAGGTGGGTGGGGGTGGGCTGTCCACTCTGTCCTTCAACACTATGAGGAGAAACGCACAGTAGAGGCTTCCTAGGCCGACTCTCTCCTTCCGCCCACAGATATCGGGGCCTGTGAGTTCATCATGAAGAAGAAAACCAAGCAGGACTTCCAGGAGCTCATCAAGACTGAGCATGGTGACTGGGGCTGATGGGCTTGGCTTGCAAGGGCACTTAAGGTCCTTGTCTCTGCAGCCTGCCTGCTCCAGTCCTGGGGCAGAGAAAGACAGGGAGATGCAGCCCACTGACCTCATCTCCCGTAACTATTTCCGTCTCCCTCTCACTCGCAGCACTGCTGGAGGGCTTTGGGGTCCGCGAGAGCACCAGTTACATAGCAGAGCACATAGACCGGCAGGTGAGCAGGGCTGGGCCGGATTTTTTGCAGGGCACAGAGACTGGCAGGTGAGCGGGGCTGAAATCACAGTTGAGCCAGGAGCACAGCAGGGGGGCGCAGTGCCAGCATGGTGCTGAGTGGGAGTGGCCTTGTGCAGAAGGACAAGGCTGTGACCCCCTGTCCCGTGCCGAGCAGGTGTCACCGATTGAAAGTCTCCGCCTGCTGTGCCTGTTGTCGCTCACAGAGAACGGTAAGTCCAGCAGATCCCGCAGGAGAGCCCAGGCTGCTTCCCCTCCAGAACCAACTAGCTCGTTGTCCCCACACAAGCCCATCTGCCTCTGGGCAGCAGAGGCACTGCCCGGGGTCTCCCTGCCCACCCAGCTCTGCCCTCAGTGCAGTCTTGCAGTCAAGACTCATCTGGCAGACAGGGAGCCCGTCTATCACAGAGCCACTTGTCAGCTGCTGTCATGCCTCGTGGGGTCACCCCAGCTTGCTTTACCTCAGTGCCCCCAGCTACCCAGCTCATTCCCTCTCAATGTACCTCCATGCCGATAGGTGTCCTTTGGGTTTTGGGTCACACTCACCAGTACCTGACCTTACTCCTGGCTCTGTGCTCAGAAATCACTGCTTGAAGTGCTGGGGCAGGGGGGCTGTAGGAATTGAACCCAGGTTGGCTGTGTGCCAGGCAAGTGTCCTCTCTGGTGGCCTATTGCTCTGGCCACTAACAGCGGGTAAGGCGTTTGCCTTGCATGTGGTCGACCCGGGTTTGAGTCCTCCGTCCCTCTCAGAGAGCCTGGCAAGCTACCGAGAGTATTCCATCTGCACGGCAGAGCCTGGCAAGCTCCCCGTGGTGTGTTCGATATGCCAAAAACAGTAACAAGTCTCGCAATGGAGATGTTTCTGGTGCCCGCTCAAGCAGATCTATGAACAACGGGAGGACAGTGCTAACAGTGCTCACCTGGTGGTGCTCAGGTATTACTCCTCATGGGGCACTGGGGCACCCTAGTGACAAGGATCGAACCCAGATCAGCTGCATTCAAGGCAAGTGCTCTCCCCATTGTATTATCAGAACTCAGCTGAACACTTACTTCCAAGACCTTTAGTGGCCGAAAGGCGATCTGGGTAAAGCTGGCCTGTCCGTGGCCAGGGGAAGCACAAAGAAAGTCCTTTCTCCCCGCAGCTGCTCCCTCGCCTGGAGACTCACCCATTCTTCCACACCCTGATCTAGGCACTCTCTGTCAGTGTGCCCTTGCTTCAGAGTCAGTTTAGGAACAGCTGGGCAGAGGAGCTGAGGGGAGAGCAGAGCAGTAGTAAGGGCAGGCATGCTAATCCCCGATCCACCCCTAGTGTCCCGTAGGGTCCCCCACGCCCACCAGGAGTAATCCGTGAGCACTACCGGGTGTGGCCCAAAAACCAATAAATAAACAAAAACGACTTTATAAAAACAAAAGCTGTGCAGGTCCTGAGGCTAAGCCCTGGGGCCTTTCCTCCTGGGGCAGGTGGTTTGGCGCAGGGTGGGTGGTCTGGGTGCACATTTTACAGTGCAGCAGCTGCCTGACAGCTTGGCTCCACTTTCAGGATTGATCCCCAAGGACTACCGCTCCCTGAAGACGCAGTATCTGCAGGTGAGGCCAGTAGGAACACCTAGTTTTGTGGGATCTTAGCAGATGGGGTCAGGGGACAGTTCCGAGAGAGACGAAAGCCCACAAGGCCCTCTTCACCAAGCTTCACCTTGGTTCCCCTGGATGAACCTGAGTCTCGGCACAGCAGCCACTGCACCCCCTCGCGGTGCTCCCCTGGACTGTGTCCCCCGCAGAGCTATGGCCCCGAGCACCTGCTCACCTTCTCCAACCTGCGCCGCGCCGGGCTGCTGACGGAGCAGGCCCCGGGAGACACTCTCACGGCGGTGGAGAGCAAGGTCAGCAAGCTGGTGACCGACAAGGCTGCAGGTGAGGGGACCCCGGGCTCTCAGTTCCATCTCCTTCCATTTGCTGACCACCCCTGTCCAGGGGAGGATGCTTAGCAAGCAGGGCAGGTTCCAGGCCTCGGTGAGTGAGGTGGGCTCGGCCCGGGGGGGTGTGTTCCCAGAACCCACTCTTGGAACTATGAGTCAGGGTGTCCCTGTAGTTGCAGTGAGTGACCAGGCTGCCCCCCACTGAGCTTGGGGAGCAGGGAAGTGACCAGCATGGCAGATTCTGGGGGTTGCTAGGTAGTGGTTCGGAGCAAGTAGGGGTGTCAGGGAGTGTGGGATCCTGGACTGAGGACACCCGCCTGCCCCGTTCCAGGCAAGATCACCGATGCCTTCAGCTCTCTGGCCAAGAGGAGCAATTTCCGTGCCATTAGCAAGAAGCTGAATCTGGTAGGTGGGGGCGGGATGGTCAGGGGACAGCTGGGGTGTCCTTTGTGGGCTGCTCTGACTCCACACAGAAGCATTTTTTTTTTCTTTCGGTTTTTGGGCCATACCCAGTGATGCACAGGGGTTACTCCTGGCTTTGTACTCGGAATTACTCCTGGTGGTGCTTGGGGGACCATATGGGATGCTAGGAATTGAACCCGGGTTGATCGTGAGAGCACGGACTTTTCTTGCTGACGTCAGTGCTGGGAGTAGCATCTTACGCAGAACAGAGTGTCCTGCCCTGAGCTCCATGAGGGCCTCATGTGCACACAGTGGGAGACTCAGTGCCCAGCAGCTCCTGCCAACCCTTCTGGGCATACCCACCGCTCAGCAGGAGACCTGGGAAGGAGGCGAAGGGGGCTCTGGGCTCCTTTTCTCTTTTTTGGCCTCTCTGGTCCTCCCATCAGCAATCCTCGGTGGTGCTCAACCTTGCCCCACTCCTTGGGCCCTCCAGATCCCACGTGTGGATGGCGAGTATGACCTCAAAGTGCCTCGTGACATGGCCTATGTCTTCAGCGGTGCCTATGTGCCCCTCAGCTGCCGAGTCATCGAGCAGGTATGATTGGGGGCACCCTCACCCTCTGCATTCTCTGAGTCCCCGGGTGCCCCAACATGGAGCTTGCGAGGGCCTGTCCTGGCCTTAGCCTACTGTGTCCCAGCTGGATCCCACCTCGTGCCCGACAGGTACTGGAACGACGAAGCTGGCAGGGCCTGGAGGAGGTGGTGCGGCTGCTCAACTGCGGGGAGCTGGTGTTCACAGGTGTGGGCGCCGCGGAGGCCGGGAGTGGTGGGGGAGGTGGGGTCACGTGGTGCTGAGTCTCGCCTGACCCTGCAGACGTGAGCAAAGAGGACAAGGCACCCAGTGAGTCCTCGCGCCTCATCCTTGTGGTGTTCCTTGGTGGGTGCACCTTCTCGGAGATCTCGGCCCTGCGCTTCCTGGGCAGAGAGAAAGGTGAGGATGCCACGGGGCTGCATCCCTGCCCGTGAGGCTGCTGAGAGCCTGGCAGGCGCCTGGGTGCAGGGAGCTCGGGCACCCGGGGCCGCACCCTCTGCCTCTGGTCACCTCACCGGGACGCTCCACAGGATACAGGTTCATCTTTCTGACGACGGCTGTCACCAACAGCGCCCGCCTCATGGAGGCCATGAGTGAGGTGAAAGGCTGAAGCTTCCCATGAGAGCTGCCTTCTGGATGCTCCCCCTTGGGCTCCCTGCTGCGAGCATGGGGGACGGAGCTGATGTGACTGTGGAGAGCCCACATCCTCCCCCCAAGTCCCCCTCTCCTGTTTTGTGAGTGAAATCCACAAATATGCACCAATATGCCCCGGTTTCAGTATGCCCCAATTATAGTTATTTTACTCGGGATTCCAGTGCCCTGAATTTTTCACTATTAAGGGACCTGCAGGGACCACACTGGATCGAGAGATTTCCACCAAATGCGGAGGGGGGTGGGCACTGAGCTTTAGCGGCCCCGATTAACAAGGGGTGGCTTCAGGATCAGGGGCAGTCAAGGGAGCAGGAGCGGGAAATAGAAGCTGCTTGCCATTGTTCTTGTAAATCTTGACCCCAGAGGGTCCGAGACTTGGCACTCCACAGGGCAGGAAGTTGGCTGTAGCCCCTTCTGGGCCAGTGCGCTCTGCCATATGGAGGAAGAGGGCATCGTGCCTACCACGTACTCCCATAAATCTACTGGGCCCAGTACACTCCCAGGAATTCGGTTGGCTGGTGGGCCCTTGGCTTCGTTAATTTGGGTCATAAAAGGAATACTGCTCCCTCCCTTCTCTTGTTTAATTTAGGCGGTCAGTTTCAGTTTCTGTCACCATCACATTTTCTTAATTTTCATTAGTTTCATAATTCGCATTCCATACAGCCTCTTATTTGTCATTACAGATCTGCCTCTCAATTGCATTTGTCAATCTCCCAATAAAGTCCGTGTATGGTTCCGAGGCCCCCTGAACAATTTTTTATACTTAAACAATTTTTTATTTATAACTTTATTTATTTATATGGGCTGGAGTGATAGCACAGCGGTAGGGCGTTTGCCTTGCACGCAGCCAACATGGCCGACCCGAGTTCGATTCCTCCGCCCCTCTCGGAGAGCCCAGCAAGCTCCCGAGAGTATCTCGCCCGCACGCCCGGCAAGCTCCCGAGAGTATCTCGCCCGCACGGCAGAGCCTGGCAAGCTCCCGTGACGTATTCGAGATGCCAGACACAGTAACAACAAAGTCTCCCATGGAGACGTTACTGGGCCCGCTCGAGCAAATTGACGATCAACGGGAGGGCCTTACTTACTTATTTATATTAACTTATAAATAAAGTTATATTATTTTTAATATAACTTCCTTTAAATTCAGCATCTGCATTGATCTTCTCCCATGCCTATCAGGCTGCATCTCAAGTCATGAGCAAAAATAGCACAAGGCAAGGTGATTTCCTTTTTGGGCCATGCCATTTCCCTTCACCTACTAATATCCATAAGTTACTTTGCTCCCTGAAAATTTTTGTCCAGAATTATCTAGGTCATGAAGTTTTGCCTGGCCTCATCACTGAACCACATCCTCCAATGCATGTACTGAGAAAGATTTAAGCATGTTCATTTTAAGGAACATGTGAAAAACTCCCTTTTCATTTAGAGTTGTAAGAGGCTGACACCTGGGTGTGTAAATAAACCTTTGTAGGAAGTTTTATTTGCTGGGCAGAAGTGTATTAGAATTCACTGTTGTGGTTAGAGAGGATCTGACATTCCTGCCTTTTCCAGAGGCGGAGCTGTCTCAGCTGGGAGTGACAGAAACAGCCAATTAATGTGAAAATCACTGAGACTCTCCTTGAGATAAATTTTTTTTTTGCTTTTTTTTGGGGGGGGGGGAATCATACCTGGCAATACACAGGGGTTACTCCTGGCTCTGGACTCAGGAATTAGCCCTGGTGGTGCTCAGGATACCATATGGGATGTTGGAAATCGAACCCAGGACGGCTGCGTGCAAGGCAAATGCCCTACCCACTGTGCTATCGCTCCAGCCCCGAGATAAATTTTTAAAAATTAAATAATACCAGAGCTGGAGCGATAGCACAACAGGTAGGGTGTTTGCATGCAGCCGACCCGGGTTCGATTCCTCCGCCCCTCTCGGAGAGCCTGGCAAGCTACCGAGAGTATCCCACCCGCATGGCAGAGCCTGGCAAGCTCTCCGTGGCATATTCAATATGCCAAAAACAGTAACAAGTCTCACAATGGAGACGTTACTGGTGCCTGCTCCAGCAAATCGATGAACAACGGGAGGACAGTGCTACAGACAGTGCAGAGAGCAGTTTTTGAAAATCATTAAGAGTTTTGAGGTTTTCGTACAATCTCCGAAGGTATCATTAAAACACCCAAGCAAGATATCATCGATAAGACCAGGATGAAGGTGGTGCTGTTTAAAATTCCCTGAGGCAGAATGCTCCAGTGGTATTCGGCTGTAGGCTTTAAGTGATTTATTTAATGATAAAGGAGAGCATTATAATATTGACCAGTAGAGGTCAAACACAAATACACAGTTTAACGATATGTTTGCTTTGTTCTTTAGTCCAGCAAAAAGCCTTTTTCTTTGGGGGTGGGGGGATGCTTTTCTGGGTCACACCTGGCAGCGCTCAGGGCCTACTCCTGGCTTTGCACTCAGGAGTTGCTCCTGGCAGTGCTTGGGGAACCCATATGGAATGCTGGGAATTGAACCAGGGTCAGCTGTGTGCAAAGCTAGCATCCTCCTTCAGCCCCTCCAGCTTTTGCCTTGATTAAATTCAAAGTTTTCTAAGAGCATTATAATTTTGTACTTATTTCCAATAATGAATTTATATTCTGAATTATCTAAGACCCTTTTTGACCTACTTTAAAAATATATATGTATCTTTTAGAACAGTTCTTTAGATACAATTTAAAATTTCTTTATACCAATTTCCTTATTTTAAATTTCCTTATAGGGTAATCTTATATTTTCTTATACCAATCCAGTTTGACCATACATTTTTTTTCTCATTTTTAAGTTTTATTCATTCCAATTCACAACCCACCAGTTTCACACCAGAGTCACAGAATCCCACCCCTTTTATTTTTAACCTGTGTGCAGCAGATTTCTTCACGAGTCACCCAGAATTATGGGGTATCTGAGCCTCTTCCTTAAATGCTCTGTAAACATTATCCTTGGCCCTCTTCCAAACTTTGGTCTCCGAGTGCCCTAATTGGGAAACCAAGGATTAAATTTGTAGACAATTTTGAGACAAGACTGGCGTTGGTCTCAAGTAACACAATTTCCAGTTTCACGAGAGAAATGCTCAATTTAATGAAGGTCTTAATCAGTTCAATAAAGGCCTTACCATGTTCAGTCCAGTGCTTGTAAGAGCACTTGTAAACTTCTCTGGGGTGGGGAGGGGGAGAGGAAAAGGGAATTCCCTGATGAAGCTTAAAACATTTGGGGTTAATATCCAACAGCCTTGGGTTCTATCCCTGCCCACGAGATAAAATACGTATTTTTAAAAAACCCAGAACCAGTACCGGAGCCATAGTACAGTGGGTAGGTGTGTGCCTTCCACACAGCCAACCTGGGTTCGATCCAATATGTATCCTATATGTACCCCTGAGCACTGCCAGGAGTAATTCCCGAGTGCAAAACCGTGAGCAACCCCTGAACATCCCTGGTCATGACCCAAAGAGCCAAATAATAAATGAAAAGACAGAACCTGAGTGGTTGAATCACCTGGGTGATTGAGAAGAATATTGTGTCAGTGCACATCCCAAGAATAATGATTTGGTTAATGATAAAGGAGAGCATTATTATTATTGACCTGTAGAGGTCATATATAGGAGTTCTAGTTCAACAAGCTAGAATTTGTTTTGGGGGCTATTCCCACTCTGCTCATAAGTCATTCCTGGCAGTGCTCAGGGGACCAGTGGTGCTGGGGCTAGACCCATGTTCTTCTGCATGTGAAGTCTGTGCTCTAGTGCACCGAGTTGTCTGACAGGTTAAAGGCTACGAACACTTGCTGATGGTAAGAAAGATCCTGTGGGCTTCTCGATGGAGCAGGGCTGTGTGGAAGCGTCCCCCATACCACAGGAAGTGTGGGTCACCACAACAGAGAAGGGAAAGAGAAAAATGGTCAAAAAAATTGGGCAAACCTTTGAAATTTGAAAGATAACCACCCCCTGAGGCTGGAGCAATAGCACAGCGGGTAGGGCCTTTGCCTTGCACACAGCAGACCCAGGTTCGATTCCCAGCATCCCACCTGGTCCCCCGAGCACCGCCAGGAGTGATTCCTGAGTGCATGAGCCAGGAGTAACCCCTGTGTATCGCCGGGTGTGACCCCAAAAATTAAAAAATAAAACTAAATTTAAAAGACAACCACTCCCAGGGAAAACACTTTTCTGAAAAATTCTGTGGTTCCAGCGACACCGTCAACTCCCCAGGGTTACTCCTGGCTCCGCGCCCAGGCTTTATTCCTGGCGGTTCTTGGGGGACTGCAAGGGTTGCTGAGGATGGAACCCCCCAGTGGGCCGCATTGCAAGGCAAGCGCCCTCCCCGCCGGACCATCGCTCCGGGCCCGGGGCCTCCCTCCTCCAAGCCGAGAGTCGGGAAGGACCTCAGATCTGGATTTGTCTGGGTCCACGCGCAGTTCCTTGCTCCTGCGGCCAGGGCGCTGCCTGGGGGTGAGGCGTGTACCCGGCCCTTGCGGCGGCCCCTGGCCACTCGGACCGCCTGGGACCCTTTCCTGGAACGCGTCAGGAGTGCGCAGGGGGCTGCTGTGGACGCCCCGCAGAGGCGCCAGCCCGACAGGGGTTTTCCGTCGGCAGCTCCCGGCTCGGACCCAGGCCCATCCCCACCCCTCCCCGGGGTCCCGAGGGCGGCGCCACGCGCTTTGAATCCGAGCTGTGGGCGGGGCCCGAGCCCGCGAACCCACCGCGCAGTCGCAGTCGCGCCGGGGCGGGGCCAGGGCCCAGTGCGCAATCGCGGCCGTGCCGGGGGCGGGACCCGCGCGCCCGGCAGCCAATCGCGGGCCGGCGCCGTCTCCGCGCTGGCTTCAAATGTCCCGCGGGGCTAACGGCTCGCGGAGCAGCTAAGCGGCGGCAGCGCGGCTCTTGCGTCCGGGCGCGGCGCGCTGGGCACCGGCAGAACAGCTCGAGGACCGGCCGGCCGGCCGGGAGGAGCGTCCGCCATGAGGAGGAGGTGCGGGACGCGGGACGGGTGGGCCCCGAGCGGTCACCGACGGCCCGGCCTCGGGCGTCCTCGGTGGCCGTGGTGGACGGGCCAGGCCGGCTGGGGAGTGCGGAGACGGACCGCAGCGGCGCCTGGACGGGCAGGGTGGGCGCCCTCCCGTCGGGGGCCGGGGGGGACGCACCAGAGTGCGGGCACAGTCCCATTTCCCGCAGGGCTGGCCCGCGCTTTCGGAGCCCTGCCCCTCCCAGGCGCAGATGAGCTTCCGGGGGGCAGCATCTCGGTCAGTGGATCAGTGGAAGAGTGGACGTAGGGACGGACTTCATCAGCGAATGCCCCTCTCCCTCCCCCTAGAGAAGCTTGCAGTGCTCTCAGGAGCACCCCTAGTCCCCCAGTTTATCTTTGACCTTTAGCCTTTCCGTTGTGCTTTGCCTCAAACCTTCTGGCGACTCTGGATTTTGTGCTTGCGGTGCTTGCTTGCTTGCTTTCCCCCATAGCCTTTATATTTTGCCTTAGGAGAATGTTGTTTGCTTAAGCACAGAAAGACCAGTAGCGCTCTGCTCCTAATATTTGGGAGTTGACTGACTCTAAAATATACTTTCTCTTGGGCCGCCATCATAATTACCTGGTTCAGGCTTCACTGTTCATTGTATCACCCCTAAAAGATCTGCCACCAGACGTGCTGTACCAAAGGACCCACCCATACACACTTTTATTTACATCTGGTGTCCCTGGTGGGCACCTTAGAATTCACAACGCCCAGTGGTATTGGGGCAGGGACTTATGCCAGAGTGGACCTGGCGCGCTCCAAGTTCAAGTGGTTCCAGGGATCGGCTTGAGCGACAGCCCTGCCCCAGGCATGTGGTATCAGGTAATGTCATTTTCCAGAGTTTTTTTCTTTTTTGACTAGTAAACGTGTCCAGTGTGATGATCACAAGTCCAAAACCTGCCAATTATACTTCTGATCTTCAATATAAGTTTTCTTGTATAACTTCCATGTGATCGTTAACTAAACTATAGACTTGATTGGTAAAAAGTGCACACCTTTTACTGGACATCAGCACACCTAATTAGTCATTAGAGTAATGACTAATATTTTACAGCGTATTCAGAGTAATACAGCTGTTACAAGATTAATTTTCAGGCTTTTTCAGCCTTCAGAAGCTCTGTCAGCAGTCAGTCTTTCCCACCTCCGTCCTTCAGTGCCACTTCAGAGCGGCTCACTTCTCTTACCTATTTGCCACTTCTGCATATTCCGTTTAAGTGACTCATACATGAGGTAGCCGTCTTGATTTTATACGCAGCATCCCCCCACAATGCCCCCAGTGTCTGTCCCCCACCCATGGTAAGCTCACTGTCGGCTGTCATTTGGGACTGACTTCTGTACGGCATGCTGTTTTCAGGATTGACTGGAATTTCTCTTTTCTTTGCTGGTGGCTGATTGGGTGTCCACTTCTTGGCTGTTAACAGTGACGCTGCTGTGGATATTTGTGCGGCCACATTTCCATTTCTCTGGGGCATGTGCCTGGGAGTGGGAATGCCGGATTGTTTGGGAACACTGGTTCCCCTACTGAGGCACTGCCAGGTTCTTCCAAGAGCTACCCTAGTCTCCTGTCCCCATGGGGCCATGGTGGTTTATGTCTTTCCACATCCTTATCCCTGTGGTTTCCACTATCTTCTTCCACCCAAGCTAGTAGCTGTGAAGTATCTCTACGTGCTTCTGGTTTGCGTTTTCTGGTTGTTTATGATGTTGAGGGTCTTTTGTTCACATTTATGTCTTTGGGAAAATATCTGTGTGGGTTCTTTGCCTGTGCGCCAGGTTTTCTATTGTTTAGAACAGCGAGAAAGGTCTGGAGCCATAGGACAGCTGGCAGGGCTCTTGGCCTTCACGCAGCTGACCTGGGTTCCTATATGATCCCCAAGCCCTGCCAGGAGTGATCCCTGAGCACAGAGCATGGAGTAAACCCTGAGCATCACTGAGTGCGGCCCCAAGGTAAAAAAAAAATAGAGTTGAGACCACTGGACTGTGCCGCCTGAGCAGCTGAGGGGAGCTTCGTGTTTGAAGCATGCTCGGCCTCAGCCAGTGTGCCAGGCCATCGTTGTGTGTAAGTGTCTGGTAGTCCAGAGATGGAGATGTGGGGGATGCTGCCTGCAAGTTCACAGTCCGCAGAGCGGGTGGGGGGTTACATCAGAAAGGAGCACTGTGTGGGCGCCCTGAGGAAGCACTAGGGTCCAGCAGCTGGGTCACAGGGGAGGTGGAAGTCGTGCTAGGGCACTCCTCTTAGCTCTGAGAGAATTCTGGGATTCTTGGGGGGGTGGGGGCTGGGGATCCCTGTTTCTCTTTCCCATGCTGTGAGGAGACTAGAGAGCCTTCAGGAGTGTCTCGCCACGTGCCTGGCCCTGGTGCTGCCCAGGGAGGGCTTACAGTGCAGTGGTGTATCAACTGAAATCTAAGCTTTTTTTTTCTCTTTGGGCCACACCCAGTGATACTCAGGGGTAACTCCTGGCCCTGCACACAGGAGTTACTCCTTGTGGTGCTCAGGGGACCATCTGGGATTCTGGGGATCGAACCCAAGTTGGCCATATGAAAGGCTTTCCTGCTGTACTGTCTCTCTGGTCTCTCATAATCTAGATCTTTGCTGGAGGTGTTTGATTTGTTATTTGGACCACACCTACTTGCTCCATGCTTGGGGCGGAACCAGAGACGCTCAGATCTCCCTGATCTCTCTGGTAGGGCATTTATTTGGGGAGGAGGGGAATGGCACACCAGCTGAGGAGCTTGTAGTTCAGGGGTCGTTCTGGGCTGAGGGGGTTGCCCCTTGTTGTGCTTTCTGAATTGAAAACAACACACTAGCCTTTTGAACTAGCTCTGGATTTAATAAATTAATTTTGTTTTTTTTTTAGTATTTTGTTTTGGGGGTCACACCCAGTGGTACTCAGGGCTTACTCCTGGCTTTGAGCTCAGAGATCACTCCTGGTGGGGCTCAGGGGAGCCTATGAGTAGCTGGGGATCCGGCTCAGTAAGGTGTATTTTAGGTTTTAGCCCCCAATTCTGAAGTCCTGCTCAGCCCCACAGCCTCATGATCTCTGCCTTTCAGTGAGGTGCTGGCCGGGGAGTCTATCTTGTGTCTCCAGGAGGCTCTGGCTCGCCTGCGCGAGATTTGGGAGGTGATCGGGATCCCTGAGGAGCAGCGCTTCCAGCGGACCGAGGTGGTGAAGAAGCACATCAAGGTGGGTGCGCTGAGCTGGTCTGCAGGTCCTTGGGGAGCTCAGAACTTGAATCTGGTACTGCCCCTCTTGGCCAAGCTTGGTTCCTCCCATGTGCCGCTGCCTCTGATACTCCAGGCTCCATATATTCCAGGGGTGTGGCCCCTTTGTCCAGCCACACAGAAGGGGAAGGGCAAGAGTCTGGAATGATAGGGTTTGGGGGGGCTGCATAGATGTAACAGATGCCTGGGGTCCAGCCCTAGCACCGTGCATAGAGGCAGATGGATGACAGGGCGTTCTCTGCAGGGATTGCTGGACATGATGATCGCAGAAGAGGAGAGCCTGAAAGACAGACTGGTCAAGAGCATCTCTCTGTGCCAGAAGGAGCTGAGTGCCCTGTGCAGCGAGCTGGGCATGGAGCCCATCCAGGTACCAGCAGCATCTCAGGCTTGCGGGCACGTCTCCCTTACCTGATGTGTCAGCTTTCCTGAGAAAAAGCTCACTTCCAGGACATGAGAATGCCCTTCTTTGCTGTCATAAATGAAGAGAGCAAGAGATTCTCTTGGGTCAGGATACTGGCTCCCCTGAACCTTCTGCTCACTTTGTAGCAAAGCCTGAAGCAGCTCTGCAGCTCCGGGAGCTATGTCCTGGTGCCTCTGCTCACCAGACATCTCCTGCTACCTTGTCCTCGCCTGGCACAGTTGGTGCTGCCATGGGGGACTGGCAGGTGCTCACTGGGGCTGCCAGGCTTAGTGCAGGGTTCAGGGCCCTCTCACCAGGGCAGCGCTCTTCATTGGCAGCCCAGGTCCTGCTTGTGCTTGCCAGGATCGCACTTCTGGCCATGACTTTCACATCATTTTAGGGATGATGTTCATCGGCCCCCACTTGTGGATTATCTCAGGTGTGGTGTTCCTCAGAGTCCCCTCTGTGGATTGTCTTAGAGGTGCTGTTCATGGTCCCCCCACCCCGTGATTGTGCATGCATCTTACTTTGGTCGAGCCAGCAGTCACTGAGGGCTGCAGATTACAGGATGGTCGGGCTCAAAACCAGCAGAGCTGTTAGACTGGTGCTTGAGGAATGAGGATTCTGGAGGCTTGAATATTTTGGCAGGGTAGAGAACCTAGACTTGTGTTGCCGAGGGCTTCTGCCTCTGCACTCATGGTGACTTGTGGCTGGATTGAACCTGGGTCAGCCATATGCAAGGCAAGCACTGTGCCTGCTGTCCTTTGACTCCAGCCCCGCCTCCTGACCATTTCCTTGCAGGGCTGAACATTTCTTCGGGGCCTGGACACCTCATTAGTGGGCCGTGATCTGTTGGTACTGAGCCGAGCTATTTTCCTTCTGAGTCGGACCTCTTTGTACTCTGCAGCCCTTGCTGTGAATTTTTGTCTCATGCAGGAAGAGGGGGAGACAACCATTCTGCAGCTCGAGAAGGATCTGCGGACTCAGGTGGAACTGATGCGGAAGAAGAAGAAGGAGCGGAAGCAAGAACTCAAAGTCCTACAGGATCAGGAGCAGGAGCTGTGTGATGTGCTCTGTATGCCTCACTTTGATATCGGTGGTGCTGCGGTCCCCAGCCTTGAGGAGCTGAACCGGTTCCGGCAACACCTAGTGACTCTGAGGGAAACCAAGGTAGGTTCTCGCACACGGACTTGGCATGTGCCCTGGTTCCAGTCCTGGGGCGTCCTGATCACTGTGCTCCACAGGTCTCGCGGCAGGAGGAGTTTGTTAGCATCAAGAGACAGATCATACTGTGCATGGAGGAGCTGGACCACACACCCGACACGAGTTTTGAGCGCGACGTGGTGTGCGAAGATGAGGATGCCTTCTGCTTGTCCCTGGAGAACATCGCTGCACTGCAGAAGCTGCTGCAGCAGGTAATCAACCCAGTCCTGGGTATTAAAGGAACTGATGTGAACTAAGAGAAAGGGGCAGGACAGCTCAGTGGGCCAGAGCACATGCTTGGTGGGCCAGAGGCCACCAGGTGTGAGTGACCTCTGGGCACCAAGTGGGGAGGATCTCTGAGTGTGGCCAGGAAGTTGGACCTGCACAGGTTCCTTCTAGAGTTGGAGGCACCTGCCTTGCATGGACACTGACTCGCAGGGTTCAGTTCGATCCCTGATACACAGTACTGCCAGGAGTGACCTCTAAGCACCCCTAGTGGGCCCTAAATTTCTCCACCCCCAAAGAGGGCCTGAGACACAGTACAGAGGGTTAGGTTCTCCCCTTGCACACGCTCCTTGGCATTTCATGGTTCCTTACTGCGGGGAACAGCTGTTCAACATCACTGAAAATACCCTAAACCAAAAGAAAAAGAGAATTAGGATAATATAGAAATACTAGTCACTTGAATTAGCTTAGCTTTAATTGAAAAACAATTTTTGGCTGCACCAAGGGCAAGCACAGGAGTGAAAGTGCTTGGTTTTGGCCTGGCCCTGGAGCAGTACCAGGTATGACAGCTGAGCACTGCTGGGTGTGGCCTCAAGCATTTTTTGGTTGAAAATGTGAATCTTGTACTGAAAAGATAGCTCAGTGGGTTCAAGCACTTTTCATGCCTTGCGTGCAGGAAACCCAGGTTCAATCTTGGGCCCCTCATCTTCCTCCAAGTACTGCCAGGAGTCACCCTGGAGTGGGCCAAAAGCCATTAGGAGTTCAAATCCTGTGGCTTGGATTCTGTTCAGCACCCTTCCCAAATAGAGGGATGTCTTCCCTCGGGCATGGGGGTCCTGCTTCCCCACATGGCTGGTTTGCAACAACCAGGTTTCTGTTTCAGCTGGAAACACGCAAGTCACAGAATGAAGCGGCTTGTGAGGGGCTGCGGACTCGGATCCGAGAGCTCTGGAACAGGTTGCAGATCCCTGAAGAAGAGAGGGACACAATGGCTACGGTTATGACGGGGTCCAAGAGCAAGGTCCGGAAAGTGGTAAGAACCCCGAGAACGTGGCCGCCTCAGCCTGGTGCCTGTGCCCACACCCGGGCAGTGCTAGGAAAAGGTGGCCTGGCAGGCAGGGCTGTTTCCTCTAGCTGTGTGGCTGTGTGCACTGAATCCGTGAGTCCGTGCGAGTCAATCTTTGAGGCATCTTCATGACTTTGTTTCGCTCAGCTCCAATCAGAAGTGGATCGGTTGGAAGAACTCAAGAGGCAAAACATAAAGAAGGTGATTGAGGCCATCCGAGTGGAACTGGCACAGTACTGGGACAAGTGTTTCTACAGTCAGGAGCAGAGGTGTGCCTTCGCACCATACTATGAAGGTGCGTGCTGAGTGTGACCCGTCCCCTTGCCTGGTCAGGGTGCCCCTGCATGTGGGGGTACACACCAGTATTTTTAGATGTTCCAGCTCTCTGCTGCCTGGTTGGCAGGTGCTGTCCATCTGCCAGCTGCAGTGTCCAGCCCTTCAGAGTAGCACATAGGCTGACGTGGGTTCAATCCCTCGGCATCCCAGATGACCCTCTGAGCACTGTCAGGTGCCCCCTCAGAAAATAAAAACTCCTCTGCTTGCCTGCAAGCGAGAGGCTTCTTTCAGGCTGGGACCACGGTGCTTCAGAGGCTTTCAGTGTCACCAGGCCCAGTAAACCGTAAGGGCAAGGTTTGAGGTGATAGAACCTTCCTGCCTTGGTTCGCGTCGCCTAGGTTGACTTTGTCAGCATGCATGTGGCATGTGCTAGCTGAATCATGCTTTGCTCACTTTCTCAGCTGGGGGGTTCCGTGGGGGACAACAGGGTTGATCGAGTGCTGAGCTGCTCCTGCCCTGTGTCCCCAGCAGAGGACTACACGGAAGGTCTGCTCCAGCTCCATGACATCGAGGTTGTGCAGCTCAGAAACTACTATGAGGTTCACAAGGAACTCTTTGACGGGATTAAGAAGTGGGAAGACAGCTGGAGACTTTTCCTTGAGTTTGAGGTACAGCTCCACTTTTCCCGTTTTGTCCAAACCCAGCCTGTGCTGAACTCCTAGCCCTGTGCTCCTCCCCAGCTTCCCACAGCCTGTCTTTTGTGTTAAATCTCTGGATGCAGCTGATCTGAGGTTATTACCTAGGAACATCCAAGAGAGAAACCCCACGTGGGTGTCTGTGCGCTTCCCTCTTGACACTGCACTTGCAGGCACTGGGGTCCCTAGCCCCAGTGTGGGTATCTATTCTGGGGTTCCCTACACAAGAAGGGACCTGTGGACCCTGCATCCCTCCTGACCTGGGATCCACAGGAGAACTGACTGATGCACAGTTCCCTTAGGGAGAGTCTGATGGGGGAACTTGATGGCGAAACTGAGGACTCTGTAGAGCAGAGTCAACCACATGACATCAAGTGAACAAAAAAGATGGAGCCAGACTGTGGCTCGGAAGGTGGGCACCTCCCATTTTGGCCCGCTGTATTCTAGTGTCCCTAGATTGTTACTCAACTTTTCTGCCTCTCCGTCCCCTTTACTGTCACAGACAGTGCTCGCCATCACTGTGCACAGGGTCAGACAGTGGCTGAGCAGACCCCATGTTGTAAGTCAGTAAGGCCCAGGAAATTGTTAAGCCCCATCATGGCACATTTCAGCGGTCTGCTCCTAAGCTGTCTGCCAGTGAGCTTGTGATGGGCACATGCCACAGACCGGGGCTCCCCCGCATTCAGTCCCCTCCCAGAGCTGACCGGTCTGACCCCCCCGCCCTCCTTTTTCCAGAGAAAAGCTTCAGATCCCAGTCGATTTACAAACCGTGGAGGAAATCTGCTAAAAGAGGAAAAGCAAAGAGCCAAGCTCCAAAAGACCCTCCCTAAGGTAAGGTGGTTTTGGGGAAGGCTGATCCCACATCAAAGGTGTATCGAACTGAACCATTTGTGACCGAGCACTGAAAACCTCATCCGTTCCAAGGCTCAGGCAGGCAGTGGTGCAGATCTGAGCCTTTCAGCAGTGCCATTTCCAAGCCTCAAGTACTTCCCCTAGGGGCCAGAGGATAGTACAGCAAGAAGGGCTATACCATGCACAGGGTTCAATTCTCAGCACCCTAAGTGGTCCCCCAAGCCCCATCAGGAGTAAGTCTTGAGCACTTGTTGTTGTGCTCCCCTCCAAACAAAACAAAGCAAAAAACAGCACCTTTTCCCCGGGGCCGGAAAGAGATTTCACCTGAGCCACGTTCTGAGTCCTGTTGGAAGTCTTTGCTACCTGCCTTTTTCTGTCTAGTGCAGAAATCAGGCTGCTGCTCGCCAAGGGGCCCTGCATGAAAGGATCTCCTAAAAGGTCCCCTGAAGACAAGTCATATGCGTGTCTGTTTGGTCTTAGCTGGAAGAGGAACTGAAGGCACAGATTGAGATGTGGGAGAAGGAGCATGAGAGAGAGTTTGTGGTGAAGGGGCAGAAGTTCATGGAGTACGTGACGGAGCAGTGGGAGCTGCACCGCTTGGAGAAGGAGCGAGCCAAGCAGGAAAGAGTTAAGCGGGGCCCGAGGGGAGGGCGCAGGAGGGCAGCTGCAGGGCAGGACCCTCACCTCCTCCGCCTTTCCGTAGCAACTGAAGAACAGGATGCAGACGGAGACCGAGATGCTGTACGGCAGCGCGCCCAGCAAGCGGAGAGGCCTGGTCCCGACCACCCCGAGCAAGGTGCGCAAGGTAGGCCATGGCTGGCTGGGCTCCATCCGGCAGGAACGGAGGGGGCGCGTGTCCAGCTCAGGACGCTAGGTGTGCCTCTCTGAAATAAGGCATGCGGGCCGGGGCGATAGCACAGCAGGCAGAGTGTTTGCCTCGCATGGGTCCAGTCCCCGGCATCCCATAGCGTTCACCAGGTGTGGCCCAAAAACCGAAAGAAAAGGGCGTCTTACAAAATAAGGTCGATTTCTGCCCTGTTATGCGACTGTTAGATCTCTGTATCATCAAATTCTTGGGGTTTTCTATTCTAGCTTCTTGATACACTGTTGCTTAGTAGTTTCCTCTTAGTGAATCTCCTGGACTCTATCTAGTTTAGATAGCGCAGCGACAACAGTACTAACATTTCTAGTAAGAATCTGGTGAACATTTTAAAAAAAGCCCACAGTGAGGCTCTGAGAACCCTGCCCTGGTGGGGGCTAAAGTGGCCACATTTGAGCCTCATCAGCTTTTCACACAGTGCAAACACCTACAAGTGATGTGACGGGTCTGTTAGGAGAGGAGGCAAACTTGGCGGCTTCTGACACGCCTCACAGACTGCCGTTCCCCTTCAGGGTGTGGGCATGCTTGATGGTGTCTCACTTGTCCCTCTGGTCTCCTAGCTGAACGCCACCACCCTGTCGAGCGCTGCGGCCAACAGCCCGTGGCCTGGTGTTTCAGGCACGGTGTGTCACTCCCCCGGGTCGTGGTTCCCACCTTCGGGCAGCAAGGTCAGTATTCCAGCTGTGTACCTGGTCCAGGATCCGTTACTGATGCGCTGAGTTGGTGTGAGCTGGTGGATCTGCCCAGAGAGCCCAGGAGAGAGAAGTGGGGACGCGTGTGCTCAGTCTGGGGGTCACAGGTGGCCCAGCCTGACATGGCCTTGCCTCTCCACAGCTGCTCCCGTCTACCTGCTTGGGGAAGAAAACCCCCCGCACCCCGAGGGGCAGGGCCAACAAGGAGAACCTGGAGCTCAACGACATTCTGAGCGGTGGGTACCCCAACCCAGCCCCCCTGCAGCGCAACTTCAGCCTTAACTCTGTTGCCAGCACCTACTCTGAGTTTGCGGTAATTCAAACTTTTCTCCTACCTACCGTCTGCCGGTCTCTGGGTAGCAGCACACAGTTGGGGCGTCTCCCGGGGCTGCAGTGCTGAGGACAGGCTGAGAATCCCTTCCTTCCCTGACCGTGAGGCGCCCCAGGCCCCCTGCCCTGGCTGCAGGCGCTGCTGCTCTCCTGGTGGGGTTCCCGATAACAGTCTGAATTCTTTGTTCTCAGAAGGACCCACCCCTCTCTGACAGCTCCACTGTTGGGCTTCAGGTCTGTATGGAACCCCTGCATGTCCCCGTTCCCTTTCCAAACTCACCTGCTGGCTTTGCTCCCATCTGGCCATGGGCTCCACTAACCGTAACTGCTGAAGTACTGGCCAGTGTGGACTCCAGACACTGACCGTCTGGCTAAACCCTAATTTAACAAGAAACTGGCTCAGACTTGAATTGGATTCTCAGCCCTACCCCAGCTCAGGTAGACTTTGCTGTGTGTAGCACAACCGGGGCGCCCCAGGTGTATGCTGCCTGCAGGGCCACTGGGCGTTTCCTGAGTCTCCTCACTAACCCCTCCAGGCTGCATCCCCCTTTTCTCATTCTTCTGACACCTTGAGCTGAGTCAGCCCCCCTACGAGGAAGAACTAACCTATCTCTCTGATTCCCTCCATTTCTGTTGTGGGCTCCAGCATGAGACCAGATCAGCAGCAGGCCCCAGGGACAGGCACTATCTCAGGGACTCACACTGGCAGCTCAGAACCACCAGGTAGAGGGTTTTGTCCCGGCTGCGACCCAGACTCACCGGTGTTTTTCCTAACAGCAGGAGCTTTCAAAGGCTGCCAGTTCTGATGCTGCTTCTCGGATCCTCAATTCCACTACCCTCACTCCGGGGCGGCCCTGACCCCGCAGGACCCTGCTCTTCCTTTAGGGATGTTCACTAGCTTGGCTTTTGCCTAAAGGCCTCTATGTGGCTACAGATTTTGTCCAGAGTCTTGTTTCAGGGCCGTCCCTCCAGGCAGATGGAAACTTTGCACATGTTAGCACGGGGCTGAGTTCCCGTGGATTGGTCACTACTGCCCTTCTGCACACGTATTTATTCTGACTGTCTAGGCCCAGCAGCACCAATGGTTCTCAGCGCTTACTGGCAAAGGCTCACTACTGTCTCATGCCATTTGTACATGTTGTTTTAAAAAGACATTCTTGCAAATAAAATGTATAGTATTTTATCCTGTACAGAACACGTTGTGGTTGACTTTGGCTATGGAAGACAAACTTGAAAAGGGTACATGACAGAGTTTAAGTCAGGCACTGGGACAGGGATGTAGTTCAGACTTGATGAGGATGAGATCCCCCCACCAAAAAAAAAGTTAGAAGTGCGGTTTCTGTATAATGTAAGGTTTTTCTTAAGAGTGGAGGTCACAAGAGCATGTTTCAGGGGTCAGCATCTCCCTGCTGCTGCAGTGGTCAGGCACCTGGGTACTCTAGGGCTGTTGGCTTTTGCTATCAAAACACATTAATTAGGGGCTGGAGCGATAGCACAGCAGGTAGGGCATCTGCCTTGCACGCGGCCGACTCGGGTTCGATTCCCAGCATCCCAGATGGTCCCCTGAGCACTGCAAGGAGTGATTCCTGAGCGAAGAGCCAGGAGTAACCCCTGTGCATTGCTGGGTGTGACCCCAAAAAGCGAAACAAAAAAACACATTAATTACCACCTCAGGTGACAGCGACCAGTCAGAGCTGGTGCAGAGCATCTGTGCTGAGATTGACTCTGCCTGTGGCGCTTGAACACCCAAAAGCATAAGTAAAGAAGCGACAAATTTACGACTGTCTACAAGTAGTTTTTCAGTAGAAATTGGTAAGAAAGAGCAAAAAGCCTAGTTCCTGAGGAGTGATTACTAACTAAGCAGCCAGCTACTAAGGGCATCTCCGTTCACACTGAGAAAGGGCTGTTGGGAGAGGAGTCGAGAGTCGTTCTGGCGCTGGGAGTGTGAGGATCACGCACATAAAGGGCGTCACTGAACTCAGTGCAGTGGAAAAGCATGGTATGGCCCTGCGCTCTACTTCTAGCAGAAGACACCCTCACTCCAGACAAAATAGAGCCACAAGCAGTTAATCTGACAAGAGAGGAGATACTTGTGACCAAGAAGCACCCTATGCATGTATACCTCACGGGAGTGGAGTTGCTTGGGACCAGGTGTGGCGCCAGGGATCGAACCTGGGTCTGCCAGTGTTGCTGAGACATATCAAGGGAACTTGAATATCCCACTTACAATGGCCACTGCATTCAGAAAAATCAAGGATGCACATTAATCCCGACAGTAGACATGAAGAAAGTTTCAAAAGCAAGGAGAAGACCTCTTTCCTTGCATACAGCTGACCTAGGTTAGATTCCCAGCATCCCATATGGTCTCCTGAGCCCACCAGGAGCAGCAGAGCCAGGAATAAGGGCTGAGCACTCTTGGCATGGTGCCAAAACAAAAGACAAAAAAGGGGTCACTTCCAAATATGACTGCCACTCAATGCCTCTCTTGCAAAACACAGTACCCAAAAGAAGAGAGAGAGAACAAGGGGGAACGCCCTGCCACAGAGGCAGGGGGGGATGGGGGGGATGGGGGGTGGGAGGGATGCTGGGATCCGTGGTGGTAGAGGATGGGCGCTGGTGGAGGGATGGGTACTTGATCATTGTATAACTGAAACCCAAGCACAAAAATTTATAAGTCTATAACTGTACCTCATGGTGTTTCACTAAAAAAAAATAATAATAAAAAAAGGGGGTCACTTATCCAGCAAGGCAAGTATTACCCCGATATCAAAACCAGTGAGGTGTCACAAGAGAAGCAAGGTGTAGGCCTGTCTCCTCAATGGACAAATGCAAACAAACTCAATGAGCCCTTAATAAGGATTAAGCGGGATTGCAGCAAGGATGCAGAGATGCCTGGGTGTCCTGCCAGTCAGCCTCATGTGCCTCATCAGAATAGAATACTGCCATTTCCATACATGGAGTCTAAGTGTCCTGTGGGATTCTACACACCACAGGCAGGTACGGGATATGCCGCAAAGACAAACCCAGGCATCCACTAATCATACCCACTGGTGAAGACCTGACGTTTTCCCTCTCAGACACAAACTATGCAGGGTGGGTGCCTACTCACTACTTTGATCACACTGGAAGTTCTCATCAGAAAAATTGAAAGGAGCATCCATATTGGAAAGGAGGAAGTCAAAGGGTTACTACTGACAGATGACTTGATACAGAGACTCCTGGAGACTTTTCCACCAAAATACTGTTAAAACCCACTGTCCTGTTGTTCATCGATTTGCTCGAGTGGGCCCAGTAAAGTCTTTATTGTGAGACTTGTTACTGTGTTTGGAATAATGAATACGTCACAGCTAGCTTGCCAGGTTTTGCCGTGCGGGTGAGATACTCTCGGTAGCTTGCCGGGCTCTCTGAGAGGGGTGGAGGAATCAAACCCGGGTCTGCTGGGTCGGCCACGTGCAAGGCAAATGCCCTACCTGCTGTGCTATCGCTCCAGCCCACAGTTAAAACTAATTTGGTAAAATTGCAGAAAACAAAACAACCTCTTGTGCACGCTCCACAATTCTGGTTCTGCTGCCTGGAGGTAGCCTTTGAGCATGTGAGGGAGGGTCCTCTGCAGCTCTTTCCTGTTCTGTGCTTTTCCTGCAGGGAAGCAGAGGATTGTAGTTATCCACAGTGGATTGCAGTCAGTGACCAGAGAGGGAAGGTTCCTTAAGTCTTTATAAAAAAAAAAAAACATGAAGCAAATTAGTTTTTTTTTTCTTTTTTGGGTCACACCCAGCGATGCTCAGGGGTTATTCCTGGCTCTGCACTCAGGAATTACTCCTGGCGGTGCTTGGGGGACCATGTGGGATGCCGGGGATCGAACCCAGGTCAGCTGCGTGCAAGGCAAATGCCCTACCCGCTATGCTATTGCTCCGGCCCCGCAAATTAGTTTTTATTGAAAGAGTTTTAGAGATATGAGAGAGAAACATGTTCAAGAGAGAACCCAGTGTTGGTAAACACCTCAGGGTAAGGCTGGTTTTGACCACTGGCAGCCTCGGTTCCAGCCTTGGCACCACATGGCCCCACCTCAGGGCCAGGTAAGCCTTAATACCCACTGCAATGACCTGGGCCCCTATTTTGATGACTTTGGAGGGAGACTAATAGGGGTTTTCTTTTTCCAGGATGTCCACTGTTTTCCAAAGTAGTAGGTAAGAAGCCCTTCACTTCAGAATTAGTTGTTTTTAGAAAAGCTTTCTTTTCTTCTGTTTATTTGAGGTTGCTCCTGGTGGTGCTTGGGGTTTGATGTTTTCTGATTGGACCTAGGTTCTGATATGCACTCAGTCCCTGGTCCTCCTGGCGTTTGATGTTTTTGTTTCACAAATATCAGGCTTGCACTGGGGAAAGCCAGGGTAGAAAAAAGCCATGGGTAAAAGTTGGCCAGAGTTTAAGGAATTTAGAGTTTCTTAATTTCCAGCTGTTCTGTCGAGCATACTCACCTTTGAGACAATAACAAAAGTTAATCGATGTCACTTCATTCCTATTGGCCCTTTATAATACACAGTGGAGGGAGCACTTCTAAAGAGCATAGGAAGGAGGAAGAAAAAGGGAAGTAATGGGGGAACACAGGGGCCAGGGGTGGCCTTGGTTATACCAGGAATGTGGAAGAGTGTTAATAATATATCCAAAGCACAGGCTCATAACTCTGAAACATGAGATCTAAACTTCAACCACAAAACTCTGAAATGTGCCTGGCAACGGGGCAGGTTGTGGGGGAGGGTGCTGGAGGATCTTGTGGAGGAAATTTGGTGCTGGTGGTAAGATTAGTGTTGAAATATAGGAATAAACCCAACTATCAGTATATGAAGTTTTCTTCATATAAAATTTTTAAAAATGCATGTGAATGTAATGTGTGAGTGCACATAGATTTCACAAAGGCCCACGTGAAACAGAAGGCTTGGATGGGCATGTGACGGAGAGAATGCATGTGGAAGCCCTGTATTGGGTCCCCAGCATTAAAATTTAAAAAGTGAGATATGGGTCAAGTACTGGGAACACCGACAATCATGCGGTTCTACGTATTGTCTGCTTTGAATGAACCAGGGTACCTCGTGACACAGTCAGAATTTGGTAGCGAGGCAGAATGGCCCACACCCTGTTACAGATTCTTCAGTAGTGAGAGGTTTGCAGCCAGCCTTTTGCTGTCCACTAGAAAGGCTGATGGGCTGTAACCTTGAGGCTTGAGAGTCCTGACACTGCTCTGCCCCTCAAGAGTGAGCGGCGTATTCCTAGGAGCAGAATTTTTATGCTCCTCTCTTATACTTTTTGGGGGTGCTCCCCTCGTGGTACTCAGGGTTTGAATGTTAGGGATCACGCCAGCGCCCCGAAAGGCCACATTACGCTCTCCCCACCACGGGTGGGGGGTGTTGACTGTTTCGCGGCCGGCGTGTCCAAGCGCAGAGCCCGCCCACTGGCGCCAGACGGGCCCCTCGGGGGCCAGGGCTGCCGCGGCCGGGCCGCTGATTGGCCAGGGGCGCGGGAGGGCGGGCTCTTCAGGACGCGCGGCCTCTGGCGTCACGCGGAAGGCACGTGGGGGCGTGGCCGGGGGAGCGCGGCTGCGCGGGCGTCCGCGGCAGGCCCGAGGGGCGGCGCAATTCCCCTCTGGGCGGGGCCAGGCCGGGAGGCGGGGCCGACTGCGGGGAAGCGGCGCGCTCGCCCGGTCGTTCTTCCGCCGCCGCCGAGGCTTGCCCCGGAAGCGGAAGTGGGGGCGCTGCGGGGTCGGTCCAGCCCGAGCTCGGCAGTGCCCCCGCCGTTCCGGCCGCGCGTCTCCTCACGCCTCGTCGCTGCCGCCCCAGCGCGTCTCCGGCTCGTCATGGTGTCCCTAGACTTTTTGGACGATGTGAGGCGCATGAACAAGCGGCAGGTGCGTTGGGCCGCGCGCCCTCCCCGCGTGCCCGGATGCTCCCCGGCGGCGCTGGGCGGCCCGGCTCCCGCGCCCGAGGGCCTCGGCCGGGCCGGCGCCGGGGTCCCGCCGCCGTCGTGCCGGAGCCGCGGCCCGAGGTCGCCCCTCGGGTCCCCGGATGGAGGCCCCGGCGATGCCGCAGGCGTCGGGACGTGGGACTCGGCCCTGCTTAAGCGCCTCAGACTTGGCCGGCGGCTGCGGCCACCCGCGACGGATTTCGTGTCGGGGCTCAGTCTGCTGGGAAAGCCCCGGCGAGGCTGGTCTGCGGGGCCCCCCCCCCCGACCCCTCCCCCCGCCGCTTGCGCGGTCGCGGCCGGCCCGACCCCCGCAGCCTCCGGGGCGAGACCGTTACTTCTCGCGACTTCGCGCCCCGCCCGGAGCTGGCCTTGGCTCCCGAGGCGCGGGACCTGCGAGTGGTCGAGACGGACCTTCAGTCCCCGGTTCTCCCCCAGCTTGTGCCCTGACCATTAGGCATCCGGCAGGCTTGCCGCTCTCGGTCCTTGGCACGAATTGTGCCCGTTTTGCTCGCCTCGGTGCAAACGTCTTTAGCGCTTGGAAATATTCTAACGAGGATTCTCCCTTCCCCCAATACGCATTTTGCACCAGTGATATTAGCACTTAGGGAAGTGGATGACAAGTTCCCTTTCCTCTGCTGCTTAAGACAGTTTCCTGACCCCTCCCATCAAGACTCCCTTTTTTTTTTGTGGTGTCCAGTGCTGGTGGTGCAGGGCTTTAACCTGGCTCTGTGCTCAGGGATCACTCCTGGCCGGGTGCAGGCATCCTCTGGGGGTGCCGGAGATGGAACCCTGGTCTCCCGCGTGCAGGCCAGCACCCTAGCTGCTGCCCTCTTTCTCTGGCCCTGCCTTTGTCTTCCCTTTAAATGGCACCGGTGTTTGGATGACCCTGCAGGTGCTAACTTGTGTAGCATCATCTTTTTTCTTTTTCTTTTTAACTCCATGGGGTGATTTCTAAGTGTCACAGACGTGTCTTTGAAGAACTCCTTATTTGGCACCTAGCATTGGCCCCCATGCTAGGTACTAAGAGAGTAATAAAGAGATCAGTGAGACAGTGGTTGTCTTCAAGGAGTAGAAGCACCTGGGGACCACTGAGGCAAAGCATTGTTTTGAGGCGGTTCCGGTGTGAACTACTTCATGTATCTGCGAATAATCAGTGAGGTCAGGCATGGTGTGCCCCTTCTGCAGGTGAGGATGAGGTTTAGAGAGAAGCAGGACAGTACAGAGATCAGGAATCTGGGCCCAGGAGGTTTCAAGAAACTCCCAGCACTGGAGCTGGGCAGGTTCTTTAACCTCTTGGTGCTTGCTTTTATTTCACTTGTAACAGTAGGAACTGAACACAAAGTCTGCCTTTTGACCGCACACTGTTATGCGGCCCTGGATTGCAAGAAGATTTGATGAGTTTGTTTCAGTGAAACTCTTAGATTAGGGTCTGGCACATGGTCAGCATTAGCTGGTTTGCTGTTTTGTTGCTGTTACAGAAGGATTTAGTGATTTGTGTAAGAGCAGAAGTAACTGAAGGGGAGGAAGAGTCAGGAGTGGGCAGAGAGATAGTACAATGAGTAGGGCACTTACCTTGCATGTGGCTGACCTGGGTTTGATCCCTGTCGCCCTCTAGGGTCCCATGAGCTCACCAGGAGTGATCCCAGAGTTCACAGCCAGGTGTGGCCCCAAAACAAACTAAATGGTAAATATTAGAATGTCAGGACCTGAGTTTGATCACAGACGTGACCCCAGTATCTGGACAGTTGGATAAAAAATTGACAGGGACTGGAAAGATAGTATAGCTAGTAGGGTGCTTGCCTTTCATGCAGCAAATCTGTGTTCAATTCCTAATGCCCCATATGGTCCTGGAGCCCTGCCAAATATGATACCTGGACATAGAACAGAAGTGATTAAACCCTGTACTTCTGGTGTGACCCAAAAACCAAAAAGAAAAAAAATTGACATTCTCCCTGTGGTCAGAGACTTGTGAACCATTTTAGGTGCTTACTGAACAGAAATGTGACTTAGTGGTGAAGTATATGCTGTTTGTATGTGAGACCCTGGGTTTGATTCCTTGTATCACGGTCCTCCCATTGTTCATCGATTTGCTCGAGCGGGCCCAGTAACGTCTCCTTCGTGAGACTTGTTGTTACTGTGTTTGGCATATCGAATATGTCACGGGGAGCTTGCCAGGCTCTGCCGTGCGGGCGAGATACTCTCGGTAGCTTGCCGGGCTCTCCGAGAGGGGCGGAGGAATCGAACTCGGGTCGACCGTGTTGGCTGCGTGCAAGGCAAACGCCCTACCCGCTGTGCTATCGCTCCAGCCCTGCTTGTGTCACAAAAAAAACAAAAAACATGTAAGTTTTGAAGACCTCATTTAAAGTTTACCTGATTATAGTTTCCCAACATGACTAATTCCAGGCAACGAACATAACTTCATTGAATATGGACTTAGAAAGAAGTGGTAGCTTGCAACTGTCATTCCACTTTACAGATAAATAGAAAATAAGAGGAAGAAAAAGATAATAGTAATATGAAAAATAATTTTATCGCCTTTGTTTTGAATGTTAATTTAATTGTAAAAAAATGGGGCGCTGTTACTAGCCCCCAGCATTGCCTAGGTGTCACTTCCTGTGCTACTTGGAACATGCAATAACAGGGGTCTAACCTAGATCTCCCTCATTCAGAGCTCAACCCTTGAGCACTCTCTCTGGCCCTATAGTTTGAATTTTCATAACACTTAACAACTAGTCTAAACAATTCCTGGTTACCTTCATGTGCAGAAAAAGCATAGTCAGTGTTATGTTTGAATAGTTAGATTATCCAGGGCTGGTGCTCAGGGAATGCTGGGAACCTAACCCAGGCCTCCTGCAAACAAAGCGTGAGCTCTTGCTGAGAAAGTTAAAGCTAATGACGCAGGGATATTTTCTAGGATGGGACTGGATCCTGGGTTTTGAATTCTGGTGAATCTTTTTTTTTTCCTTTTTGGGTCACACCCGGTGATGCTGAGGGATTACTCTTAACTCTGCACTTAGAAATTACTCCTAGCGGTGCTCGGGGGATGCCGGGGAGTGAACCCACGGAGATTGAACCCAGGTTGGCCACACCAAGGCAAACACCCTACCTGCTGTACTATGTACTATCACTCCAGTAAAGCTAATCTTACACAGAATTTGTTTAGTTCTGTTTTAGGCCTCTTCACATTAGTGGACTGAATTCTTTGGATTTTAATTCTCCATATATTTTGCCGCTTATATCTATGTATTGGCCCTGTAGTGAAAATCTTTTATCATCGGCAACATTCAGTATGAATCACTGCGTTTCACTATAGCTTTATTAATATCAGTCTCCAGTGTACCAACAAGTAACACTTTTCATCTGTGGTTATATATTTGAGTATACAGAAATTCTCTCTGTCTCTCTCTCTGTCTCACACACACACACAAACACACACACACAGAGGTTTGTGGTATGTACTCTGTCACCGTGGACATCATACACGTGTGGTTGTTCACACATTAGGCTGTGTTTGCTGAGGACTGACTATGCTGCTCAGTCATACTTTCTTGCTCCTGTGCTTTGTGGGGAGTCAAGCTCCTTTCAGTTGTAGTGCTCTCTGTTTCATGGCGGTTGTGCTCACGAGGGCTAGCAGTAGTACACACACATGCTGCCTGGGCATCGCATACCTGCCTCAGTGTTTGTGCATTTTTGGCTACAGTACTTGATGGCTTCCCACCTTTGGTTGCTCATACACCCCTGGTTGCAGCACCAGTGTTCTACAGAGCAGGACTCCAGGCATCAGACTCAGCCTCATGCTTGCTACTCTGACACTTGAGTTTTTTTTTTTTTTTACCTTTTTGGGTTACTCCTGGCTTTGCACTTAGGAATTACTCCTGGCGGTACTTGGGGGACCATATGGGGTGCTGGGAATCAAATCCAGGTCGGCTTCTTGCAAGGCAAATGCTTGCTGTGCTATCGCTCCACACACTTGAAATTTTTGAATCCTCTGCTCTCCCTTCCCTTCTTTGTAATTGATGTTATTGGGATGACAAGGTTTGCACCCATGCTCCTAACTATGGTGCTCACATAATCAGCTATGAAGCTTCCTGGGGCAACACAACTGGTTGTGGTGCTTGCACAGTAGGGTTTATACACCTTCGGTTGTAGTATCTTATGCATAGCAGTGATGTTTAGGACCCTTACAAACAAAGTTAAGATTACATACCTGGAATATGTAGCAAGAAGTACAGGTCTAAAGGGGGTGAAGAGAGTGCAGTGGTTAAGACCGGCTCTCCAAGAGAACACAAGGGATTGCCCTGCCACAGAGGCAGGGAGGTATGGGGGGGATGGTGGTGGGAGGGATATTTTCCATGGTGGTGGAAAATGGGCACTGGTGGAGGGATGGGTATTTGATCATTGTACAATCAAAACCCAAGCACAAAAAATTGTAAATCTACAACTGTACCTCATGGTGTTTCACTAATAAAAAATATATATATATTAAAAAAAAAAAAAGACCAGCTCTCCAGCCTTCTGAGCTCTCTGGCAAAACTGTCGCAAGAAAATTGGGAGCTGATGGTACAGTAATTTTATTTTCACTTTATAAAAGTTAAAGAGATGAGTTAAAGGTAAAGAAAACAAGATTCTTTTAATGATCTGGAAGTCAGGAGTTACAATTTGAATTAAAGCAGTAGCAATAGAAATAAAGCCAGTTGATATGAGAGAAGTTGGAAAGGTAAAATCTTAACTCAGTCACTGAGTTAAGGACATTGCCAGGAGTAGGAGTGATCCCTGAGCATCCCTAAGTCCAGTCCCAAAGAACCCAGCAATAAAAAAGAAGGGCAGGGTTAAATGTCATTGAAAATTTCATGAATATTAAGGGACAAATACTATAGAAAATGAAGTGATGGAGTTGTTCAGAAGTAGAGGTGTACTACTGTGGGCTGACAGATACAATGGATACAATTGATTCTGAACAGCTTAATTGTGAAACCCAAATAAAATAACTTAAGTGACAGTTTCTGAAAACAAACTATCACATAAACTGGACCTGTAGTCGTAGGAACTGGGAGACAACAGTTCCTTTGGCTGAGAGGAGGCTGTTGGTTTAGTTACTACAGTACTTGAAAGATCTCAGAACTTTAGTTGCCTGCTAGGACTTGAAACTTTCAAATTGATACAGTATTCAGTTGGTTTTCCGGAGTGGGGTAAATATGATTCTGATTTCTTCCTTTTGTTTCTACAGCTCTATTATCAAGTCCTAAATTTTGGAATGATCGTCTCCTCGGCACTAATGATCTGGAAAGGGTTAATGGTGGTAACTGGAAGCGAAAGTCCAATCGTAGTGGTGCTAAGGTAACAATGTTGCATTTTCAGAGCTTGGAATTGCTTGACATTACTGGCAGGAAGTTTTAGTATCATTCCTTTAGAAAACCACTGTTATTCAGAGTTGGGCCTGGAGAAACATTAATTACTAGTTCTCAATTGTGAGAAATTCACACCCTTATTAATGACTTTCCATTCAGACCCCCATAGGCCCATGACCTTAGTGTAAAAAAATTTACTATTAGGGCTTTATTTTGGTTTTTGGACCATACCAAGCAGTGCTCAGAGTCTATTTCTGGCTCTGTGCACAGGTATCACTCCTGGCAGGGCTGTGGAAACTATTTGTGGTTGGAGGGATCAAACCTGAGTTAAATGCCCTACCTGCCTTTCTACCTTTCTATCTCTTTGTTCTAGCTCTGTGCTTTATTTATGTATTTATTTTTGGTATTTGGACCATACTTGGCAGTGTTCAGGACTTACTCCTGACTCTACACTAAGGAATTACTCTTGGTAAGGGACCCATGGGCTGGAGCAGTAGCACAGTAGGTAGGGCGTTTGCCTTGCACGCAGCCAACATGGCCGACCCGAGTTCGATTCCTCTGCCACTCTCGGAGAGCCTGGCAAGCTACTGAGATTGTTTTGCCTGCACGGCAAAGCCTGGCAAGCTACCCGTGACGTATTGGATATACCAAACACAGTAACAACCAGGTCTCACAATTGAGACATGGACTGGGCCCGCTCGAGCAAATCGATGAACATTGGGAGGATAGTGACAGTGACAGGGGACCCATGTGGGATGCTGGTGATCAAACCCAGGTTGCCACATGCAGGGCAAGTGCTCTGCTCACTGTACTAGCTCTCTGTCCCCATGAACTTTATTATTGATACATCTCTTTAGAGATTGCTTCAAGGGCTTATTTTCTTGAAATTCTTTTTAAACTCTTCATTTTGATATTGTTGGCAGTTTATTACATATCATCTCCACAAATTAAATTTTTCTGCAACACATACTCAGTGTCAGTACAGAAGCATCTCTAATTAGTTCCATGTTTGCTGCTGACCTTTAAATACCATTTCTGAACGAGACTTCAGGAATTGCAAAGTTATCAATGCCGTTCCCTAAAGTGACAAAAGTACTCATTTTTTCCCACTGTATTTACTTCCTTCACTTTGTACTCATACTTTTAATGGCTAAAAAAAATTTTTTTTGAGAATTATCTCAGTTACTTAATCAAATCATTATAGTTCTGTCCTATTTTTGGAGTTACTTGTGCAGACTGTCTCATATCCTTTTGGTGGATAATAGAGTATAAATATCAAATAAAGCTATTAACATTTTCTTGTAATTCTTCCTGAGGTGAATCAAGCGAGGATTACTGCTAGCCCAGCTGGTGGATAGAGACTCTGGCCTTCATGGTCTTAGTTAAATTTCACCTCATTCCTTAGTTTTTCTCTTACTCAGAACTGGTATTTTGTCTTCGTTAATAATTAAATGCGGGGGCTGGAGTAATAGTGCAGCGGCTAGGGCGTTTGCCTTGCACGCGGCCAACCCGGGTTCGATTCCCAGCATCCCAAATGGTCCCTCGAGCACCGCCAGGAGTAATTCTTGAGTGCAGAGCCAGGAGTAACCCCTGTGCATCGCTGGGTATGACCCAAAAAGTGAAAAAACAAAAACAAAAACAAAAAAATAAATGCAGCTGCAATTTTAGAGACTCAAAGAAATGTATGGTTTTAATGTTAAGCATTTTATATGCTACTCTAGAAATATAGAAACTTGGTCCTCTACCTCTTTTGTTAACTACAACCTCAGGCAACTCACTGATACCCTAAATTTTAGTTTCCTCAAATATAAAATGAAGACTTAATTAACCCCCAGTGATGGTAGAAGATCCACTAAAGTGCTAGAATTTTGTGGCCCTAAGACCCAGGTGGCCTTGAATTCTTTGGAGAGCTGTAGTTGTAGTTGTGAAGTGTACAGTACTGCCAGAAGGGGAAGCCACACTGATTGGCTTTGTGGCGGAGAGGGTGTGCAGAGAGAAGCAGGGTGATGTTTAAAGATAAACTAATGACCTTTTAGGTGGGGTGTTGAAATAGATGGATTAGAACACAGACCTGCTGGATACGTCAGTGACCCTGAAAAGAGCCTGCTCTTGATACAGCTGGGAGATGTTTGTTGTTCTGCTTTGTTCTTGGACCACCTTCAGTAGTGCTGCTTGGTCTTAGGCGGGAGCTCAGGCTCCTGCATGCGAAACCTGTGCTCTATCCCTTTAAGCTATCTCCTGGCCCTACAGTTTGGAATACTAGTGGGGACTTGCTGGAGAGATAATGCAGCGCGTAAGGCATTTGACTTGCAACTGGTTTCAATCCCTGCTACCCCAAAATAACCCCTTGGGCCTGTCAGGAGAAAGCCCAAAGCACTCTCAGGTGCAGCTCTAAAGCAAACAGACCAAAAAAGAGGAATATTATCATCTGTATCTGAATTCTTTTTTTTGGTTTTGTTTTGTTAGGGGGTTGAGCATCCTCCACCCAGATCCTCCAAATTCCAGTAGGCGGGGGTCACACCCACCACCTGGCCCCCTGGTGCCGTGTAATCCGATCAGCGGCCAAGACTCAGAGACTATAATATCCAGCTCCCGGACATCTTATCAGGACATCTTTTTATGACATCTTATTATCTCATTCCTACTTTGGACAAACTTGCAGGCTATGAATGTAGCCTGCCCACAGGGCAGAGTCTGGCAAACTCCCCGTGGCGTACCCAACATGCCAAATACCAGTAACAATGATGGGTCTCATTCTCCTAAAGAGCCTTGAATATAATCTCAGGGCTAGGATGAAAGAGACGTTACTGGGGCCTGCTCGAGGCAATCGATGAATAACAGGATGATGAATGATGAATGAATGAAATGATTTTGTTAGGGATTTCCTCCCAATTGGTCCTCAGGGGTCCTGGAGGCTAGTCCTGATAATACTCGGCCAACCAGGCTAGGTGGTTCAGTTCTAGGACACAGGAATATGGCGCTGTTCCGTACCATAAAGACCACACTCAGTGACACTCAGGGGCCTCCAGGGTTGTACCCGGGGTTACTCTAGTGTTGGTATGGTACCTGGCACTAATGAGGGTCTCATGCGTATAGAACCTGCCCTGGACCCCTGAATTCTTTCCCCACTGAAAACCCCTCCCTAGTACTGGTTGGATTAAACCCAGGACTTCACACACAGAAGGCAGGTGGGCCATATCCTGCCTAGATCTGATTTCTTTCCAAAAAAAAAAATTCTTCTTTTTTTCCTATCATCTTTTTTTGTGTGTGTGTGTCACACCCGGCGATGCACAGGGGTTACTCCTGGCTCATACACTCAGGAATTACTCCTAGCAGTGTTGGGGGACCATATGGAATACTGGGAATCGAACCTGGGTCGGCCGGGTGCAAGGCAAACGCCCTACCTTCTGTGCTCCAGCCCCTGTATACTTTTTTTTTCCCTTTTGGGTCACACCCGGTGATGCAGAGGGTTACTCCTGACTCATGAACTCAGGAATTACTCCTGGCGGTGCTCAGGGGACCAGATGGGATGTTGGGAATCGAACCCAGGTCGGCCGCGTGCAAGGCAAATGCCCTACCCTCTGTGCTCCAGCCCTGTATACCTTATTTTAAAAACTAATTTTTTCCCTTTCCATTCTGTATTCATGTTTTTTTTAAATTAAATCATCATGAGATATAGTTACAAAGCTTTCATGATAGTTTTAGTCATCCAGTGATCAAACACCTATTCTTACACCAGTGTCCACCACCAGTGTCCCCAGTATACCGCCCGCCACCCCCCACCTTACTCCACACCCTGCCTCTATGGCAGGCACTTTCCTACTCTCTCTCTACTATGGGGCATTATGGTCTGCAATACAGATACTGAGAGGCCATCATGTTTGATTCTTTGTCTACTTTCAGCACACATCTCCCATCCCGGGTGATCCTACCAACCATCGTTGACTTAGTGGTCCTTTTTCTTCCCCAGCTGCCTTCTCCCCAGCTCATATGATAGGCTTTTAACCATGGAACAATCCTCCTGGCCCTTATCTGTACTGTCCTTGGGTCTTAGTCTCATACTATGTTATTTTATGTTCCACAAATGGTACAGTCATTCTGTCTGTCCCTCTCCTACTGACTTATTTCACTTAGCATGATACTCTCCATGTTCATCCACTTATAAGCGGATTTCATGACTTAATTTTTTTCTAACAGCTTCATAGTATTCCATTCTGTAGATATACCATAGTTTCTTTAACCAGTTTGTTCTCAGGCACTCAGGTTGTTTCCAGATTGGCTGTGTGAGCAGTATTCAATGAACATACAAGTGCAGATATCATTGTACTCTGTTTTTTGGCACCCCCGGGATATATTCCCAGAAGTGGTATTGCTGGGTCAAATGGAAGCTCAATTTCTAGTTTTTTTTGAGGAATGCCCATATTGTTTTCCAAAAAGGCTGGACTAGTTGGCATTCCCACCAACAATGAATGAGAGTCCCTTTCTCCCCGCATCTGCACCAGCACTGGTTGTTCTTGTTCTTTTTTGATATGTGCCTGTCTCTGTGGGGTAAAAATGATATTTTATTGTTGTTTTGATTTGTATCTTCCTGATGATTAGTAATATAGAGCATTTTTTTCATGTGCCTTTTGGCCATATGTATTTCTTTTTTGAGGAAGTTTTGGTTCATTTCTTCTCCCCAGTTTTTGATGGAGTTGGAGGTCTTTTTCTTGTAAAGTTCTACCAGTGTCTTTTGTATCCTTATTTGATGGGTAGTGGGTAAATAATTTTTCCCATTCTGTGGGCTCTCTCTGTATATTGGTCACTATTTCTTTTGATGTTCTTTTTTTGTGTGTGTGAATTTGACCCAGGGTATCACACATGATAGAACCCAGGGTATCACACATGGCACTTGCCTTGCTGATGGCTGGCGCAGGTTCAATCCCCAGCACTGCATATGATCCCCCAAGCCTGCCAAAAGTGATCCCCAAACCAAAAAGTTTTGTACTAGGACCAGAGAGATGGCTTGAGGACAAGAATACATGATTTGCATGTTGGGATCTTGGTTAGATCTCCAGAACTGAACTGAACTGAATTATGTCCTGCACCACCAGGAGTGGCCTCCAAGCACTGCTGGGTGCATCCCCACCTCATCCAAAAAAAAAATTAAAAGTACTGAAAATGTATATTCCTAGAAGTTCCCAAATTGTGCTCTACTGTGGAATCCTCTGGGGTCCTCACTGACAGCCTGCTTCCTCAGCCTCTCTGATTTAAGTGATCTGAGCATGGGGATATTTTTTAAGGACCCCAGTAGTTCTAGTATGGAGCAAAGTTTGGCAACTATTATATTTTTTTGTGTAACAGAATCAACATCTTCAAGTTGAATTGTTTGAGCTTTGTCATTCCTATATTGGGTTTTGTTCTTTTGTCTATTTACTAAAGCTGCTATTGACAATTGGAGCTGGAGTTTCTGAAAATGGTTTGAATAGCCACTTCTTTGTAGAAATAAAGGTTCATTTATTAATACAAGTGAATAGGACCTTTAAAGAACTTGGTAAAGGTTAAAATGGGGAAAGATGAGAAAACTGTCCTCCCTATTCACCATGGAATTGAATTATTTCCTCATTTCCAAAAGTGTTAAGCAGAAATCTCTGCTCCTTTTTTTTTTGAAATGTTTTTCTTTTAAAAAAATAGATAGCACCAGCATTATCTCCAGAGCTGACTATTGGTGAGCCGTTTTTCCTCTGAATGCCTGAAACTGTAAAGGTCATCTCGGTCTGTATCTTTATAAATGGCAGAAGAAGATGATCCCGTTCTCATTTGAATTTGAATATGTTTTGCATTTTCAGATGAAATGAGAATAAGGGCAGTGATTTTAAAGTTCATGCTTTTATATTCTGTCACTTGAAATTTTAAAAGGTTAAGGAATTAGTAACATTGCCCTTTTCAAGATTTATGCTCCTTTGAATGCTTGAAATGGAACTAGTTAGTGAAGGCTAATAACTGAAGTGACCTTTTTAGTATAACTGGGAGTCTGACAAAGCTTGTTTTGGCAACAATATGTACAGTCATTTGTGTTGATAGATTTATCATGGCATTTTGTATATTCCAGAGGTGGTACTTTTGATTGTTAAATCTCAAAGTTGAAAGGAAATTTAATCTCGGGCTTTTTCTCTGCTGTTATTTTCTTCTCTCCCTCATAGTGGCAGCATGGAACCTGCATTTCATAGAGGAGATCTTCTTTTTCTTACAAATCGAGTGGAAGATCCCATACGAGTGGGAGAAATTGTTGTTTTTAGGATAGAAGGAAGAGAGATTCCTATAGTTCACCGAGTCTTGAAGATTCATGAAAAGTATGTGCAAGTTTTATCTCTTTGAAATATCTTTCTGTCTTAATATTAGAAGCATTGAAATTTGTTAGTCTGAAGATTTAGAAAGAATAAGAGCTTCCACTTTTTTTTTAAAGAGTAAAATGTACTAGAATCTATTAAAAGTAGAATTACATGGGGCTGGAGCGGTAATACAGTGGGGAGGGCATTTGCCTCGCAGGTGGTTGACCTGGGTTCGATCCCCGGCATCCCATAAGGTCCCCTGAGCATTGCTGGGAATAATTCCTGAGTGTGGAGTCAGGAGTAACCCCTGAGTATTGCCAAGTATAACCCAAAAAGCCAAAAAAAAAAAGTAGAATTACAGAACTAGAGAGATAGTGGGGGGTTTAGGAGGGAGAGATAGTGCGGAGTTATCATCCATTCATCAGGGCCTGAGCAGTCTCCTCTCATGAGCCAGCTGCTTAATGCACCACCACGTTCATTTCACAGAGAGCTTTTATTTATTTAATTTTTGGTTAGGGCTGTGTCCCGTGGTGTTCAGGGCTTACTCCTGGCTCTATACTCAGGAATCACCCCTAGTGGGTTTGTGGGGCCCTGTGGAGTGCTTGGGGTCGAACCAGGGTCAGCCGTGTCCAAGGCAAGCACCCTCTCCTCTATACTATTGCCCCAGCCACAAAGAGCTTTTGAATGCTAGTTACAGACTACTTTGCTTCTGGGTGGGAATGTTTTTCTTTTTTCTTTTTCTTCTTTTTTATGTAGGAGTACTGCTATTTATTCAGCCACTGATTAGCTGATTGAATTAGGCATGAACTCCACGAATATTTTTCATTTAACATATACAGTGTTTGCTAACATACACAGTAATTGGTGTAATTGGTATAACCCATTCCTGTTCAAGCAATCTGATCAGGCTGCTCACTTGTTCTGTTCTTGTCATAATATTGTGATTTGCAACTTACTCATCCTTGCACAGCTCTTAGAATGGGTCACTCAGAGATCTTGCTTCTGATTTTTCCGCTTCTTTATTTAAAGTAATATACATTCACTATTCAAAAATCCATTTGGGTAGCCATATTTAAGGACTATCTTAGTACTCTTAAACCAAATGATTATGATGAGTAGCTATGCCAGTCTCTCTGTTCCCCAAAGAGAAAATTGGAAACTTCTGAACGTTAATCTGCTACCTAAACAGGCCTCCTACGTGCATGCGCTTAAGCCTGTTGAGCAGTTTCTTTCCGTTTTTCTTTTGGTTTTGGTTCTGGGGCCATACCTGATGGTGCTCAGAGCTTATTCCCAGCACTGCACCGAGGGATCACTCCGACAGTGCTTGAACGACTTGGGGGATGGAGTGCAGGGGATGGAGCCCTACCCACTATACTATCACTTTGGCCCCTGAGCTATTTCTTCAGTCCATGACTTTTTAATTCTCTCCCCCCCCCCTCCTTTTTGGGCCACACCTAGTGATACTTAGGAATTACTCCTGGTTCTGTGCTCAGGATTAACTCATGGCAGTGCATGGGGTACCATATGGGATAATATGGATTGAACCTGGGTCAGCCTTATGCAGGGCAAGCACCCTACCCACTATACTGTTGCACCAGCCTAGACTTCTTAATTCTTTTAGAAATTTACTTTGGAATTATGCACATTTATTCAGTATAGGTAATGATTTTCAAGTTTTCAAATTAGATTTGTACTCCTTGCTAGCAACAGAGAGTAGAGCCAGCTTTTCCCTGAATTTATTTGAGACAATCAAATTAAACCCAGGTTTGTTCTTGGTTGAGCAGATGTTCTTCATTTTTGTGTAACATTTTATGATTCAGAGAGTTCTATAGGATTTTGTTTTGAAACAGTTCATTTTGTTTCAGGAAAGGATCTTTGAGAAATGGTGTGTTTCAGTTACAGCTTCCTTACATTTCAAATAATTCCAAAGAATTCTGAATTGTTTGCATGCTTTTAGCTGAACCATCCCTGCCGCCTCCCCCCCCAAAAAAAAACAAACAGCCTTTTTGCTTTCTTACTGAATTTTGCTTGTTATTCCTTTTTCCTATGAATCTTCTCATGCCCCTGCCTTTCCTGGGAGTTTTCTGCTTCCCAGTTCTCCACTGGCTGGTATTTTGGTTTTGCTCCCATGTAATCTTGTAATCTTGCATTCTTGGTGGGACTGACTCACCCCTGCTGTTCCTTCACTCTCCCAGTCCCCAGCTCTCCCCTCTCCACACCTGTCTGCTTTTACCCTCCAGGAGTTTATAGCCATTCTTTTATCTCCTGACTTGTTGCCTCCCAGTTCTTTTTCTCTGTATTTATTTGCATTTTTTTCTAATTGGAATTTCATTCTTAATTAACTGTTTTTCGTGTTTCCAGCACCTCCCAATTTAGTTTATCTGCAGATGTAGCGTGAGGTGAGACAGTTTCTGATTGAAGCACATATTAGAAGTCTGAAGCTGATTTGTTCTTTCTAGTGTAGTGGTTAACCCAGATTCACTTGAATTAATGTTATATCTTTATCAAGTGTAAAATATACTTTGCTTTCAATTAAAATTACTAGAAAGCTAATGTCTAGAAAATTAGTAGTTTGTATATCTTCTAAAACATTATACTGTACATGCTGCTTTATAATCTTCATTTAATAAACTTTATATGATCTTCTAATTAGAAACTCAACCATATTATCTTAAAGGCTTGGGTAGTACTTCCATTACTGAGTGTAGAATTTTTAGCATGTTTTGAGTATTTTCCTATTATAAACAGCATAACTCTGAACAAATTTTAATGAAAGAATTTCTTTGGGGGCTGGAGCGATAGCACAGCGGGTAGGGAGTTTACCTTGCACATGGCCGACCTGGGTTTGAGTCCCAGCATCCCATATGGTCCCCTGAGCACTGCCAGGAGTAGTTTCTGAGTGAAGAGCCAGGAGTAACCCCTGTGCATTGCCAGGTGTGATCCAAAAAGAAAAAAAAAAAGAATGTCTTTGGTAATTGGAATGGTGATGGACCACAACAGGGATTTTTCAGTAACAAGAATAAATTTTGTGCTTTCAGCTGCCTTGAAGGTATTGGATGACTTGAGTTTTCCTTATTCTCTTAAGGCAAAATGGACATATCAAGTTTTTGACCAAAGGAGATAACAATGCGGTTGATGACCGAGGCCTCTATAAACAAGGACAACATTGGCTAGAGAAGAAAGATGTTGTGGGGAGAGCCAGGGGGTAAGTCTGGAAGGAAGTCACACTTAGTGACTGTCTCAGGTCTCAGTCTCACCTGAAGTGTGACTCCAGAGTTGTATTGTCTGACCATGATTGAATTGTTCAGTGCTGTTTCTACTGAATTGTCTTTGTTTCCTTGGGGAATAGTCTCTTCTTAAAATGCACCTCAATTCAAATGTCCTGTCACGGAGGGGCAGGATTGGGGTACAGTGGGAGAATAGAGTATTGGTGTTAAAATGACGAAGTGGAGTAGCAATTTTTTTTTTTTTTGGAGTAGCAATTTTTAAAATTCACTTATTCATTCAAGGATGTACTTTAATACTATGCTAGTTTCTGGGTTCCAGAACAGTATTAATCCTGATTCATGAAACTTATTAACATTTCTTAAGTAATTTACTGAATCTGCAACTTAAAGTGTTCATCTTAATTAATTTTACCATGTTAATTTTATTCCATACTATTGTATTTCTAGACTTGAATTTATTGAGGTCAAATGGAACTTAAAGTCATATAAAGCCTGTTTATTTCAGATTTTATCAGGAGAGCAGATGAGTGGAGGACAGGAATTGTGAGTGATCGGTATGAGAAAGTATGGGACTATAATTACTTTCTTGTTATTAATAGTATTAACAATAACTCACATTTATTAGGGCTTACTGTTCGCCAGAGACTCATTCTAAGTGCTTTACAAATATTACCTCATTTTAACCTTAGAACAACCCTAATATTTCCATTCTATAGATGAGGAAACACAGGTTGCTTATCTGAGTTCTCTCTGCTGATAACAATGATACATAATAAACTTGGTGATTTGGAAGCTCTCTTTAACTATCACCAGAATCACTGACTGTCTCTTCTGATGCGGTTACTGCTGGCTGTCACTGTTTACATGCCACAGGACACTCAGATGCTTTCGGGACATTCACTCTGCCTGGACATCCACTCTCTGCTGTACTCTGGATGCATGATGGTTCTTCTCAACAACAGGTCGCCCCATGCTAAAGGACTCTTCCCATAGAGAAGTCAGTATAAGTTAATAAGAGGAAAATACTCCAGTTAGAGCATGAGCAGTAGATGTTTTAGGACCAGAAAGATGAAATCAGAACAGCATCCAGTGTGGTTTTTGTCTTGCAGAATTTTTGTATATGCCTCCAGTTCAAAAGAATTTCCCTACAGTGGAACTAACATACTTTTCTGTTCTTAGTTAGTTCATCGATGCCCCTGAGGAATCTCAGTTCCCATATATGTCCAGTATTGACACTTATGTACATATACACACCCATAAGCACATTTTATGTATGGAGAAGAGATTGGCCACACTGTTTTTTTCTTTTCTTTTTGCTCTTTGGGTCACACCCGGTGATGCTTAGGGGTTACTCCTGGCTCTGCACTCAGGAATTACTCCTGGCAGTGCTCGAGGGACCATAATAGGATGCCGGGGATCAAACCCAGGTTGGCCGCATGCAAGGCAAACGCTCTATCTGCTGTGGTATTGCTCTAGCCCCTGCTTTTTTCTTCATTCTCCAAAGTCATTGGTATCTTTACAAATGGATAAACTCTTCTCTGTATCATCATGGAAGATTTGTGCTAACTCACTGCATGGTGAGACCTTTGCTCAAGTGACTGTCCAAGTTAGGTTGCCTGTATGTTTTCTGTTTTATTTTACTTATTTATTTTTGTTTTATTGGGTCACACCCAGCGATGCTCAGGGGTTGCTCCTGGCTCATGCACCAGGAATTACTCCTGGCGGTACTCGGGGGACCATAGGGGATGCTGAGAATCGAACCAGGTTGGCCACAAGGCAAATGCCCTACCTGGTGTGGTATCACTCCAGCCCCTCTGTCTTGTTTTTTAATTGTGACAAATGTTCCAGTGAGCATATTTGCTGCTTACACCTCAGTGTCTCTGCCCAGTCATTTCTTCATAGTAAATTCTCTAAGGTGGAATTTCTGAGTGAAAGAAATGCACCCAGCCTCTTGAACCACCTCTCTGGTCCCTGAATCTCAACATTTGTGTTCTTTCACAGCTCTAGGGGCTCATTCTGACCCCCTGGTTTGGGTAAGAAAAGAAAAGAAGCATCGTCTTGGGGCCCTGGAGAAAGCTCAAGGAGTAGAGTACAGGCTGCCCATGGTTTGATTCCTGGAATTTGATTCCTGGAATTATGTGTGCCCCTAGCACTCTAGGAGTAGCCTGGAGTGGCCCCTATAGACCGAAGAACTGCTGGGTATAGCCTCTTTTTTTTTTATTTTTATTTTTTAATTTAATTTTTATAAAGTAGTTCACAATATTTCATTATATAGCGTCTTTAAAACAAAAAGAATCTAGGCCGGAGCAATAGTACAGTAGGGAGGGTGTTTGCCTTGCATTCAGCTGATCTGGGTTCAATCCCCGGCACCTCGTATGGTCCTCTGGGTGCCGCCAGAAGTGATCCTTGAGTAAGGAGTAAGTGGCAGGAGTAAGCCCTGAGCACTTCTGGAGTGGTTCAAAAACAAACCAAAAAATCCAATGAAGGGTTAAAGGACTCATGCTTTCACTCAAATAGCTTATTTTTTGAAAGAGAAATTTTAATCTAAAATTACATATGTTATTTCTCAAATCCCAACATTAAAGTCATATTATTCAAGAGTAATAGCCTACCAATAAAATAGCTTTCCATGAAATATAAAATTTTGAGACACGAACCGCAAGAACACAGATGCTTGACTGTACAAACTCACTTTCCATTGATTACCTGACTCATAATGGGGATATATCTTTTCCTTCTGTAGAAATTGTGTTTATCAAACACTAAACCAATATTTCAGAGGCAAATTGTTCCCAAATCTTGAAAACAGGTTTTTCTCCAAAACCAGTTGTGATTATCAAATAATATTTTTATACATTGTACAAATGATTTTGTTTTGTGTTTTGGCAGCCCCATGCTAAAATGTTTTATACTGAAAATCTAAGACTTGAAGAAAAACAAGTATGATTCATATTATCTTGGGATCTAAAACTTACTAATGTATTTAGTGAGAAAAGGTCTGGGCCACACCCAGCTGTGCTCAGGCTTTCTTCTGGCTCTGCGCTCAAGGATCACCCCTGGCAGGGTTTGGGGGGAGATTAGTGTGGTGCCAGGAATAGAAGCTAGGTCAGCTGCTCACCTTACTCTGTACTATTTCTGCAGCCTTAACATTTACCATTTTAGGGGCTGGAGTGATAGCACAGTGGGTAGGACATTTGCCTTGCACACGGCCCGACCCAGGTTTGATTCCCAGCATCCCATATGGTCCCCCAAGCATGGCCAGGAGTAATTCCTGAGTGCATGAACCAGGAGTAACCCCTGTGCATTGCTGGGTGTGACCTAAAAAGCAAAAATAAAAAAATTATCATTTTTAATGGGTCATTTACAAGTCCGTGGGCTTTACTATTCATAGTGCTGTGCAACCATTGCCACTGTTTTAATTCCAGAATATTCCCATACTCCATTGAGAAAGCACCATACACATTGTCATCATTCCCTAGCCCCTGTCCCTGCAGCCACTGTTTGTATGGGGTTTTGACATTTTATTCAAACAGAATCATATACTATGTGGTATTTCATTGTCTGCCTTTCACCTAGCTTACTGTCTTCAACATTCATGTTGGGTGTCCAAAAAAAAAAAAAAACAGTGTAGGGTATAAAACAAACAGTGAAGCAAATAAGCCTTTAATAAGGGTGATTCTTTGTCAAGTCAGGAAGCTGAAACACATGACTCCATCAGTCAAGAAAGACCAGAGAGCAATAGAAGAAAAGGATGAAAGGCTGGCAGAAGATGAGGGATAGAAGAGTCCTAAGAGTTTGGAGAGACAGTATAAATGAGAGGAGGATTTGAGTGCTGCATCATATACTAGGCTTCAAGCATGTTCTTTTTAGGGACCAGACATTTGCCAATACTGATTCCATCCCTGAACCTCTGCTTATTTGGCTGAGAATTACCAGGAGGGATCCTGGAATTCCTGAGCACAGCTTGGAAGGCCCCTCTCAGCATGCCAAAAAAAAGTACTTGCCTCAGAATACTTTATTCAGCAGGGACCTGAGACATGGTATAGTGGGTAGGGTACCTGCCTTACATGTGGCCGACCGGGTTTGATTCCTGGTACCACATCTAGTAGATCATGTGTGTGGCCCAGAAAATAAAGAAAGAAAAAGGAATGCCTGCTTTTACAAATGTGGGGATGAAGAGAGAAAAGATCTGGGTAGGGGGCTGGATCAGTAGTATAGCGGGCAGGGCATTCGCTTTGCACACAGCCCACCCAGGTCTGATTCCATGCATTCCGTATGGTCTCCTGAGCACTGCCAGGAGTAATTCCTGAGTACAGGGTCAGGAGTAACCCGAGCATTGCCGGGTATAACACAAAAAGCAAAAAAAAAAAAAAGGATCTGGGTAATGGGGTAATGCTGCCAGAAGGGAATGGGATACATTAATGAGGACAGGAGACAGGAAGCAAGAAGAGGTTTTTTGTCTATGTTTTGGGGGCTACACCCAGTGGTATTCGGGGCTTACTTCTGGCTCTGCATTTAGGGATCATTCCTGGTGGCTCTGGGCGACCATATGGGGCATCAGGAATTGAACCCGGATCATCTGCGTACAAGGCAAGCACCTGCCAGTAGTATTATCTGTCTGGCCCCAAGAGTTTCTAAAAAGTAAAGTGTGGCAAAGACAAAAATGTTTTTTTGAGTTTGTCTCAGGTTCCAGTACCGAAGGTGTTATGTGGGAGCTAATTTTTGTTTGGGCACCTCCGGTGATGCCAAGATTGTGAATGCCCTGAATAGAAGTATCTGAGGATGCACAGGTGCCTCTACGTCAGCCCAGCATGCCTTGTCCAGCACAGCCTGCGCCCGAGCCCTTGGACTAGCTCCCCTTGTTATACCCACGAGCCAGCTCGGATTCAGTCTGTTAGTTGCAAACCTCTCTGTGCTAGAAACTTTGTGCTCACTGTCAAGAAGTTTCTGTGGGCCCAGACTGGCATCGAAAATTACACGTTTCTTTCTGGTTTAAGGTGACAGACTTAAGGGTCAAAAGGAAAAAACGAACTAGTGCTGGGAAAATAAAGATACATGAAAAAAGAGCCATGGTAGTGCCTAGAAGCCGAGGAGTTTCTCGAGCACATAACCGTTCAGCGAGATGCTGTGGGATGTATTGGCTAGCTGCATGTGGCGATCAAAACTGTTCTAGAAAAAGTTCTGGGACTAAGTGAGCCAAATTGCAGGTGGTTAAAAATGAAAGTGATGAAATCTGAAGTAGTGTACTCGCACCCTCACGCTCACTTTTGGAACACTGAACAGGAAGTGCTCATATAATATTTGGGCTGTTCGCTTAGTCTCCCTGACTAGATTGACTAGATTGTGGTTCTGTGTTTAGGTCCCTAAAGGGTTGACAACAAGCCCAGTACCTACTGCTCAGTCCACATTTGCGCTAGAGTCACCAAATAAAGTCTCTAAGATGTCAAACCTGATCCTGGTTCTACCACACAGAATTGTCTCTGTACCTTCGCTGTAGACATGTTTCCTCATCTATAAAATGGTGATATTCCTAACTTCTCTACCACATGGGCTTTTGAAAGGATCTAATAGGACAGTATGTACAAATGGAGCTTATACGTTCGTATTCTATGGACAATGTTGAGAATGTCCCAGTAAGTACTACTTTAGGAATTTCTGTATTGATCGTCTGTTTGTTTGTTTGTTTAGATTTGTTCCTTATATTGGAATTGTGACTATCCTCATGAATGACTATCCTAAATTTAAGGTAAGATCTTGCACTCCGTGTTTGTCTAACAGTGTGATCTCTAGGGCCAGAGAAATAGTACTGGGGTTAAGGTGTGTGCCTTATGTGGCTGACTCCGAGCTTGAACCCCAGCCAGCACTACTTGGTTCCCAGAGCACTTCCTGGAGCACCCAGGTAATCCCCAGCACTACGGGGCCTGAGCAGCTGCATATCCCTGGGCCCTTGCGTTGAACTGCAAGGACCGTTTGATCTATAGTCGGCTAGGAATCTTTAGGGAAGGTGCCTCTAGGCTTCCTGGGCACTGCTTGAGTTAAACAGTAATTTATTTATTTATTTATTTTTTGGTTTGGTTTTGGGCCATACCCAGCAATGCTCAGGAATTACTCCTGGTGGTGCTTGGGAATCCCTGAGGGATGCTGTGGACGCCCTACCCACAGTACTATTTCTCTGGCCCCAAATTGAATAGAAATTTATCAGGTTACAAAGACCCGTTTATTAATTAACTCTTGTGAACCTTTTTAAATTTGTTTTTGGTTGGGGGCGGCACCTGGAGGTGCTCAGGGCTTACTTTTGACTCTGCGCTCAGGGATCGCTCTTAGCAGCACTTGGGAGACCATATGTGGTGCTAGGGATCAAACCTGGGTTGGCCGCATGCAAGGGAAACGCCCTCCCCACTGTACTATAGCTCTGGCCCTGATTTGTGAACTTTTCAAAGCGCTGATTGTGGTTCTGTGTTTATTTTCTAGTATGCTGTACTCTTTTTGCTGGGTTTATTTGTGCTGGTCCATCGTGAGTAAGGACTCTCCCTTGCTGCTCCTGGAAGATGCCGTACTTTTTGTTACTGAATGTTTGGAGTAGATACTGGTCTGTGATTGGTGGAATGAAGAACACACACGTTGGCGCGTCTCAGTAGCACTGGTTTGCATTAGTTTGTGTTGCCACACCAAAAAACGTGTGGACAAGTGTATGCACTTCGGTGTGCCCTCAAGGGGACTTTCAATCACAGGATTTCATATGTTGTCATTGTCACACTTTCACATTTTTGTACATCAATGAATTTTTTATATTAAAAGGTTGAGCCAAAGCCCCCAGTGTTTGTATTTTGAAGCCAGGCTTCATTTCTAAAGTGCCTACAGAGTTCTGTAAATGCAAATGCAGCTCTGCATGCATTGGAAACCGTCGTTCCTCCTGCTGATGGGAATGGCATATGCTAAGGTGGTCCAAGTTTTAACTTTTCACAGTTTTAAATAAAAGACTTTGCATATCGAACCCCTCAGCCCTGACTGGTGTTTGGCGGGAAAACTTCTGATGTTAGCCTTCTTGTTCTGGTTCTTTGCATCCCTCAGGGGATAAATAGGCTTTGATGAGAACAATCCTTTAGCTAAGAAAGTTGCCTAACACTAATTGCTTTTTTATTTGTATTTTTGTTTTTGTGAAGCATAAGGAGCCGTGGACATTCTGAGGAAATCTTAGTCATAAAATTGATTCTTCAGTCAGGCATGACTTCGATGTGGATAAAACCAGCTCATGTTGCTGTGAAGTTCAGAAAGATCTCACTTTGCAGTAAAGATTTATAACCTTTCCAACACCTGAGATATTCTCAGCCTGTCTTCCCTGTGGCATTCTTTGCTAGCCTGAGATGGAGGAGGAAGGCGCTGGGGGACCTGCTTGGCTTCTTGCTTTCTCTGATCATGTCTTGGCCTGAGCCAGTTCTGAGTGCCTGGCTTTGCTTTTCTCTAATGCAGATTTAGAGAAGGCAAGGTTTGTGAAGTGGTGAGTGCCAAATCCAATTGTTTTTCTCCTTTAATGTTCAAGCACTTAGGAAAAACAGGGAATGAAGGGTACAATGATGGGTTTTAAGCACAAAATACACTGAAGTATTATGTGTCTCATAATAAGCGAGACAAACAAGACTTGTCTGTGTCGGCCTCATGCAGGGTTTCTGTCACTTCTCCAGCTGAGGCAGAGACAGGTCTGTTCTGTGCTGGTAACAGGTGAGAATCAGGACCGTTGATATGCTGACCAGAATAGTGCCTCCCCACCGGAAGTAGTGCAGAACCCATTATCCAGGCTTCAGCCTGAGGCCCTGAGGATGGGCGCTAATGACCTTATAGGGTATGAAGCTGGCATCAGTGCTGGCCAGAGCCTGTGGGCATGATAGTACTTCAGTTTCCTCAGGAGCCTGGGAGCTAGCAGGGTGCTCCTGCGTATGAGATGGGCACACTTGCCCTCGCTACCTGAGGCAGATGGGGTTGATGCATGACTATCTTCTTCAAGCTCTCTGGCACTTCTCTGGGATAGAAGTAATGCTTTGCTGGCTAAGCTTGGAACCAGGTTTCTCCGTGATCCCAGTTTCCCTGTGTGGACACTTCCTTGGACTTGTTTTTATTAGCTAGCCACACTTCTCGCTGAACACTTACTAGAAGGAAAAAAGAATTTTTTTCCCTCATGAACATAATTTCTCACCCAGTTGGGTGAATATTTTATTTTCCCTCTTCTGCTGGACACTTTAGTTGAAAGCAATAACTTAAGTTATTCTGAGGTTTAATCACATTTTTTAAATCTTTGAATCAGTGTACTAGCCAAAAATAAAAAGGCTTTGCTTTTCTCTAATGCAGATTTAGAGAAGGGAAGGTTTGTGAAGTGGGAGAGAGGTATTATATTCCTAGTTTTTTGTTTTTGTTGTTGGGGCACACCTGGCAGTCTCCTGTCACTTTGGTGGCTGTGTGTTCCAGTTTTCTCGCAGATTGCCACTCTGTGCCCACTTAAAAGAATTTCCACCTGTAAATCAATGTCAATACTCTGTTTACTGCAAAAAATGCTTTTCAGGGTCCAGGACATACCTGAGAGGACAGGAACGTATGCTGGAACCCCCAGCTCGATCTCATACATTGCCTGAGTACCGCCAGTTGCTACCCAGAAACCAAAAAAGGAAAAAAAAAGAAAAGGAAATGTTTCTTTTTTTTTTTCCCCGATTTTGGGTCACACCCAGCGATGCACTCGGGAGTTACTCCTGGCAGTGCTCAGGGGACCTATATGGGATGCTGGGAATCGAACCAGGGTCGGCCATGTGCGAGGCAAACACCCTATCCGCTGTGCTATCACTCCAGCCCCAGGAATGCTTCTTTTGGGATCGAAATACTATGTTTACCCTGCATATATATAACCTGTAGGTGAAACTCAAAACTTATTGGTTTTTTGATTTTTGTTTTTTTTTTGTTTGTTTGTTTTGGGGCCACACCCAGTGGTGGTCAGGACTTACTTCTGGCCCTGTGCTCAGGGATCACTCCTGGCAGGCTTAGGGGACCATATGGGGTGCCAGAGATTGCATGCCACATGCAAGACAAGCTCCCTCCCTGCTGTACTGTCTGTCTGGCCCCAACTTCAACTTTCAGTGCAGCTGACATAAGCATCCTGTGTGGTACTGCTGTTTTTGTGTGTTACCTCCTCATTTTGGTTCTTATGCTTGAGTCTCACCCTCTTCACAGAGTGACTATTCTTCCTCTGTCTCAGCACTGCAGCTTCTGCAGCTTGTGTGTGTGAGCATTTACTGGTGGCTCTGGGGCCCTGCTTGGTAGACAGACACTGGCTGTTTTTCCCAGTAGCATCTCACAGCGTCAACTGAATGTTGAGAAGAATCATTCGCAGGATCCAGAGGCACTAACTTATGGGAGCATTATTGTTGAGCTATTGCTCTGAATTAGAACTTATGAATCATTAAGTGATTCGTTATTTCCTGTTATTGAGTGAAGTGCATTATCTTGGCCTGGCCACATTTGAATCGGAGAACTTTAATTCTCCATGGTTCCATTGAAACAGCATAACAGCATGTTCCCTGTGGAGAATTTTTTTTTGTATTAATCATGTTTTCGTGTGTGTGTGTGTGTGTGTGTATCTGTCTGTCTTTTCCTGTATTCTCTTTCTTGATGGGAAGAGAAAGGGGTGTTTGCTTGTTAGAGGTGCTCAGAGCCTTGGCTTAAATTAAAGACTCTGTGAGCCTTAAAGTTCACTTCTTGGTCATTTGCATAAACATTATCATGTATAGATAACCCCTCAGAATATAGTGGGTGGGGCCCTCCGTCAGGGATCACTCCTGGTGGGTCTTAGGGCACCGTATGTAGTGCTGGAGATTGAATCCAGGTGTCTGCTGCATTTAAGGCAGGCTCCTTAACTCTGTGCTATCTCTCCAGCCCTTGTCTTGGTCACTCTGACTAGAGCACTAGTTTACTCTTCAACTGGTGAGAACTTTTCATTCAGCACCTGTACTGGGCGTCATTCTTCTCTGCCAGGTAAGGAGGAGTAAGTGGAGGTCTGTCTTTGGCCAAGAATCCTTAAAGATTGGACAGGAATACCTTAACAGAGCACCATGTAAATGACCTTTTCCTCAGAGGATCAGAACTACAATGATCACTGGAAGCTTGAAAGTGGAGTGTATTTATTCTCAACTAAGCCCTCTGGTGCATAATGCTTCCTGCTACCTTTGACTGTTTAAGCCACTCCTTTGTGACTTTTCCCATCAAAATGCTTTGTCTCCTTACTGTCTCACTCCCCACCCAGCTCCTTGAGGGCATTAAGACAAGACCAGTGCTCAGGAGATGACCCAGGGCTATAGAACATGCTTTGCGTGGGGTCCCTGGGTTTGATCCCTGGGCTCCTGAGCACCACAGGTGTGACCCAAAGCAATACCATTTCACCTCTTGTTCTCGTCTTCCATTTATCCCTCACTTAGATCAATTATATCCAGACTCTTGGGCTAGCTAATAAAAACAAGCCTGGGTTCGATCCCCAGCATCCTATATGGTCACCCAAGTACCACCAGGAGCAATTCCTGAGTACAGGAGTAACTCCTGAGCATTGCTGGGTGTGGCCCAAAACAAAACAAAGAAGCAAAAAACTATATAGAAGAGTACCTATTGCTTTCATAGCATAAATTCAAGAGAAAGCTAGAAAAAATATTCTTGGCTCAGTCCCCCACACACTCCATACCCCAGGGCCAGGAGTAAGCCCTGAGCACAGCTGGGCGTAGCCGCCAAACCAGTAAATAAACATTTTATACCCTGGCCATCTCAGTCTGAAATATTTTCTTGTTAAAGATTAATGCTGTTGTCTAGCAAACCCCTGTGTTGGGCTTTTGCATCAAGTACCCTGCTCCCCAGGCTGTCCAGTCCCCTCCAACCCTTAAACTCACAGGACCCCAAAGCTGCCCGCAGTATGTGCCTTTTGCAGGTTGGTCAGGGGCCTGGGTGGCAGGGCAAGGAGGGGGGAGGGGCAGTGTGTGTGTGTGCATGTACATGATTTTACACAGATTCTGAGCAGCTTTGTCATCATTTCAGGGCTCATGCCTTCTAGCTCTCTCCCCTCCTCCCTCCCCAGTTTCCTCCCACCCTCTTCTTTCCCTCCTTCCCCACCTCTTCTCCTTTCTCTCCTCCCTCCTTCCCCTTCCGTCCTCCCCCCATGCTTTCACACTTTCAAGCGCTCTCATTTTAGGACCGTTTTGTGGCTGTGCCTAGGGCTTTTTCCTGGCTCACCCCTGGCAGCACTTGGGGGACCACATAGAATGTTGGGGATCAAATCTGGGTTGGCACAAGCAAGGCAAGCGCTCTCCCGACTGTACGATCACTCCGGCCCTCACTGATGTCTCCTTTATGTTTCTGCTTTCTGCTATGTCTTTGGTTCGAAACGTTTTTCCTTTTGGTGCTGGGACGGACCCCCCATGCATATGAGACATGTGATTTGCCGACATACCCAAAGACATACCCAAACCACTTGAGTTTTCCAAGTCCACACACTAGTTTTCTCCATTTGTTTCATTTCTCTGCAGCTGGCTGACTTTGTACCCGAGTCAAACTATAACATGGGCACTGGTACTAGTCTTCCCTATGACAAAATTGGGTTGGTGATTTTGTTGTATGCATGTAAGTGCTCTTTAAAAAACAAAAGAAATGAAAGAGACTATTTTATGAAAGGTGCTATTTGTTTAGGGTTCCGGTTTAATGAAGTTATAGGAAAAACAATATGTGTTCCTAATTTTTGTATTTTTTCATACTTGGAACTTTACCCAACAGTGCTGGGGGACTCTCGGCACAGTGCTTGGAGAACTATGTTGTACTGTGGATTAAACTCAGTCCTCCCATATGTACAGCATGCACTCAGCCCACTAAGCCATCTCGCTGGCCCCTGTGTCCTTTATTTTAAACAATCATTGATTCCAAAGCATAGTGCATGGCCTTGAGTCTGTCCCCAGCACCACTAGGGGTCATTCCTGAGCACCGCGAGGTGTGGCCTGTCCTCTCAACCCCCAATAAAAGTATAGGCATGGTACAGTTGAAACATTTATTGTGTTGGTTAAAACAGACTTTCATAGATCTTTCACCTTGTCCCTCTTCAGCAGCTTGTTCTGTGTGTGACTCTCCTCCGTGTTTTGTTTTTGTTTTTGTTTTTTTTTGCTTTTTGATTCACACCCGGCAATGCACAGGGGTTAGTCCTGGCTCATGCACTCAGGAATTACTCCTGGCGGTGCTCAGGGAACCATATGGGATGCTGGGAATTGAACCTGGGTCGGCCATGTGCAATGTAAATGCCCTACCCGCTGTGTTATTACTCCAGCCCCGACTCGCCACCGTTTTTGTAAGTGCCTTTGCTGTAAAATCCCAGGAGGGGTCAGACTAAGCTCTTAAGCTCCACCGTCTCATGTCGCTGCCAGCCTCTCTTGGGAAGGCTTGCGACTTTCCATGGCATCGAGTGGCTTGGGGGAACACATGGTTGGTGGTGAAGATCCTTGGTATAGTAACCCAGAGCCTGGCGTTGGCTGGGAGGCCTCACTGGGAAGCCACCCCATACGGCGCCCAGGGCCTCCCTATCCTGGTATGCTGCCTCAGAGTTGGCCCTGGGGCTGCCGCCGCCTCAGGAACGTGTGACTGGCGCTGGAAACAAAGCTGGCAGCATTGGCTGAAATAAATCACTTTCCAGGGCCAAGAGCACGATGGGCAGGGCACCTGCATTGCACTTAGCTGACCCGGGTTCGCTCCCCAGCGTCCCTTATGGTCCCCTGAGGCATGCCAGGAGTGATTCCTGAGTGCAGAGCTAGGAGCAAGTCCTGAATGTTGCTGGGTATGGCCCCAAAACAAATTTTAAAAGGAAATTAGGGGCTGGAGCGATAGCACAGCGGGTAGGGCGTTTGCCTGGCATGCGGCCGACCCGGGTTCGATTCCCAGCATCCCATATGGTCCCCTGAGCACCGCCAGGAGTGATTCCTGAGTGCATGAGCCAGGTGTAACCCCTGTGTGACCCAAAAAGCAAAAAAAAGAAAAAAAAGCAAATAAGCTTTCCGAATTGAGCCCCAGCTCCAACCCACCCAGTGCAGCAGAGGTGGGACTTGGGTGGGTACCATTGCTTGGCCTCACCCCTGAACTTGCTACTCAGGCATGAGTGGGCGTGCTTTCAGGAAAGCAGCGTTGCCCCTGAGACTTTGAGGGCCCAAGAGAGTGGTGTGAATACCCCACAAGTCTAGTGCCATCTAGGCATGAGGCTCACCTGCCCCTTCCTGTTTGGAACTGAAGTGAGAGAGACCTGCCGGGGGTGGAATAAGGCAGAACCCGGTTCCAGTTCCTCTGTCCCTGCTTGCCAGGGCACTCCGCAGTGGGGCCCGGTCGCCGGGGGAATGACTGCAGCGGGAAGGTGCTAGGAGCTATATCTGTCCCTGGTGGCTCAGCAGACAGCAGAGCAGGAGGTGTGAGTGCGGGCAGGGAGGTGGGGCAGGACCAGGAAGGGAGGGTGCCGCTACCCTGGGCACAGGGCATGGCTTTGCCTGCTTCTCTGTTTGCCCCCTTAGGGCTGGTGCAGAGGAGCGCCCCCAGAACGGGACTGGGGCGTGGGTCCAAGTGGGCCGCAGTGCAGGGACGGGCGCCTCTGTCACTCTCGCGGGTTCAGCCCCGTCCCCAGCTTTTTGCCGCTGCTTGGGCGGTGGCTCCTCGAGGGCGGAGAGGGAAGCCTCTTTACCTGGGGTTGCGGCTATTCCGTTTCAGTGCAGAAGGGAGGTCTTGGGGGGGAGGGCGCCCTTGGGCAGCTGGTGAGGTTGGGGGTTCCGTGTGGCACCACCTGCACCCCGCCTGCGCACTCGCTGTGGTTTCCAGGTTACCTGGAGAAATACCGGGGCAGGGTCCCAAAGGCTGAGGCTGGGGCTGTGAGGCGTCTGGAGCCCCACTTTACCGCACAGGGGGACGCGGAGAGGGAAGGTGACTCACAGACCGTGGAAGCGGGAGGGACCCCGCAAGACAGTGAGGGTGCGGGCCCACGTGCAGGGTGTGGGTCGGCGAGCGCTGGGGGGCGGTTCCGCGGCGCAGGCTCCGCCCCCCGGTCCCCCTTTAAAGGAGGCGCCTCCGGGAGCGGCGGCACTTCGGGCTGATCCTGGATCTGCCGCCCAGCCATGAGCCGCCGGGCGGGGCGTCCTCGCCTGCTCTTCCTGCTGCTCACGCTGCTGGTGGCCAGCGCCGCCCCGCTCAGCTGGGATCCCCCGGAGCCCAGTGGCCGAGCAGCCAGCAAGATCCGTGTGCACCCGCGGGGCAACCTCTGGGCCACCGGTAAGTGCAGCTGCGCCTGCTGCCTGCCCCTAGTCCGCTTCCTTCTCCAGCCGCTTTGTGTCCACAGACCCCGCAGTGGACCCCCGGGCTCACTGGTTGACTGCATGGGGTACTTGAGTTCCTGACGTTAGGTCTCTGAGCCCACAGCTGAGCGGGGCTGGTTCTCCCTGGAAGCAAGACCCATGCCCTTTGCCATCTTCCCCGCTTGCCGCCTCCCAGGTCCTCCTTTCCTGGCTCTCCTGGGACGGTTATCCCAGCCCTGACCACCCCAACCCTCATACCCGCCTGCCTGCAGCCCTCCCCACCGCCCCTGCCTGCCAGGAGAGCCCACCAATCTGGGAGACTCGGCACCACCCACCCGGCTGGGCAGCACCCATTGGAGGGAGATGGAATAGGGTCCTCCGGCGACACCTCCTTTGCAGGTCACTTCATGGGCAAGAAGAGTCTGGAGCCCCCCAACCCATCCCCACTGGAATCAACCCCCCAGATCTCCCCAAGGGACAGGCAGCTGCAACTGAGTCCTGACCTGCTCAGGATCCTCTTTCTCAAGAGAGCCTTGGGCCTGGGCCACGGCAACCCAGCGCCAAGCCCCCAGGTGAGTCGGGTACCCCAAGACCCAAGGATGAGTGTGGGTCCCAGAAAGCCAGGGAGCCACACTCAGAGGCTGGGGATGTGGCTCGGTAACAGGATGCTAGCCTTGCGTATCCTTGCGCATGGGTTTAATTCCAGCAGTGCCAAAAGGAAAACGGGGAGAAACAGAGGCCCTCCCGTAGGCCCCAGCCTGAAGCCCAGCCCAGGGAGCCAAGAGAACGGCCAGGGCAGCGGGCTGTGCTGACCCTGACCTGTGGTCTGCTGCCACCAGCTTTCAGGCTGGACACCTCTGGGGCATCCTGTGTGCACTCAGAAATTGAGCGGGGCTCTCTCCACTCCAGCACCTCCTCTTCCCCCTGCGTCTCAATTCACGGGACAGGGAAGGAGCCCAAGCCCAGCAGTGCCAGGCTTCATCTCCAGAATCTTTTAGCCTGCTGAAGGGCAGCCCCCGAGCCCCTGCTTCAGCACTGCCCCATGCCACACGGCTTTCCTTGCTGTGTGCGGCTGGCCTGGGATCTGAGCATCCAGATTAGCTCGGCAGCTATGCCACCTCACAAACGGCACTCAACCAGGCGGGGAAAATGACCAGCTCTGCCTGTGGGAACCCTTGATTTGATTCCTGGCACAGCATGGTCCCCTGAGCACCCCTGAGGACCACTGGCCATGGCCACCCCTACACCGTGAATGTCATTTAACCTCCACCCATACCATCTCTGCAACGGAGGCATGGGAAAGTAGAGTGATGGGGCTGTTGCCACTTCCACGCCCCACAGCACTTGTTGCTGACTCACTTCCACATCCCTCTGTGCACACTGTGAGAGAAGGGAGGTGCCCCCAAGAGAAGGTCCCCCGCTCCCCTCCTGACTCTAACTGCCTGCTGCACATCTGTCAGGACCCCAGATGACAGGAAGGGGCTATCACCTCTGGGGCTGCTGGTCTCTAAGGCTGAACCTGGCAGACCACTTAGATCCTCTCAGGCCACAGAGGCATGGGATGGGGGCTCGGGATGGGAGGGAGGGGAGATATTGACATTGGCTGGGTACCACACTTCAGCTGGACCTTCACAACTCCTTCAAGATCCGGACCACAACGTGGGGTGGGGCTTCCCTTGCCGCCTTCAGGACGCCTGTGGGGAGCAAGTGCTGGGGTGGAGGGAGGTGGCAGCTTCAGCTGAGAGTCTGACTCCATCATGCCTGCCACTTAGGGCCACCAGGAGACCCCTGTGCACTGGTCAATTTCTCTTTATTCCGCTTCAGTACAGGAGGCTGCTGGGGCCAACGCTGCAGAAGTGTTGCCACTAGGGAGGAAGATATGACGACGCTGTGGCTTAGATTGTGCCCACCCAGGAAAGGTGCTGAATGGGACCCTAAGTAGTAGCCCCTCCTGGATGTAAATCCTGGGCTCAAATTTGTTACATCATTACTGAGATTTCTGTGTGGGTCACGGGGAATACGGCCAACGCAGACACAAATCATGTTCCTATGTATTTCTTGCTCCTCTGTTGAAGTTGTGAATAAAACCCCCTTCCTTTACATAGAATGCCTGGTCCTCTCCTTTCAGCCGTGTTTGAGGGATGGGAGGGAAAGGGGGAGAGGAGGAGGGTGGGTTGTTTAGTGGAGGTAGGCTGGCTGCAGAGGCCCAGAACTTTCTACGACACCAGCCTAGCACTGATCTGGACTCTGATTCATTCAGCAAGCCCCTTCTCCACTCCTGCACTGTACCAGGTTGCGGACCAGACACGCTTATGCCACCTACCTGTGGAGACGCTCCCAGAGGAGCGTCTTACCTGGATTCCTTATCTCCCCAAGCTTCCAGGTCTGTGCAGAAAGGCGAGGCGGTGGAGTTGGCATCCGGATTGCTTACCCTTCCTGGCCTGTGTAGGGTTCCCAAAATGAGTAAATATAAAATACAGAATATCATGGCTGGACAGTGGGCAAGGTGCTTGCCTTGCAGGCAGCCAACCCATTTTGATCCCTGGCACCAGAGAGGGTCCCCGGATCCCTCCAGGAGTGATCTCTGAGTACAGCGGGCGTGGATGTCACGCCCCTCCCCACCACCACCAGATTCAGAATATCCAGTTAAATGAGAATTCTGGATAAACTTTCTATACTATGTCCTAAAAGTGGCAGGACATACATAAAAAATAAACGCCCCTTTCTCTGAAAATCGGATTTCACGGCGTGCTGCATTTGATCTGGCTCTGCGATCTGCCGACTCGTCAGGTGGGCGGGAGTGGGGTCCCCCGGCCCCGCCGGGAGCTGCTATCCTGGGAATCCCTGGTCTGACGTCACACTTCCGGGAGAAGCCGGGGCCGGGCCCGAGAGGGCGCGGCGCGCGGGCAGAGCGCAGGCGCAGGAGCAGGCGCTCGGCCACGCCCCCAGGCCCGCGCACTCGCCTCGCGAGAGTCCGCGCCTGGGCGGGAGGCCGGAGGCGGAAGCCAGCCGCCGGAAGTGGCCGTTGCCATGGAGCCCGCGGAGGACTGGCTGGTGGAATCCTTGCGCTTGTAAGTGCGTGGGCCTGGGGCTTGGGCCGCGGCCGGGCCGGCTCCACCCGTGAACGCCCGCGACCACCCCAGGCCGCTCCGCCTGTGCCGGGAGGGCGGGTGCCCGCGAGTTTCGTTTGACAGCGAGAGGCGAGCGCCGGGGAAGCGAGTTGCCCCGCTCCTGCCCCCCCCCCCCATCACACAGGGAGCACCAGTGGGCGCCCAGCACCCTGCCGGTCCACCCCACTGGCGGAGGAGCAGGAGGGTGGAGTAGAGAAATTCGATTTCCGGGTCCCCAGCCCAGAACCACGCGGCTCTGAAGCGCGTGGCCCCGTGTGACCTCGCGCCCCCGCAGGTACCAGGACTTCCACGCCTTCGACCTCGCTGGAGCCACCCGCGTCCTCGAGTGGAACGGCGACAAAGGTGATGCATTCTCGGGCTGAGACTTAACGGGTGCAGCCCAGAGGGACCCCCCACCCCTGCCTTGTCCCTGCCAAGGGAATCTGATAGTCTCCGGGTCGCCGATGGCAGTCGCATACCGTTACTGCTAAATATTCCAGTAGGGTGCAGTCCTGGCACCAGGAGAAATTTGCGCTTTGCTCTGCAGGGTTCGGCATTCTCAGCCCAGTCATGTTCTGAACCTTTCTAGCACTTTCTTGCAGCTGATGCGTCTGCTTTTTTTTTTTTTTCCCTAGGCGTCTTTGTGGCTGGCTACGAACAGCAGAAAAAAAACGAGATTCTTCACCTGCTGTTACCACTCAGACTTTCTGCCAAAGAAAACCAGGTAACTTGAAATCTTAAGTGCTGAGTCTCTGTGTCTCTTTTCACTCGCGTGTCAAACATGGGATGCTGCTGCGTTCTGACAGACTCCGTCCTGAACGTGAAGAAGAGAGACAAGCCTAGGCCTGGCCTCATAGGGAGAGGCAAACACGCGGTGGGAGAGAAGTGCTTGTAAAAGTGCCCTGTGCGGGGCTGGAGCAATAGCACGGCAAGTAGGGCGCTTGCCTTGCACGCAGCCAACCCGGGTTTGATTCCCAGCATCCCATATGGTCCCCCCGAGGGCCACAGGAGTGATTCCTGAGTGCAGAGCTTGGAGTAACCCCTGAACATTGCTGGGTATGACCCAAAAAGAAAAAAAAAAGTGCCCTGTGACTTATAGAGGCTGCCTCAAGGAACAGATCAAATTTTATGAATACCAGATATCCAGAGGTGTCAGGATGGTGTACCCTCACCCACACTGAGTGTGGAGTGTTTATTTGTTTGGTTTTGGCGCCACAGTGCCTATGCTCAGGGCTTACTCCTGGCTCCGTACTCAGGGATCCGTCCTGGTGCTCAGGGAACAATATGGGGTTGAACACTGGTCAGCCACGTGCAAGGCAAGCACCCACCCTGCTGTACTATCGCTCTGCCGTAAGTGTGGAGTTATAAGCTATAAGAGGAAAGGATGACTAAGGACTGAAATTCAGACCTCAGGGAACACACTCAAGGGATGACTCAGCCCACAAGGTCCTCAGGGGGAATTATTGAAGGTCAGTGTTTCATTAGGGGAGAGAGGAGGCCATGTGGGAAGGAAGGAGCAGGATTGGCAGCTGCTGCCGAATGTTGCTAGGGGTTGAATGACTCAGACTTATTGGATCACGTTGCCTTAAGGGGCCTCACCTACCACCTTCGACTGATCCACAGCGAGGAACTTGTCTAGGAGGCCTGTTCATCCTCTCTCTCTGACTTGTCCTCTTTTCCTTTTTTTTTTTTTTTGTTGTTGTTGTTGTCCTTGTTTTTGAGGCACCTGGCAGTGCTCAGGGCTTACTCCTGGCTTTTTGCTCCTGGGTCACTCCTGGCAGTGCTGGGGACCCTGTGGGGTGCCAGAAATTGAACCCACCTTGATCACTTGCCAGGCAAGTGTCTTCCTAGACTATCTCTGACCCCTGTCTTGTTCTCTTTTCTCCCCTGGCCACTCCTTTTCCTGCTTCTGGTGCTCAAATGGAGTGGCTAAAAGCAAGGTCGCTTTCATAGACTGGCTTCAGATTGTCACTCTGAAGACATCGCTTAAGCTCCCTTGGCCTTGGTTCTGTCACTTTAGCAGAGGGAGAATGAAAGCAAAGGGTGTAAGAGCCCAACTTGCTGGAATAGAGAAAGGACTAAGCCCAGCCCTGGGTGTGTTGTATTTTGTTGGTGACCACCTGGTTTAGGGGGCAAGAGGTAGGAGGGGAGGCGACGGGCTGCATGTCTGATAATGGTCCTGCTTGCTTTGTTTTGGTTTTTATTTTCCCTCCTTTTAAAAAAAATTATTTTAGTAAAGTAGTTCACAATATTTGATTACATTCATTATTTGAATACCAGTCCCACCACCAACATATTTTGGGAGTTTCCAGCCTGAACCCCAATTGCTGCCCCAAAGTGAACTGAAATAATTTATTTTGTATTGTTTGTTATGAGAAACTGCTGAAAATGATCTCAAAAATTTTTCTTAGAGGAAAGTACTTGAAGATTGATATATTTCACCCAGGGGCCATTAAGCCCTTCTATAAGAGATTCCTAACATTACTAACATGATGTTAAAGATTGAGTCTTATGTGCATATATATATGTATGTATGTATGCATATATATATGTATGCATATATGTGTATGCATACATAAAGTAAAAGACAACCAATTAGAGGGAAATATATATATATGCATATATATATATATTTCCCTCTAATTGGTTGTCTTTTACTTTAAACCCCATTAAATGTGTCGTACTATTCTTGGAATATTAGTGGTATGAGATGTTGTGCGGCTGCATTTGCAACTGCACAGTTCTGGACATTTTCTGCTTCTGGGGCTGGGTCCTTGGGGTGGGGAGGGGAACTCACCTGCCCCACTCTGGGGTGCCTCAAATGAAACAACCTGGTGCGGGGTTTGGTGACATAGCTATGGCGAGTCATTTTATGCTCTCTTCCAGGAGCTTTATAATGAGTCTCTGGATCGTGGCCACTGATGAGATTATGTGGCGCCAGCCAGAGGTGGCTTGTGGGCATGACTGCCAAGTTGCCAGAAACAGGTGGAGATGGGGGGAGGTCACCCAATTCTGGTTCCGTTGAACCCAGAGTTTTCAGTCACCAGTCCTGCATACCTGGTTTTCTGTGGATTCACTCATGGGTGAGGGCTCCTGCTTGCTTTGGATTGTGCTGGGAACTCTGCGACTCTGACAGGCCAGCCATGGAACACTGGAACTTGGTGGAAGAGTTTGGAGAAGGATTTGGGCTATAGGAGGAGGAAGCTGTATGAGTTAGCCCATGAAGCCTGTTCAGGGAAGCATGTTACTGTCGATTGGGGTGTGTTGCCAGTGAGGCCGACCTCCTGTGCCATCCCTAATACTCACCCAAAATGCTGCCTCTGACTGGTCACCCTTTGTCTTGTAGGGCCTCTGCCCAGAGCGAGATTTCAGGGTGCTTCACGGAGGTTTCGCAGACAGTCCTGTCTTTGATCTGAAGCGTGTGCCGGACACCAGGTATGGTCAGCTCTGGGGGCCAGCTGTCCCTTTTAGGCCTTGCCTGCCTCTTTTCCACCAGCACCCAGGCACGCGAGTGTGCATGGGTACACACAAGACTCGGCTTGGTTGCTCTGTGGCCTTTCCTGATTCTTCCAGTTATGCTGGGGCTGCTGCAGGGAGTGAAAGTTGCACGGAGAGCATGGGGTGCCTGGGGCTGAGGGGTCCCTTTGCAGGCCAAATATCTGAGGGTCATACTGTGTGCCCACACCCAAATCCTCCACCGTCTAGGGGACCAGAGTTCAGCCTATGGCCTCCTGGACCTCATCTGTTCAGCCTATGGCCTCCTGGACCTCATCTGTTCAGCCCATGGCCTCCTGGACTTCAACCAGGGGCTGCCTGGTTTCTTGGTTTCGATGATTCCTTCCGGGGGGCCTTTCCTGAAATGGGAAGTGTAGGAATCTCCCAGGCTGAACATACTGGAGGGGAGAGGAGATGTAGAGAGTTCCCTTTGTTTGCACTGAGATCTCTCCATCCTGAATAGGTTACTGGTGACCAGTGGCCTTCCCAATGGCTCTCTGCAGGTGTGGCAGGCTGCCGAGGACAGTGGTGAGTGAATTTGTTTGGGGGCCGGGTTTGTAAGAAAGCCTATCAGTGCAGTGCAGCCCTCCAGGTCCTCACCTGAGCTGCTCAGGTTGGCGATGAGCTGGGTAGGAATTGGAACACAGTGTGCCCTTCAGCTCTGGCAAAGGTACTTAGCCAGAGGGAGTATGGGTTTAGGAATTGGGCTTTACACCCCTGTTGGGGACAGAGGTGGGCAGGGACAGAGCTGGTGCCTCTTGGTTGAGCACACCTTGATGAAGCGGCTCTAGCTGCAGCCAGTCACCTCTTAGTTTGGTTTGGTTTGGTAGCCACACCCAGCAGTGTTCAGGGCTCACTTCTGGCAATGCTCAGGTTGCCTGGTGATCCCTGGATTGTGTGCATACACAGCAGGCACTCTCCCTGCTGTGTTGTCTCTCTGGCCCTGCAGATTACTGTGTGTTAGTCCAGGGAGGAAAACAGGGAGCAGGAAGGTGACACGGATCCTCTGAGAGGGAGGCGTCTTGGGGAAGGACCTTGTCAAACAGGCACTTGAAGAGATTTGAAGGTCAGCACAGCATCCAGACTCCAGATTCACCTACTGTGCTGGGGATGCAGCCGGTGTTCACCGGGGCCCCCCCTCCCTACTAGCCACCATACTTATGCCTTAGATGGGCGAGGGGTGGTGCCTCATTTCTGCTTATAGGTCGGTCAGACAGGGGGATCTTCACATTAGTGCCCAGCAGGCCCTGTGAGCAGCAGGTGTCCTGCTCAGAGTCAGGTGAGTGTCTTCAGGAGATTCCAGACGGTTCTTCCCTGAGACATGTGGGCAGAAAGGATGCCTCAGGATCCTGCTCTCTTGCCCTGCTGTGTCGGTGGGGATGAATCTCAAAGTAGCCTGCCCAGGTTCTCTCTTGTGCCATTTGGGAGCTGTTCACTGTTCCCTCTGGGGCGGCTGCCCTGTGCTCAGGCTCAGCACCACCCTCTTCTGGGCGCTCTTTCTGCCAGCCCCTACACAATGGCAAGTTCCAGCCATCCTGACTTGCCACCCTCACCCTGACCTTCTGAATTCAGGGGAATTCCGGGCTGATTTCATTTGGAGACGGCCTTCCATGGCCAGGTTCATAGAGGTTTCACAGTTGCTCTGGAGTTTGGGGCTGGTTTGTCAAGTTTGGTTGGGGGTTCCCTGGTACGGACCTTTCCCTCCAGCTCTGGAGGGAGGCAGAGAAGCTGCCCCTTTGTCCAGTTGTGGTTAGAAGTAGCTGTACCTGGGGAGACCTTGAAGGTTGATTTTTCTGCAGCAACTTTTTTTTTTTGGTTTGTTTTTTAGTTTTGGATCATACCTGGCAATGCTTAGGGGTTACTCCTGACTTTGCACTCAGGAATGACTCATGGCAGTGCTCGGGGGACTATATGGGATGCTGGGAATTGAGCCCAGGTTGGCCGCGTGCAAGGCAAACACCCTACCCGCTGTGCTATCACTCCAGTCCCTCTGCAGCAACTTTGAAATGGACTTTTGGAGACTCCCTTTCACCGCCTTCTTCCTTGCACATGGAGACAAATGACTTCTGAAGACCCTCCTCAGCTCAGAGCGGCAGACTCTGGGGAATCTTTCCTGCTCCCCAGAGTCTAGGGAGAAAGAGGCAGCCTGGCAGACTTTGCAGCCTTGTGGCATCCCCAGAGGCAATGGCACCTGGTTCCAAGGCCCCACAGCTGTGTCTGCTGAGAAACCCTGTAGCTGCTGCGGTGGCAGCAATGAGTTTCAGAGGCTGGACCCAAGGCCCTGCAGCCCAGTACTTCTCCCATGGTGCTTGTCCCTATGTGAACTCGTTCAGGAAAGTCAGCGCCCAGCATCGTGCCCATTACCCAGCCACTCCTTGCGCACAGCAAAGTGTGAAAGAAAAAACACTCTGTCCTTTCAGTGGTTGGCATAACAAATGGCTTGTTCCGAACTCTGGCTACTCTCAAGAGCAGCTGCCAGAGTGGACCACAGAGACCAGCCCTGTCCACTCACCCAACATTTGAGAGGGACCCAAATTTGAGGTCAGACTGAACTCGGGCAAGCATGTTTCCCTGCTAGAATCAACCAAGTGGCCTTTAACTTGTGTAGTTCATGATTGTAGATGAAAGAAGTTGAGAGTCGGCCTCTACCTGCTGAGGTCGTACAAGATGCTGGAGACCACGGATTGCATGTAGGAAGAAATATTCATGAACTCCGTACCTGTTATTTTTTCACATAGAGTGAAAATGACATAGTTTGTGTCATGTCCTTTGCTCCTCCTTTATTTGAGCTTCTTAAAACTATAGGAAGCCAGACCTTCCTTGGGAGTGCAAGCTTGACTGCTGAGATCCATTGCAAGAACATTCATAAGATAGAAAAGATGGGACTGGAGTGATAGCACAGCGGGCAGGGCATTTGCCTTGCACTTGGCCAACCCGGTTTTGATTCCCAGCATCCCGTATGGTCCCCAGAGCACTGCCAGGAGTAATTCCTGAGTGCAGAACCAGGAGTAACCCCTGAGCATCATTGGGTGTGACCCAAAAAGCAAAAAAAAAGAAAGAAAAAGATGGTGTGAGTCCTCCCTGTCTTCTCCTGCAGTCAGTTTCCTCAGGCAGCGTGGCCTCATCCTGCTTTTTCAGCCTTCACTAACATCCCTCCGCTTGTTCAGATGTCATCAGAGTTGGCAGCACTGTGCCCGGGCATGAGGAAGAGAAGGGCCTCTGGGCTAGGATGGCCGTCTTCTCGGTGCCATCACCTAGAATCCTCCATGGGGCACGGCTCAGTGGCCTTCGGGTTGTGGACTTGGAGTCCTGGAAGACCACATATACCTCAGGTAGGGCTGGGGTTGCAGTCAGGGGAGTCGGGAGCCGGGGTTCACGCACCTTCTCAGAGGACGGGACTTGTGGCGGTCCTCTGACTCCAGCTCTTTCCCTCCCTCTGTGTCTTCAGGTGTCAGTGACGGTGCACCACTCAGCAGCCTGCAGGCCTTGGATGCTGACACCTTTGCCTTCTGCTGCACCTCGGGCCGGCTGGGGCTGGTGGACACCCGCCAGAAGTGGGCACCATCGGAGAACCTCAGGCCCAATCTAGGGGACTGGAGCTGGTGTGCAGAAGTTAGAGATAAGGGCCAGGACCCAGGAGCCAGCCTGGCCAGCCTGGGCTCTGGTGGGCAGCTCTGTCTTCTGGATGCCCGAGACCTTAGCCACCCGGTGAGCTCCGTCCAGTGCTCGGTGCCCACGCCCAGCCCTGATCCAGAGCTCCTGCGAGTGACCTGGGCCCCAGGCCTAGACAACTGTTTGGCCATTTCAGGTACTGCTGGGAAGAATTGTTGTTTTGTCTCCTGATCTCGGGGTCTGAGGACCCTCTGGAGTCCCTGAAGACCATGTCCAGCTACCTCAGGTGGACATGGAGCCACTGAGCAGGTGGTCCCTGTTCTCCGGTGCAGGCCTGTCCCTGCCCCAACCATTGAGCTGCCCCACACACATGCTGTTCAGTCCTGAGGCTAGTTGAGGGACCTGCAGGCAGCCCCAGGCTGAACCAGAAGAGGATGGGGAATCCTGGGTGCTTCTCTCTTTTTTTTTTTTCTGGGTGCTTCTCAGCCTCCGGCTTTCCAAACCATATATGACTGCTCCCCAGCATACTCTGGTCTGACCTGGCCTGTCAGTGTTTGGTTGGATGAGGACATGTAAAAACCCAGGGAAGAGAAGAGTTTGACAGACTGGTCAGAAAACAAGGACTCCCCGATCAGACCTGGATTAGAGAGAGCTGGAGAGGCCCTGAGAGGAGGCCCTGGACTGCATAGTCCCAGGCTTTGATCCCCCGGACTGCATAGTCCCTAGTACCTCTGGGAGCAGCCCTTGAGCCCAAAGTTGGGAGTAGCCCCTAGGTGTTGCTAGGTGTGACCCCTCCTTCCTCCCCCCCCAATAAAACCTAGTAAGAGCAGCAGAGAAGGAGCAGAGAGGTAGCTCCACAGCCTGGAGTTTGCATGCATAAGGCCTTGGTTTGGGGTTGGAGTGATAGTATAGGGGGTAAGGTGCTTGCTTTGCACACAGCTGACCTGGGTTCATCTCCCTCCCCTGCTGCTAGGAGTGAGCCCTGAGCACAGAGTCAGGAGTAAACCCTGAGCTCTGTTGGGTGTGCCTCTGCAACCCCCCAAAAAGTTGTGGTTTGATTCTTGGCACCATATGGTCTCCTGTCTCCTGAACACCATCAGGCGTGCCCCCAACCCAAGCACTGAGCCCAGAGCAGCCCCAGAGCCCCTGAAGACTGCTAGGTGTGCACTCCCCCGCACCATCCCCACCCCTCCAAAAAAAGAAAAAAAAAGGCAGATGAGCAGAGCCAAACTCAGTAGAGGATGGTCCTTTGGTGACAGGGAGAAAACAGGACGGTGGGTGTGGGCACGTCGAGGTTGTGGGGTCCAGCAGGGAACCTCTCTAAGGTGTATTTCCCCATCATGCCAGAGACAGGCCCACGCACTGGCAGGGCCTCAGAACTGGAGGGATTGAAATGTGGACCAAGTGGGAGAGGTTTGAAAATGCCTGGAAGCCTCCGTTTCCTGGGGATAGTGATTGCAGCTGCTTGACACCGCGTGAGGATAAGAAGCTGTTCAGTCTGGCCCCGACAGTTGTGCACCTGTTGGTTCCCTGCAATAGGCCCCTGCCTCTTTTTTTTTCCTTTTTATTTATTTTTTTTGGGGGGGTCACACCTGGCGACGCAAGGGGTTACTCCTGGCTCTGCACTCAGGAGTTACTCCTGACGGTGCTCAGGGGACCATATGGGATGCTGGAAATTGAACCCGGGCCGGCCACGTGCAAGGCAGACGCCCTACCCGCTGTGCTCTCTCTCCAGCCCCAGGCCCCTGCCCCTTTGAGTGCTGGAGGCCTCTCCTGTGGGGCTGCAGTGATGTCACTGAGTGTGTGCCGAGAACTCCCACATTCCATGTCAACCCTCTTCTTCTGTCCTTAGGTTTTGATGGGACAGTCCAGATCTATGATGTCACGTCTTGGCATGAAACGGGGAGCCCAGTGGAACCTCTCTTCACTCACAGGGGCCACCTCTTTCCAGAAGATCATACTGTGGACACTGCTCCTCTTGTGACCACCCACACCTGGCACCCCCACAAACCAAGAACTTTGTTATCAGCAGCAAGTGATGCCTCTCTGCATGTGTGGGATTGGGTGGACCCCCGGAGCTGCCCCTGACACCCACATAATTCTGCCCAGGCCTCTGGGAAGAAGAGGCTCCACAGTGTGGCAAAGTCATTGACTTAGGATCCACTGAGTGACCTGGCTTCCAGCTGAGGGACCAGGTAACCCACCTTCCATCGCTGTGAAGGGAGGGTATGACAACAACCTGTCAGAGTTACGGAAAAAACAAGAAACGGGAGCTTTAGGACAGCATTGGGCCAGTGAAATAGTACAGGAACAAAGCACTTGAATATAAATTCCATTACATTCATTATGTGAGTTATATTTTGGCTTTTTGGGTCACACCCAGCAACGCTTGGGGCTTACTCCTGACTGCACCCAGGAGTTATTCTTGGCAGTGCTTGGGGGGGATTCAGATGGAATACTGGGAATGGAACCCAGGTCAGCTGCGTGCAAGACAAATGCCCTAACTGCTATACTATTGTTCTAGCCCCAACAGAAACATTATTTTAAAAATTTTTTTCTTACAGGGGCTGTTGGAGTCATGAGGGAGTTCCTAAGACGCTGCCTTGCAAGCAAGGCCGTCATGGCTGCAGACAGCTTGGAACTCTGATTGAACTGGGCTGGGGTCAGCATGTCACAACGCAGCTGCTCCTTGACATTGATCGATTATGCTATACTGTGTTTAGGTAAGACTAGAGGGGACATCCTGTCTAGCTGGGAATGGAGATGACTGAAGTACAGGGTTGGGCAGTTAATCATCGACAGAGCAAGTGTGTGCCTTGTTAGGTCAGTAGCCCTTTGTCCACATGAATCCAGTGCTGTATGCCCTCGTGTGCCGCATTACAGCAAAAGGAGGTCGCAGAGCTTGATCAGCGCCATTTGCCTGAGAGCTCTTGGCCCTCCGTGCTTCATCATTCCACACGCCTTGCTCGTCTCCGCGACCACAGCTGATCACTCGATTGAGAAACAACGAGGAGCCACGTGCAGGGATGCTCAGGGGGCCATGGGTCCTAGGGATTGGACCAAGGCCTTGCACATGCCAAGCATGTGTTCTGTCGTGCCATTTCCCCAGAACTCACTCTTTTATCTTAAAGGATTCCCAGCTAAATGGCTTCCAAAAGCCGGTTCAGATGTCCTGAAGTCATGATTATGAGTTTAAGATGAATTAACTTGAGGCGCCTTAGCTACCTCACGCTGACGTGACAGAGATAAGTGCACACACTTTGTAATGAGGCAGTAGGGGTTTTTGGTTCAGATCAAAGCACAGGACCTGTCTGGTTTATGGGGAGCATTTCCACTGACATCTAAAGCGAGTTCAGTGGCTCTTCCAAAGATTCTGTGTAGGAATGCTAATACAGAGTTTAAGTGTCTACATGTCAAATTGCTGTAAGGACTGTAAAATACTTATGAAATAACTGCATTCTCCAGTTCAGTTTTTTTCCATTACTTCACTAAGGGGAAATTACATGTTTTGTTTTGTTTTGTTTTGTTTGGGGCCACACCCAGCAATGCTCAGAGATTACTACTGGCTCTGCACTCAGGAATTACTCCTGGTGGTACGCAGGGGATCACGTTGTGGGGTGCCAGGGATTGAACCTGGTTTGGCTGCCTGCAAGACAAGCACCCTCCTTGCTGTACTCTTTCTACAGCCCCATATCCTCATTTTAAATGGCTCAGGACTAGGTTCCCCTAGTGCTTACCTGCCCCCCATCCTCCCGTTTTTTTCTGCAAAGCCCAGGGCCACAGCCTGCTTTCCACTCGGGATGTTTTTGTTCATCTCAGACAAGGACAGTTAGAAACTACTCCAGGGTCTGCTCTTTCCATCTCCTTCTCCCATCTCAGCCTGTGAAAATAGTGGGATGAGGGCTTCTTGGAATCCTGACACTTGATAGTGGAAAAGCCCAGAATGCTGGAGGTAGGGCCTGGAAGGGAAGGTCTGGCTTCACAGTTTGGAGTTACTGTTCTAGGGACTCTAGAATTCAGAATTTGCTGGGCCCTAGCCACAGCTATTGTTCAGCTCAGAACCTTGCAGTTGTGTTCTGAATCTCCACCTCTTCCCTTACAGGCTGGTGTGACTAAGTAGAACACGAACATTCTAAGGACCAAAGTGAGTGTACAGCAGGTAAAGCATTTGCTTTGCACGTGGCAGGCCTGGGTTGATCCTGTACGGTCCCTCAAGACCAGCAGGGAGAAATTCCTGAGTGCAGAACCAAGAATAAGCTCTGAGCATGGCTGGGTGTGGTCCCTAAACAAACAAAAAACAACAAAAACATTTTAAACGCAGACACACATTAGCATGAACTCGTGAAAATCACCACAGAGTGGACAAGAGGACTCCTGCCTCCTCCCCTTACCCTAGTACTATCCTCTGACAGCAGGTGATGGATACAGCCCCAGAAGTTTGAGGGTTAGTGACCTGGTTAGAAAGCAGGGACGGGGGCTGAAGCGATAGCACAGCGGGTAGGGCGTTTGCCTTGCACGCAGCCGACCCAGGTTCGACTCCCAGCATCCCATATGGTCCCCTGAGCACCGCCAGGAGTCATTCCTGAGTGCATGAGCCAGGAGTAAGCCCTGTGCGTTGCCGGGTGTCACCCAAAAAGAAAAAAAAAGCGCAGGGACGCTTGAAACTGCCCGGCATCCAAGGCTGAGGAGATACTTGGCACTGAAGAATGAGGACGGGCTGATGGATCATGGTGACCACGTGCCGCCTCCCAAGCGCTGGTCTTCAGAACTAGCTTCACCGTGAGAATGTGCAGGACAAGCCCGCGCGGGGGTGACAGCACCTTGGAGAGCACCGAGGGCCGTGGGCATTTCTCTGACTTTTCCTTACAAGCTTTAAGAGACAAGAGTGGCTCCAGGGGCCGGGTCATGGGCAGGGCTGCCGGACCGCAAGGCCAGGACCCGCGGGCAAAGGGGCAGAGCCCGGGTCGAACCCGGGATCGTCTCGCGGACCCCAGCTCGAGGCCGACACGCGCTGGGCTTTGCCTTCCGGTCAGAGCGGCCAAGCCGGACCGCGAGCCGCCTCCACCAGCGAGGGTCTGGGAGTCCGGCCGGTCGGCGCCCGCCCGGAGCCACGCAAAACCCGCAGGAGACAGTGGCCCGCCAAGCCCCAGCAGACGTCTGAGCACCCGGCGTGCCTCAAAAACCGGAAGCGGGAACGCGGGCCCTTTAAGGACTGCGACCCGCCTGCGCCGCAGACCGACAGCAGCAGCAGCCAATCAGACGGGGGGTGGCGCAGGCGCCGATTTCGTTTGGCCAAAGCGTGGACGGGGAGGGACGTTCCGACGCGTGGGGCTCGGGCCGCCGCGGGGATCGGCTCACTGGGGCACGGGAGGGGCGCGGCCGTGACTCGACGTCCCCGCTCCCGCGCCCGGGGCCCGAGAACACGGACCCTCCCTCACAGGTCCCTCCCGCCTAACCTGTGAACACGCCGGGCCGCTCGGCGCGGAACCGAGACTCGCTCGGTGTCGCCTCAGGAAGCGGCTTCTCCGACCGCGCGCCGGACGAGGACGCCGGGCAGCTGAGGCCGCCGAACCCTCTGAGGCCGCCGAACCCGCCGGGGACCCGGGCCCGCTCAGGCCGCCGAACCCGCCGGGGACCCGGGCCCGCTGAGGCGCGGCGCAGCCCTCGGTGCAACCCGGCCAAGCGCTGGCCCCGGACACCCCGGCTCGGTGTCGCGGGCGGGGTGCCGGGACCCCACCCGGGGAATGGGGTCCCCTGGGCTTAGCGGGGGGATGGGCGGAGGGACCCTTCCCTTGGCGGGGCCGGGCCGCGGTCACCCTCCAGGAACAGCTTCCGGGGCTGCTGGAGCCCCGCGCGGCGGTTCACGGTCCCTGGCCGCCCCGGACCTCGCCCGACCGCGGAGAGCTGTCCGGGTCCCCCAGCCCAGATCCGCCCGGCCGGTGCCTGTTGGGCAGTGGGGTCGGCCGGGGACCCCACACCAGGTGCGCCTGAGCGCCACCAGGAACGACCCCGAGAGCTGCCGCTCCTCTCCCGAAGAGACCGTGGCCCTCTGGGCTCTGGGCTCTGGCCTCAGACCTCACCATCCCTCGTGCAGTTCTCCGTCCTCCTCCTTCCGGGCGCTTGCCAGCCAGGAAGAGGCGATGCTTCGTTTTTCCAGAAGCTTGACTCGGCAGTGTAAGGGTGCCAGAGAGAGAGTCAGGTGTGGAGAGCGCTTGCCTTGCACGTGTCCAACACGATTCCATCCCTGTGACCCACACGGTTCCCTGAGCACAGAGCCAGGTCTAAATTAGCCCTGAACACCGTTAGGTGTGCCCTCCCCCGGACCCCCCCAAAAAGGAATAAAGGAAGTTCAAACAGCCTCCATTTGAAAAGTTCCAGGGTCATCCACGAGACGGTTCGTGCCAGCCCAGCACACTGGCCCCGGGTTATGTCACACAGTCCCCTAGCAGGAGCAGAGGGCTAAGAATAGCCACTACTAGTCATGTGTAAGGAAGGACCAATTAAAATTGTGGGCTATATGGAGGCTTGCCAGGAAGAAGACAGATTTGTAGTCGTTTTATCACTTATTCTAATATTTCGTTGTTCTCCACATTAGAACACAGTGGAGTTAACTGGCTGCTGGATTCCAGGTGTTCAGCAGTAAGGTGATGGATGAGCTTTCAGTCTTCCCTTCTCGGCTGGCAATGAGGTAAGGTTGGGTCCAGATTGAGAGATGCATGTGAAGGGTTTGGTAGTGCCTATGCACAGAAGGTATTTTATAAATTGCCACTTCCTGCTGTTGGGACTATTGTAAACTATCAGTGCAACCCATAGGGAAAGAAAGTTCATGGGAAAAATGACTTCCAGCCTGGGGCAGGAAGTGATTGTGGACCATGAGGAAGTGGAATGTTGGATAAGTGATCAGTTTGTTAAAAGTGAAGGCTCTTATAACAGTCAGGTTATTTGGGGTTGGGGTTAGGGTTGGAGCGGGCGAGGAAAGGCTTCCAAGTGGTGCTTAGGGAACCAACTGGCCAATGGCTAAATGTTCGGGCCTGAGGAGGCAGGGTGTTACCAGGGTCCATGAGCGCCAACTCAGCTGTGCTCTAGAGCCTCCAGTGATTCTTGGGAGACCTTGTGTCAAGGATCAGACTCAGGTCAGGTATAAGCAAAGCATGTGTCCTACCCCCTGTACTATCTCCCTGACCTCCCAGTTCAGGTTTCTAACACATGTTAAAAGACTCCAGAAAAGAATAGGACTTTACTTTATTAGGCAATATTGAGTATCCACCCTTCAAGAACAAAGGCCATTCCCAAATCAGGCCCCAAGCGTTTCCCATTCCCCAAATCGTTTCCTTTTTTCTCTGCCTCATAAAAAAGTCTTTCCCTGCTGTCTTTCCTCTTTCATGACTCAAGGATCTAGGAGTGAATCCCTGATAGTATCCCAAGATCAAAGGTGATGGCTGAAGGGCAGAAATTTCTCCAGGGAAAGAATTATGTGTCCTCAGAATGAACTCTTCCTTACAATCTTGGTATATGAAAGCTATCCAACAGAATTCTGGACATGCATATATATAGACTAGAAAACTTAAGAATGGACCAGAGTGATAGTACAGCGGGTAGAGTGTTTGCCTGCATGCAGCAGATCCAGGCTCAATCCCTGTCGCCCGTAGGGTCCCCTGTGCACTGCCAGGAGTGATTCCTGAGTGCAGAGCCGGGAATAACCTCTGAGCATTGCCGAGTGTGACCCAAAAAGCTCCCCTATAACCCCCCCAAAAAAGAAAAGAAAACATAAGAATAACCAGTAAGTGTACAAAGTGATGATCACACATCCCTGGGGGTCAGAACACAAGCCCGTCCTGCACAGTACAGGCTGGTTGACCTCTGATCAGACAGAAACTAGCCGAGAACAGAAAGCTACAAGAGAACAAGTGTGCTTCCCTGGTAGCTGACAGTAAGCGTAAATAAAAACAAAACAATTTTTATTCCAGCCTCTTGTGGAAGGCCATGCTCAGTGCCAGTCCCAGCAGGCTTCTGGGAGACTGGTACGAGGACAGACTCCTGTGTTTCACCATTCCTGGCACCTTCCAGAATGCGGGGAAGAGCTTTACTTTCAGAAGATGACTCCGTTCTGTAAAACTTTCCCCCTTAAATTGAAATTAAAGCCCAGGGCATAAAGCCAGAGGCAGTGCTGCCATGGGCAGGGCCTGGAATTCTAGAAGCTCTCAATGAAGACACCTTAGCCCCATTGACTCGCAATAGGCCACTCTAATGGGTTCTCAGTGTTTCTCTGAGGGCTCGCTTTGAGCCACCCTATCTTCTGTTTCACACAGAGAAATACTTCCCTTGGTCTACCAAAGAGGAAGCTGAGGCACAGAGGATCAGAAAAGGAAACAAATCAAGTCAGGAAGTGCCATTGAAAAAGACCTAACTTTTCCACCTTCTCTCCCTACACTTTGTTCTCAGTGTTTTGATTCCCACCACCGAGAGGACAGTGAGCAACGAGGATGAGCAGGGTAAAATGCTGGTTACAATCACCAAAACAAAATCAGGAAGAATGACTCTTTTCAAAAGATACCCCTCGGGCCGGAGCGATAGTCTAGTGGGGAGGGTGCTTTCCTGGCACTCAGCCTACCATGTGGTCCCCGAGCACTGCCAGGAGTAATTCCTGAGTGCAGAGCCAGGGGTAACCCCTGAGCATGGCCGGCGGTGACCCCAAAAGCATGAAGGAAGGAAGGACAAAAGGAAACGATACCTCTACTCAGGGATAGCACTGCAGTTCCATCTCCTGGGCCGGCCCCTCACTGCCCTCTTTGCCACTTCAGAAAAGTTTCTCTTTCATGTGAGTTCTCTGGTGAGTGATAAAGTTAGAGCTGTTGCTGAATCCTTTGCCACACTCGGGGCATTTGTAGGGCTTCTCCCCTGTGTGGATTCTTTGGTGGATGATGAGAACTGAATTCCAGCTAAAGCCTTTTCCACATTCAGGACACCGGTAGGGCTTGTCACCCAAGTGGGCCCGCTGGTGCATGACCAGAATAGAACCACGGCTGAAGCTTTTACCACACATGAGGCATTTGTAGGGCTTCTCGCCAGTGTGGGTCCTTTGGTGTACGACCAGTTGTGACCGCTGGCTGAAGCACTTTCCACACTCGCCGCACTGGTAGGGTTTCTCACCTGTGTGAATCCGCTGGTGCTTGATGAGATTGGAGCTCCAGCTGAAGCTTTCCCCGCACGTCAGGCACTCATAGGGCTTCTCCCCAGTGTGCATGCCCTGGTGTGCAATGAGGCTGGAGCTCTGGCTAAAACTCTTCCCACACTCCCCACACTTGTAGGGCTTCTCCACCATGTGCGTTCTCCGGTGCGTGGCCAGGTTGGAGCTGCGGCTGAAGCTCTTCCCGCACTCACTGCACTGGTAAGGCTTCTCTCCCGTGTGAGTCCTCCGGTGGGTGATGAGGGCCGAACTCTGGCTGAACCGCTGCCCACAGTCCGGACACTTGTAAGGTCTCTCTCCTGTGTGGATTCTCTGATGTCTGATCAGGTTGGAGTTGTAACTAAAGCTCTCACCACACTCTCTGCATTCGTAGGGCTTCTCTCCTGTGTGGATGCCCTGGTGTGTATTGAGGCTGGACCGATTGCCGAAGCTCTTTCCACACTCAGGGCAGGAATAAGGTTTTTCTCCTGTGTGAGTCCGTTGATGAGCAATGAGGTTGGGGCTCCTGCTGAAGCTCTTGCCACATTCAGCACACCGAAAGGGTTTTTCCCCTGTGTGGATTCTCTGGTGGGTTATTAGGTTTGCGCTCCGGCTAAAACTTTTCCCACAATCCCTGCATTTATAAGGCTTTTCCCCTGTGTGAGTAGTTTGGTGTCGACTGAAGTTTGAACCATCGCTAAAGCTTTTCCCACATTCATCACATTTGTAGTATTTCTCTCCCGTGTGGGTCCGCTCATGCGTTATGAGGTGGGATTTCCGACTGAAGGTTTTCCCACACTGGGGGCACTCGTAGGGCTTCTCACCCAGGTAGGTGCCCTGCAGACCAATGAGCTGCCCAGCTTCCTTACCCTGGGAGCGCACTTCCCTATGGCCCACACTTGGGGTGTTTCCCTGGGGACTTCGGAGTCCACAGTATCTCTCCATGTCACTTTCCCAGTCAGACTGCTGAGTAACTTCCCCTTCAGAGATGTCTTCAAGCATATCTTGATGAGCATTCTCCCCATTTTCACTTCGGATCTCAAAATCTGGAATAATGAAGAAAAAGGCACAATTTACCGAAATATCCTAATGATGAGGATATTTATGAGAGAAAAAGATGTATTTGGTGTGGGGGGGCCCGGTGGGGGGGAGAGCAGTTGGGCTGGAGGCAGACCAACAGTGCTTGGGTTACTCCTGGCTCTGCTTGAGGATTGCTCCTGCTTGGGGGACCACTGGTACTGGGGACTGAACCTAGGCCACCTGCATGCAAAGTGTAAGCTCCAACCTGCTATACTATCACACTGGATACCAAAATTTTTTAAATTAAATTTCTAGTTAAAATAGAGAAGTTAGAGAACCTGGAGGACTTTTTAAAATCAGGTTTAATTTCCTTCTAACTGGTTATGTAGTTGTCAAGCCTCAAATGTCTGTATTAATCACTTGGAATTTGTATGTCTTAAAGGTTTGTTTTACTTCTGTGATGGGGAACTAAGTCAGGTAGGAATCCGAAAATCATAATCAAGAGAAGCAACATAATGTCCCCTTAATACCATGATGTTTGATACTTAGTAGGTGCCCAAATCTGGTGAACAAATTAACACATTTTGGGGTGGGTAGTAGCACAGAAATTTCTACAGAGCTCAGTCTTCTTTTATAATTTCTTGCATTAAAGTATGTATGTATTTGGGGCTGGAGCAATAGCATAGCGGGTAGGGTGTTTGTCTTGCATGCGGCTGACCCAAGTTCAATTCCCAGCATCCCATATGGTCCCCCGAGCACCGCCAGGAGTAATTTCTGAGTGCATGAGCCAGGAGTAACCCCTGTGCATCGCCGGGTGTGACCGAAAAGCAAAAAAAAAAAAAATAGTATGTATGTATTTTCCTTGCACACAACCAACTTGGGTTCAATCCCTGGCATCCCATATGGTCCCCTGAGCACCATCAGGATTACTTCCTGAGTGCAGAACCAGGAGTAATCCCTAAGCATTGCTAGGTCACTGTCACTATCACTGTCCTCCCGTTGTTTGTCGATTTACTCGAGAGGGCCCAGTAAATCGTGAGACTTGTTACTGTGTTTGGCATATCGGATACGTTATGGGTAGCTTGCCAAGCGATAGCACAGCGGTTAGGGCATTTGCCTTGCATGCAGCCAACATGGCCAACCCAAGTTCGATTCCTCCGCCCCTCTCGGAGAGCCTGGCAAGCTACCAAGAATATCTCACCCGCAAGGCAAAGCATTGCTGGGTGTTGCCCAAAAAAATAAAAAATAAAATACATATCTGTATTTTATATCCCTATTAGTACATAAATAAGATGTAGGCAAGATGATCAAATTCCTGTAATATTCTAAAAGTCTCTAGATGGAAATGACTGGAAACAAGTAAGTAGGAAGTTAAAAGTGCCATTAAGGGGCCGGAGTGATAGCACAGTGGGTAGGCTGTTTGCCTTGCACGCGGCCAACCCAGGTTCGATTCCCAGCATCCCATATGGTCACCTGACCACGGCCAGGAGTAATTTCTGAGTGCATGACCAAGAGTCACCCCTGTGCATCGCCAGGTGTGACCCAAAAAACAAAAAAGTGCCATCAAATGCCTGCAGTGGGAGCCTCCCATTGCTAATACAAAAGACCCACCTCAAGAGGCCTGTCAAATGTTCATTAGAGAGAACTACTGGAAGAAAGTCTAATCAGCCTGTAGACAGAACTGTCAGATATGGTCCAGGTCAGAGCAAAACAGTAAAGAGCTGTGCACTATTCACTTGCACTGGCTGACAATGGCCAACACTCTCAAAAGGATCGTTAGAAATTAATGGCTGTTGGGAACATGAATACTGCCAGAAAGTTATTGCTACACTGTTTATATCACACAATGTCCTCCCTTGATGAGCCCCAAGAGGAAAGTTCCCTCTAATAACGAAAAGCTTTGAGCTCTTCTCAGACATCAGTTCTTGACTCCCAACCCTAAGTTTGGCTCCCACTTCACTCTGACAGCCGGGAAGTCTGGTTTTTGGTTTTGTTTTTGTGTTTTTAGATCACACTGGGTGATGCTCATGGGTTACTCTTGGCTCTGTGCTCAGGAATTACTCCTGGCAGTGTTTGGGGGGCCATATGGGATGCTGGGTATTAACTTGGGTCGCCCATGTCAAGGCAAACACCCGACCCACTGTACTGTTGCTCTGGCCCACTAATGGGAAGTCTGGACTGAAAATTTAAGAGCAAGTCCTGGATTCCACTTCTCCATAAACACGACCCACCCCATCCTCTCCCAATGGTGGTCTATGTCTCACCACTGTCCCGGAGGCTCTGGGTCAAGTCTTTCACCAGAGCTGCGGCCTCCTCACTGCTTTCAGGCCGATGCTCCTGCAGCCAAGCTTGAATCTCCCGCGGCAACACAGTCAGCATCTGCTCCTTGGTATGCACCTTTGACCTCAGCCAGCGCCGGCAAAGCTCTCTTAGACGGCCAAGTGCACCAGGGGGGCCTCCAACTACCTCCTCCTCAGAGCCACCCTTCCGGACACTGTGGGAAAAAGGCTCAGACTCAGGTCCATCTTCCTGCAGGATGGCTTCCTGCACCCAGGAATCATCCTCCAGCATTGTGGTAGTGACCCTTTCCTCCTGTTCATTCTCCTGAGGCGCCTGGACCAGCAGGTTCAGAGTGGTGGTCACGCTTGGTACCTCTGCAGCCATCATCCAGTTCTCTAGTCAGTCAAGCTTAGGCTTCTAATCGCCAAGTACAGCCATCATAAGCCAGGCACACTGAGAAGACACCTTCTCCAGGGGCAATCAGCAGTCCTGCTGAGGACCAAAGAAAATCAGAGTGCTAAGCAGATCATCTTAAATGAATTCTCCTCTCAGCAGCTCAGGTTAAACCAAGAGATTCAGACATCTGAAATTTGGCACAAGTTTTGTGTCTCTCTTAAAGGAAAAATGGCTTCATCATGAGAACTGCTCTGTGGCAGTGAAGAACAAACACCAGGAATTCAGCATTTGACTCTCTGAAATTAAAAGGGGGCTGGAACGATAGTGGGTTGGGTGTTTGCCTTGCATGTAGCCAACCTGGGTTCAATCCTTGGCATCCCATATGGTTTCCTGACACTGCCCTTAGCATTGCTGAGTGTGACCCAAAAAACAATCCCAAAGCATGAGCATCAGAGACCCAAAGCCCTTATAAGAGGGCTGGAGTAAGTGTATCTGGGGTGTATCTTCCTGCACCTTCCCTGCAACACAGTTACCCAACCCCAGTGACCACCTGCTAACACATCTCTCATTTCCCAGGATAGCCAAGGATTAGCACTAAGTCAGATCTTAAAGAAGTCTGAATCTCACAGGAAAAATGGGATCTTTACTGCACTGCTGCCCAACAAAGTATGAAGCTTTCAAATGTTCACAGTCTGATACAGCCTTCGGTCGCAGGGATTCATCTTTAAAAAATACCCCTCACAAAGAGTCTATCTGCAGAGACACATAGCCTTGGCATTACTTCTAATAGACACCCTAAAACCCCAGCGGCAGAGGAATGGTTAGTTTTCATCCATATGATCAAATGTGTTGACAATTCTGCTGACAGGGACCAGAGTGATAGTACAGCTGTTAGGGTGTTTGCCTTGCAAAGGCCAACCAGGTTCAATCTCCAGCATCCCATATGGTCCCCTGAGCACTGCCAGGAGTGATTCCTGAGTGCAGAGACAGGACTAATTCCTAAGCAAAAGAGGAAAAAACCCAGAAAATTCTGCTGACATGATTATAGCTATCTTGGGGCCTAAGAGTACAGCAAATAAAGCACTTGCCTTGTGTAGAGCAAACCTGGTTTGATCCAAGACACAACATTTAATCTGAACCCCGCCAGGAGTGATCCTTTGAGCACAGAGCTAGGAGTAAGCCCTGAGCACTGTCAGTCATGGCCCACACAACAAAAAATAGCAATAACGCCTATCTTTGTGAGTAATGCTTGGGAAGGGGCTCAAAAGAGCGTTTGGGGTTATGGGGGAATGTTTAAATTTTAAATAAAAATTTCAAGAGCGCAAACAAAAACTAGCTATGAAAAACCCAATGCTCTTACAGTGTATTTGCAAAAAGGGAAAAAAGGAACACGGGGTTGAGGAAAAGTAAACCCTCAGACAAAGCCCAGGAAAGTTGTCCCCGGGCAATTTTAACTGTCCGACCAGGGGCCTGGCACACCCCTCCGAGGCTCGCTTTCCTGATCTGTAGAACGCACAACTGGGGGCTTTGAAAACGTGTCTTCGGTCCAAGCCCCGCGCCCCGGCTGCACGTGCAGCGGCCGCGGGGGCAGTTCGCGGCCCCTGCGGCTGGGCCAGCAGGCGGCTGACCAGCGCCTCCGCGGCCCTCCCCAGCTGGGCTGCCCGCACGGCCTCCAGGCCCGTTATTCTCCCGCCGACGGCTACTCCCCGCGTCCGCACAGCTGCAGGCCTGCCGCTCCGGGCTCACCTTTCCGGAGACCAGGCCGGAGACCAGGTCCCGCCGCGGCCGCCGCCGCTCCGGGAGCGGAAAGCACCTCCTCGGCCCCAGCCTCCCGCTCGCATTCGCCCAGCCCGAGGGGTCCGAGAACAATGGACCGAGAGGGCCGCCCCCGGCCGCGCTCATTGGTTGTCCCCAACGGCCCTGGGAACTCTGGTCTTCTATTAGTCCACTCGGCGCCCCGCCGCGGAGGGAGGCTGGGCTGGGGCATTCTGGGAGATGTAGGCCGCCAGGACCGCCAGTCTTGGGCTGGGACGCCAAGTTCGGGATTGCTGAAATCCGCAAGGCGCTCAAAGTTCCCGGATCTGGCCAGCGCTGTCGCCTCTGGATACCGAGTCTGATCATCGCGTTTCCCGATCTCTGTAGCTCCGCCTCCAAAGTGAGAAAGTTGGGGTTGGCGGTGTCTCAGAGGGCTGCACCGTGTGCTGTGCTCATGGGGGCCCCCTGGGATCCTCTGCGTGGCTGAGTGTGCCCCACCTCCCCCACCCCAGCCCCGCCAAAATAAGCAAGTAAAAGTTGTGAGGCCTTTCCAGCGCTGAAGTGTAGGACTGATGTTGGTGGACGCCACCGGTGGCTCACGTGAGTCGAGAGGAGAGACAAGTCACCTCCTCCCACTTCGCCTCTGCCACCCAGGACCCGCAGGGAAAACTAGGACTGGTAAAGTCTGCGATGAGCCTCTACTTGGCAGGGGCCTGAGCCCTGCCAACCCCACAAGGCGGCGGTTCGGCCACACCTGATGTCCACTTGGTCTTTTCCGCAGGGGCGTTGATCCCCATCACTTGGTTTGTGGGGGACCCACGGACTCAGGCTGGAGCGAGGATTTGCTCTTTGCAAATCAGTCCCAGGCCTTACCCAGGGTTTGGGGGGTTCTTGTCTCGCTGGCAGAAAAGAATTTCAGGAGTAGACAAGCAGTGAAGTAAAACAGGTTTTATTTGGAGAGTTTTTGAAGGTGTGTGTGTGTGGAGGGGAGGGAGAGAGAGAGAGAGAGAGAGAGAGAGAGAGAGAGAGAGAGAGAGAGAGAGAGAGAGAGAGAGAGGCTCAAGAGAGAACCTGGGCTTCTCCGAGCGCGGAGAGAGCCCCTACACACATGCCAGCATTAGATCCAAAAGTACACATCTCAAGAGGGGAGATGCGGGCTGCACACGTGCTCCGCCACGTGGGTGCAAGCAGCACATGGGCTTGGGAAGCCTACCATGCCTTTCTTTGTTCAAGGTGGCTTTTTTTTTTTTTTTTTTGCTTTTTGAGGTCACACCCAGCAATGCTCAGGGTAACTCCTAGCTCTGCACTCAGGAATTACTCCTGGCAGTGCTTGGGGGACCATATGGGATTATATCGAACCCGGGTCGGCCGTGTGCAAGGCAAACGCCCTACCCGCTGTGCTATTGCTCCGGCCCCTGTTCAAGGTGGTTTTTATAGAGTATCTTCTTGGGATGTCTTGGTCTGGAATGTTCTGAAGTCTTCTCTGGGCTGAAGCACTTAAAGGTAATCAGATTAAGGGAGAGGTCCAAGGCTATTTGAGGAATTTCCCTCATGGGGAAGGGTCCAATCTCCTCAGGGTCTGCTGCTGAAGGTCTTATCAGGTCTCTGTTTTCCATATCCACAGGGTGGATCAGCCTTAGAATTTTCCTCCCAGAAGTTTTGCTAACCTATGTTTCATTGATGAGGGCCTTTCCCCGTCATCTGCCTACATCAGGAGCAGTGCCATCTTCTAAGCAATTGCTGAGGAGGAGAGTTGGAGGGCGGGGCAGCGCCACCAAACTGGCCTAGGCCTACGTACATCCCAGCCAGCCCTCCAAGCAGTGGCTCTAACCTTTGTTTTCGCACTGCATTGTTCTGCCTTGGAGGATAGCCCACTCCTGTGAAGTGGGCTCCCATGAAGCCTGCCTGCCCTGGCACTCATTTCCACAACACACTTCTATTTAGTCCCTGGCACAGTCCCTATCCAGCCCTAGAAGGTGAAAGTGGAACATCAGTTTCTAAGGTGAGTGCCCGCCCCTTCCCTGTTTGGTCACTGTCACTGTCACTGTCCTCCCATTGTTCATCGATTTGCTGGAGCAGGCCCAGTAACGTCTCCATTGTGACACTGTTACTGTGTTTGGCATATCGAATACATCACGGGTAGCTTGCCAGGCTTTGCTGCGAGGGCAAGATACTCTCGGTCGCTTGCCAGGCTCTCTGAGAGGGGCGGAGAAATCGAACTCGGGTCGGCCTTGTAGGCTACGTGCAAGGCAAATGTCCTACTGCTGTGCTATCACTCCTTTTTAAAAAATGGTGCCAAGCTCTGGTTGGAATTACAACAGGTAGGAAATTGCCTGGAAGCCCCAGGGGGAAACTTGAGAATGGAGAGCGCTACTTTCCCAAAGGCCTGGATCAGAAACCTAGTGTGCTGTATAATAGGGGTGTGTGTGTGGGGGGCTCCTCGGCACAGTCAAATTACCGCATTCATTGTTTTTCATTTAAAGGTCATTTTTCATATGGATTTAGTTTAAATATCATGGCTATATTAAATGTTTTATGTTTATTGGTGATCTTACTATTTGTCTAAGAACTCATTCTTCAGATCTCCCTTTATTTTATTTTTTATTTTTTTTAAATTTTTTGCTTTTTGGGTCACACCTGGCGATGTACAGGGGTTACTCCTGGCTCTGCACTCAGGAGTTACTCCTGGCGGTGCTCCGGGGACCATATGGGATGCTGGGAATCGAACCCGGGTCGGCTGCGTGCAAGGCAAACGCCCTACCCGCTGTGCTATCTCTCCAGCCCCAGATCTCCCTTTATTTTTTTAATGATTGTGGCGCATATGGGCTGGAGCGATAGCGCAGCAGGTAGGGCATTTGCCTTTCAAACGGCCAACATGGCAGACCTGAGTTCGATTCCTCAGCCCTTCTTGGAGAGCCCAGCAAGCTACTGAGAGTATCTCACCCGCACAGCAAAGCCTGGCAAGCTCCCCATGATGTATTCAGTATGTCAAACACAGTAACAGTTGTCACAATGGAGACATTCCTGGGCCCGCTTGAGCAAATCGATGAACAACGGGAGGACAGTGACAGTGGCACATATGCTGCCCGCACTCGTGTGCTGCTTGTGCCCATGTGGCCAAACATATGAGGTGACCGCATCGCCCCTCTTGAGATGTGGACTTTAGTGCTTTCATATCTAATACTGGGACGTGTGTAGGGGTGCTCTCTACATTTAGAGAAACCCATGTTCTCTCGTGTTACTCTTCCTCCCTTTCTCTCCCTCCTCCCCTTCCTCAGAACCTCCAAATAAAATCTGCTTTTACTTCAAAGAAAAGGAAAAAATGGAAATTACTGTAAGAGTGTTTCCTTTGTCATAGTAGTTACCATTTTTCTGTTTTCCTCTTCGCTTTTTGTTTTCCTTGATTATAAAAATTCAACTTTTTTTGGAAGTAAGAGCACGTACACCAGGACTTACTCAGGACTTACTCTTGACTCTGTGCTCAGGGGTCATTTCAGCCAGTGCTCAGGGGGACTACATGATAAACTGGGGATTGAACCCAAGTCAGTCACATGCAGGACAACTCCTGTACTATCTCTCTTACTGTCTCTCTTGCCCCACAGCTTGAGTATTGTTATTTTTAGAAACTTCTCATTACCACCCCCATGATTATTTGAGTTTCACTGTTTTTTCATCAGCTGTCCTCTTAATCCAAAGTGGAGTTTCTTTACTAGCCTCTTAACCAGGTGCAAACAGCGCCACCTTCAGGCTAGTCTGAGAAGTCTGCACTGGACACCTGGATACTAAATCCTGGGGTCAGCATTTCTAGAGAAAAAGATCTGGGACATGACTAAAAACGCTGAGGATTATCATGTCTGAACAAAGATTTCTTGTGCATTTTCCACCCTTATTAGGAATAGAAATTTACACAAAGGGAAAAGATTTGCTTGGAGGCAGGGGACACAGCTAACTTTGCTGTAATTTAATTGTTCTGTTGCCTCATCTCCTACAGCAAGGCAACACTCGGCCACGAGAAACTGGCACCCTTTGTTCTAGGAGAAGCCTGGAGCCAGCCATGTCTGTCCTGAATTTGCTTCTCCAGGAAGCTGGCCCTGACCGTTGTCAGCTATCAAGGTGGGGTGAGGAGAAGGGCGGGGGGGGGGGGGGGGGGAGAGAGAGAGAGAGAGAGAGTCCCATTTAAAACCAATTTGAGTGGGGGTATGGTGCCACCAGCAGGTCAGTCTGTACCTGTGAGGCGAGTGCATCAGCAGCCTGATGGCACCTTCAGACTCCAGATACCCCAAAATTGCTGCTGTGCCTTTGGCCAGACCCCAAAAACTTGGGGCAAAGTTTACCAAGAAAGTAAACTGCCAAAAGTTAGGTATGTGGGAGACACACCCACAAACCACCTCCGGCTCAGCTATATAAGGGGAGGCATGGTCTCTCTGGTTCCTGACTGAACTGCTTAATGGCCACGATCCCAGAGACTCAGAAACAAATCTCGAAACCCAGCGGCTTTTGGTAGAAATGCGTCCAGTCCCTGAGAATTTCTCTGCCTAACTTAGGAGAGACTCGCTGAAGGAATTCCAGAGAATTCAGAGTCTTGGAGACAAAGGACCAAGCCTGAGATCAGTTGGGAACCTAGAAGCAGAGGTTGAAGCTCAAAGAAGCACAGCAACAGTTCATAGAAGTTTAGCCCAGTAACTGCATGAGCCTTGATGCTGTGACAGCCTTGAGACTGCAGGAAGTAACCCTCCACCCAAGACCCCTACAGTCACTTTAGACTTCTCCTCCCATGGCAGAGTAAGAAGGAATGTCTTTTTCTTAACGCACAAAGCATGTGGGCCTCACTGTTAGCAGTTATGCCGCAGAATCATGGCCTCTAAATGTGAATGGGAAAATGCATTTGAATGGACCATGTCTTCAGGCACTGTAAGGAAAAGAGACTCAGCACAGAAACTTCTGGACTAAAAGAGAAACTAGGGAGCTGGGCACAGAGAAATCTTTTTTTGAATGTTGTAATTGTTTTATTTTTGGTTTGGGGGCCACACGTGA